TCTTAATATTTAAGGCTGCTGTAAAACTGGAAACAGGAGTTTTAATATTTAATGCTCTAGGACTCTGAAAGTCTTACTACACAATGTCTGTGAGACACTTCCTCGGTGGGAATAAATACTTTATAACTGCTATGCGTATGGTGCCGGATGTCTTTATGAATAAACAAAGACATGTTTGAGAACCATCTGTGAGGACTAATTGCTGGCTAATTTGACAGGGACTGGAGCCTTCTCCCTCCAAGGTGGTGCACGGCTCCGGACGCCGAGGAAGAAGGGTGCTTAGGTTTCAAAGTGATATCCAGGGAGAACTTCTTTTGTCATGTGTGTACATTTGTATCCATATTTCATCATGCGCTGGGCTCTAAGCTTTAGCTAAGAAAACCTAGACACTTGTCAGAAAATGTGTCAGACGTCTCCCCTCCCTCCTACTGCCCTGTGATCTGCATTTGCGTCCTAACCTTCACCAACGGGCACAGCTAAAGCCCTGGTGAGGATGTCGGTTGGGGGTGTCTCAGGAAACACAAAGCAGCCGTGAATTCAACAAGAGAGAAGTCTACTTCTTTCTCACATGAGGCTACCCAGGACTGAGCAGCTGCCCACAGAAGGGGACCCGGGCTCCTTCACCCCAGCACAGAGGTTTCCTCTTCATGGCACAAAGTGGATGCTCAAGCTCCAGCCTTCACAGCCACTGTCCCACCAGCAGACAAAAGGGCCAAAGAAGGGGCTGCTCTCCCTTTGAGCACACTCCCCTAAGGCTGCATTGCAGTGACCAGAGCTGGGTTACTTGGCCATACTGGTCATAAGGAAGGCAGGAACTGGGGACGTCTTGTGCCTGCTAAAAGCTGGGATCTATTCCCGAGGAAGAAGGGGAGAAGACAGAGTACGACAAGATCTCCCCGAAGCCTGGGAGGCCAGGTGAGGGAGATCTGCTCTACTGCCCCTCTGCTGCCGACTGTCAAATCATCCACGACACTTTCCTGTTTGCAGGCTGGCCTTCTGGGCTCTGGCAGCCACGGCACCAGAGCCCAGCCCCGCCCAGGGCACCAAGACCCACCCCACCCTGCCCGCCAGCTTCCCCTCCCGGTCACCTCCGCCCGATGCCTGCACCCACCTCCCCTGCTCCTTCAGCCTCCCACCCACAGGGGCCCCAGGGGACCTTCTCTCACCCTGGACTTGGGCAGCTGTGCCCTGCGGGAGCATCTTGGGGATGGGGGTGCCACTCGGGGTTCATGGCCCCACAACGCAGGGCACACAGGAGCTTCTTGTCACCCACTCGCTCACCCTCCTCCACGCCCAGTCCTCCCCAGACCACCTGGCCTCTCTCAGCTTCCCAGGCAAAGCGCCCGCCAGCTGACCCCTGGTTCTGGTCCACCCGCCCGGCCCGCGGACCCCGGCTCTGAGTGGGCCCAGCTCATGGTTCATTCCGGCTTGGCTGTCATCACAGTAAAAGAAGATGCCCCTGCTTTAAATGTCGCTTCGCTGCATTTTGAAAAATGCATACGACCACGTGCCCAACTGTCCAGTCAAGACATGGACCTTGTATGCCACCCCTCCCCAGTCAGGCCCCCACCCGATTTCTGTCACCTCAGTGTCCCTTTGCCTGTCCTAGAATTTCGTGGAAATGGGATTGTGCAGATGGTTTCCACGCCTGGTGCTTCTGCCCCGATTCATCCACCTCGGGGTCGTGTGGCTGGTTCACTCTTGTTGCCGAGTTGTGGTCCACCGTGGCTGTGCCACAACTGTCTACCGTGGGGCGTTTGGGGTTGTCTCCACCTTGGGGCCATTCAGGATAAAGCTGCTGTGTAAATTTCTCGTACACGTCCCTGTGCGTACATGTGGTCATTCCTCTGGGTCAATGCCTGGGAGAAGGATTTCTGGGTCAGAGAGTAGGGGGATGTTCAACTTTATTAAAAACATCGTTTTCCAGTGATAGCACATTTCATATCCCCACAGCAGTGCGGAAGAATCCCAACCTCCACCTTTGTCGGCTGTCTCCATTGTAGCCGTTCTAGTGGGTCTACGGTGACATCTCTTTTTGAAAATTTGTAATTTGTATTTCCCTGATTACTGACGATGTTGAGCACCTTTTCACGTGCTTATTGGATATTCAAATATCTTGTATTTTTGAGAGTCTATTCAAGTTTATGCCCATCTTTCAAACTTTGTGTTGTCTTTTTATTATTGGTCTATTGGCTTTCTTTCTATAACCTGGATACATGTCCTTTGTTAGATGTTCACTGTGGTTATTTTCAACCACCCTGTAGTTTGCCTTTTCATCTTAACAGTGCCTTTCGAAGAGCAGAGGCTTCACTTTGGATGAGGACAGCTTTCTTTCTTTTCCTTTGATGCCGTTTTTTATTTCCTACCTAAGAAACCGTTGTCTGCTCCAGGGTGGTGAAGTATTTTGTTTTACTCAAGAAGCTGTACGCACTTAAATTTTCCTTTTAAAGTCTACCTATGGTCCATCTCAAATTAGTTCTGTCCATGGTGTGATGCAGGTTCCAGGCAATTCACGGCCCACTTGTTCTGGCATCACTTGTTGCGAAGACTTTCCTTTTCCCCCTTGAAGTGGCACATGTGGCAAAAGCAATGGACCGAATCCATGTGGGTCTGGTTCAGAACTATTTATCCTGTTCTATCGGTCCATTCATTTGTCTTTCACCAACACCACACTGTCTGAAACACCGCGGCTTTATTTATTTTTTATCGTACGTGGGCCTCTCCCTGTTGTGGCCTCTCCCGCTGCGCAGCACAGGCTCCGGACGCGCAGGCTCAGCGGCCATGGCTCACGGGCCCAGCCGCTCTGCGGTATGTGGGATCTTCCCGGACCGGGGCACGAACCCGTGTCCCTGGCATCGGCAGGCAGACTCCCAACCACTGCGCCACCAGGGAAGCCCACACCGCGGCTTTAGAGTAGGTGTTGAAATCCAGGAGTTTGAGTCCCCCAACTTTGTTCTTCTTCCTCAAGGCTATCTTGGCCATTCTAGGCCTTTGTGTTTCCATATAAATTTTAGAATCAGCTTTCAATTTCCAGGAAAGCACTTCTGGGATTCTGACTGAGATTTCATTGAGTAGAAAGATCAGCCTGGGGAGAAGGACATGTCACAGATAAGCTCCAGTTCACGAGCTCAGCGATCCTCTCTGTTCACGGGGGTCTCCTGGAGTTTCGCACAGCAAGATGTTGTAGTTTTCAGTGGAACAGTACTAACACATCTTTTGTTAAATTTATCCCAAGGTAGTTGGTTTTGATGCTATTTTAAATGGTACGTTTCTGCCCTTCTCTGTTGGTTGTCAGTATACACAGATACAATTGATATCCACGCATAGCACTGTATCCTGCTCCTTGCCAAGTTCACTTAGTAGTAGTTGTAGTAGTTTTGTAGATGCCACAGGATTTTTTACACCCATGATCACTTTGTTTACGAATAAAAGCCCATCAACTTGAAAAGTGCTTAATTGTCTTTTACCTTTAATAAGACACCTCCCCAGACACCAAAGGCCCTACATCATCTCCCCCAAGTCTCTTTCCTCCCCATTAAGAGCCAGACTTCTTAAAGAATTATGTACCCAAGTCTTTCCCTCTGCCTCCTCTCCCTCGCTCACTCTTCCACCCCCTCCAACACCCGCCCCCTCCCCCCCTCCAATTAGAGATGTAGCTATTCCTGAGTCACCGGCCTCCTCCCCCGGGTGCTGTTAAACCCGACACTGGCTTCCCAGGGCTCACCTCACCACTGTCTGGGCCACATTTGACCTGGCCGATCCCTCTCTCCCCCTTGCCTTGGCTTGTGGACTCAGCCCTGCACAGGCCTCCTGTCCACCTCTCCAGTCTCCCCCGTACCTGTTTCCTGCCCACGGCCCAGGGGTCTCAAGAGCTGCCTCCAGCACTCCTCGCCCCGCCACGCTCCCCCTCTGCAAGCTCACCCGCACGCCATCACCTCTGCACACCTGCTCACAGGCCTGAGCCTCCAGCCCCGGACCTCTCCTCCCAGCTCAGACACCTCCCACAAATGTGGGCTCTGAGCACCCGATCCACATGTCCCACAGAGAAGGCCCGACGTCCTCCTGAGCCCCACTCCACCCGCCCTTTCCCGGAGCTCCCCAGGCTGGCCCGTGCCCCCATCCACCCCCAGGTGTGTAGTCCCCTGGCCCTCCCTGGCGCCACGTCCATCACCCAGTCTTCACCTGGCGCCCACGGAACATGCTCAGACCCACGCACACCGCTTAAAGCAGTAGGAACGAGAACCGCCCTGGCAGTCGCGCTCCCCTGCCCCCACCCCCATCCGCACTGCTGTGCCCCCCACCCCGCGTGCCCCTCCCCAGGCCTTGGCAAGCGCTACTCTTTGGACATCCTCTCCCCTTCCTTCTCTGTCCAGCACCTGGCCCCTCTTTCAGACCTCAGCCCAACTGCCCTGAGCTTGGGGCACTCTCCCCAACACCCCCCTCGGGACCACACCCCTCTACAAGTGGCCTGGCTCCCGCGCTTGCCCTGGCGGCGCCCCGGGCGCACAGTTACTCCGTGTGGGTGTGATGTCCTCTCCCCACGGGGGCGGCCGTCCACCCGGCTGCCTTTTCAGGCCCAGCTCAGCCCCGGCCAGTGGCAGGGGGCAATTAACTATTTGCAGGATACATGAATGAATGAGCTAAGGAATGCAGGACCGCTTTGTGGGAGACTGCGAGGGGGTTTCAGCAGAGGGTCAGGGCCCGAACCCTGGGCATCCTGGACCGGCAGGGACCCAGATCGGAACCCGTGGCAGCTGCACTGGGCAGCCCCGCGACGGGGGTGGGCAGGGGCGGGAGGCGGGGCAGAGCCTGTGGACCCGCCTGCGAGGACGCGACCCCGGTCAGGCGGGCGCCTCGCCCTCACGTCCTCTCCGAGGGGCTGAAGGCGCTCTCACCGGGTGGGCGCCGGAGCGCTTCGCCTCCGGACAAGTATGGCCCCGCCGCCGACCCGTAGGTCCGGCGCCCTTCTCTGTCGCTAGGCAACCCCTGGGCCGCGGAGATTAAAGCCAGCGGACGTTGGGCAGCGGGCGCCTCAGGCGCCGGCGCCATGGATCCGGTCATAATGCAGGAGCTGGCCCGCGCCGAGAGCCAGCAGGGTGGGTGGGGGGCCGGGACCCGCCCGCTCCCCGCCCCTGGGGAGACCCCGGGACCCGCCGGTCACCGCCCTCCCACCGGGAGGCTGTCCCCACCCTGTTGACCCCCGCCCTGCCTGATCCAGTGACCCCCTGAAGCCAGCGCTTCGAGGATTTGTCTGACTTGGGCAAACTAAGGCGCCTTTTTAAAAGGAAGCCTTTCGTCCTTCCTAAGCGTTCCTCAAGGATTGTTCACCTCACGCTGCTCCTGAAGCCGGAGCCGCAGAGCTGCTGCGGGGCCCGGAGGGCTGAGCTCGGGGCATCTCGCTGCTGGGCTCCTTCCCCCGGAGAGGACCGGGCCAGCGCGGGGGCCAGCACGGGCTTGCCTGCCCGACCCCAGCCCTGTCCCGGGTCCTCCTGACCGTCCCCACTGCTGCTTGGTGGTGCAGTGGCTGCGTGATGACCAAATCTGCCTCAACTCCTGTCCTGATAGATGCTGCGTCCCTGAAGAGGGCTTATCAGTTGATCAAGTCCGCCAACCTGGGGAAATCAGAGTTTGACCCCACAGAAAGCTTCAGCCCCGACCTGTTTGTTTTGTGTGCAGAACAGGCCCTGAAGGTGATTAATCCCAGGGGTCCTAGGGAGGCGCCTTCAGGGGACCCCGATTTCTTAGTTTGTACTAGAATCGGGAAGCGGCAGCCCCTGGTGGGTGGTCCACTGGGCCGCCCCCTCTGCGAACCTCCTGGGGGGGGGTCTGTGTTCTTGCGCAGATGGGGCAGCCCGAGGTGAGCGAGGACTGCATCCGGATGTACTTCAAGGTGAAGGGGCCGGTCACCCAGTTTCTGGGCCGAGCGCACCTGTGCAGGGCCCAGCTGTGTGCGCCCAAGTCCACCGAAAACATGGTGAGAGGCGATTCCGGGCCCTGTCGCAGCGTCCCCGCCAGCCCTGCGTGCTGCTTCCGCCGGATTTTCTTTACTGTCCTTTGGATCGTGAGGCCTTGGTGTGCACAGCCTTGAGTGTCTTGGCGAGGTGAAGCGCGCCCTTAGCTAGCTTGCCATCCTGAAATGAATATGTAATTGTCCTACTGTGTTTTTCCCCTGAGAGGTTGCTTCCATTCTCCTCAAAGTTCCACGGCTTGTACCGCCGCAGTTAAAATTCCTAGACTCACCTTAAAACGGCTTTGTTAGGAGTTGGGTGACCAGATTCTTCTTCAGTGAAGTGAGATGCCGCATTTCCCATCTGTGCTTTTCCCTGAGGGGTCTGGCTTGTGTCCTTTTGACCTCTGCCCTTTGTGTCCCCGTGCCTGGTGGTGCCTGCAGCACAGGTGGGGCGCAGGGTGGGGTGGGGGTGGACTTCCAGGCTTCCAGGGAGGGGGCGGAGCTCCTGACAGCTTCTGTGGGCGTCCACTCCCCCTGTTGACACCCTGGGGGCCAGGCCGTCTTCAGAGAGGCTTAACGTTCAGGGGAGTGACGGTGAACAGTGATTGATGTTCTAGTAGCAAATTTGATCTAATTGTGCATTCTTTATGTTGTTTAGGAGGAATTTGAAAATTGCGTGACTCAGTATATGAAGGCAATCAACTTTGCAAAAGGAGAACCAAGGTGAGCATGACGGAACGGCCGTTTCTAACTGAGTGTGTACAAGGTTTAGAACCAGAACTTACCAGGTGGTTCTGTCTGTTTGGACGCCGGGGTTTTTGTCTTGTTTTGTTCGTGTTTTACTGCATCTATGGCTGTGGGCTCACGTCTCTAGCGTTGGAGCTGGGCCGCGTGCACACTGGACCCTTTAGCTGCACCCTCTTCCCTGTGCAAAGGTCTCTATGACCTGCAGATGCCTTTTGCCTGCTTTCTCTGTGGGAACCTCGCCTTTGACCAGTCCCCAGGCACCTCCCTTTCTCGTCCTCTCTGGGGGGTTGGCATCTGGGCTCCCTCCCTGCCCTGCCCCCACCGACCTGTGCTCCCCCTGGCAGATCGCCTGGCCCACGGCTTCGTGTCTGGAGGTTTGATTCCCCTGAAACTCCAGCACAGTTTTCTACTTAATTACTGCTTAAATATTATTGAAATTGTTAAGTTTGCATACAAACTGGTATTGATACAGCCTATTTAAACAGGACACAACGTTTAAAGCACATTTAAGTATAAACCCTAGGTTCATTCATTCCTTCTCCCAGTGTCGCTGTGGATGGCCTCCGCTGGCCAGCCCCTGTCGTAGGTGCAGGGGATACAGGGCCCAGCTCCGCAGACCCTTCCTCAGCGGGGACATCTGGACGGCAAGGCCCGGCCTTGAGCCAGAGGTTCTAAGGACAGTGGGTGTTTCAGGGGGACCATGCCCTGGAGCCCTGAGCCCACGCTGTGGGCACCCTTGGGGAGGGGCCTGGTCAGTGCTGCACTGCAGGGGTCTTGGGGGGACGTGCAGACTGCCTGGGGAGGACCAGGAGCCTTGGGGGCTGATGAGGGGTCTGAGTAGACCCCACGAAGGAGCAGGCAGCCTTGTCTTCCTGCTGGGCCTGGCCCGCCCTCCTCTGGGTCGCAGCGGTCATCGGCAGCACCGTCCATCAGACAGCCAGCACCGCCAGGTACCTGGGTCCTGCAAGGCAGAGGTGGCCCCTCCAGAGAGGCGCCTGGGTTCCCTCACTCGGGTTCTCCTGGGGGCTCCTGCAGCCCTCAGGGAAAGGCCCAGCTTCTCAGGGCGCCCTGCTCCCGCCCCAGCATTCCTCCTCACCCACCGTGCACTTCATCCGCTCGCACGGGGACCCCACCCAAGCCGCGTTCCCTGTACTGCTCTCCTGGATGATTCCTCCAGGCAGCCTTCCTCGATGCCCCCTGCACTTGCTCATTCTTGTCTATCCCTTGAAAGCCGAAGGAGGCCTTCCTCATTGGGTACTTTTATGGGGAGCTGATCGCTTTTCAGAATGGCCAAAAGAGTGATGGGGTCTCTGGTCTGGACCCAGGAGCCTGTGGCGGGGTCTGAACTGGAGCCACCTACGCGGCTGAGCAGGGCACGTGGCTGCCTCTGGGAGGATGCTGCGTCCACCCGACATGTATATCTGGCAGCCAGGCCAGGGCGGCTCGGGCAGGGCTGTTGCACCTGCCAGAGACAGAGGCCCTGGGTTGCCTCAGGAAGGCGCTCAGGACGGACTGGCTCTGGGTGAGCCTCACCCACCCTCCTCTTGTGCCCCAGGTATTACTTCCTGGTGTATAATGCATCGGTCCTCTACTGGCAAATGGTGAGGCCATTTCGCAAGCCTGGGTATCATCACCGCCTGATCCCCAGCCTCTCCCAAATCGTGAGCGTGTTGAGTCAGACTGAGGAGGATGACAAAGGCTGGCGGGCCGAGCTGATGCTGTGAGTCCCCAGACACCCGGCAGACGCTGGCCTTCCCCTCCCCCCTCCCGTGACCACATCTCACACCGCAGCCCTGGCAATGCTCTCTAGCCCGAAGTTAGAATCAGGTTTTGTGTGTCTTGTCTGCACACGTTTCTAAACTCTGCAGATGGCATCACAGTGTCCTGATCAGACAGGTGTTACCACAAAACACGTGCTTCTACTCAGAACCCAGGAAGTGGGAGCCTGTGTCATAGTCCTGGCTCGTGGTTTTGAAAATAAATAAGTTGTGAATCAAGTAGACATTCTAGCAACATACAGCTTGGCCCGAGTGCTCACGCATCCAGGTGGCCCCACTTAGGGAAGCTTGCCCTGAGCGCATAACCCCAGGGACAGACAGCCCTGCGTGGATGTCAGCAAGTGGTCCCCAGGCGGGCTGAAAGGCGCTCGGTGACACTTTCCTGTATTTGGGTGGCATTGTTTGCGGCCAGTGACTTTGTGGATGCTACTGGCGGGGCCCAGAGGGTCGGCCCTGAAGTTGGAATCCAGAGTGTGCAGGCGTTCCTCACCTGCTTTTCAGCTGTTTGGGGAGCCTTTAACCGAAAATAAGTAAAACCATGCTCTTTCTGTAAAACACCGTTGTTTGAGTCCTTGGTACTCACAGCCAAACAGGCCCCTTTCCCTTTGCAGGCAGTGGCTGAGCTTTCCAGCCCCGGCCTCAGCTCAGTGAGCCCCATACTGGGCGTGGGCTAAGGAGCTGGCCAATCCCTGCATCTTTCTGAAATTTGTAAAACATGAAAATATAATAACCGGGTTATTAGGCGTTTGCAGCAGAAAATGACTTCATCCAGGTTTAACATGGACGATTCTGTATTACCCAGGGAGCTTCTGGAGTGTTATCTACAAGCTGGAAGAAACGAGGAGGCCGCGAAGTTTTGTGCCACTGCAGCCCCGTTCATCAAGGCTAATGCGCCACAGAAGTATCGACAAATATTTGCTCTTATGGTAAGTTGGAATATTCCAAACTGTAGAAAGAAGTATTTTCTTAAGCCATTGTTCAGGAAACTATGTATAAAAAACAGACAAGACCATCCACTGAGAGATACAAAAACATACATACATATGTACCAGCATGAACAGAACAAAACAAAATCTTTTCCTTCGTTGTGACTGAATATTTCCTTTTTAACAGCACTGAATTTTTTAAAAAGTTAGCAGAAAATTAGTAATTTAAGTAATTACGGCAACAGTGTGTAAAGAGCATTCATCACCTATTAATTTTATATATAGGAATCAAATTGTATAAGAAAAACTAAACATAAAGCATAATAACTGAGAAAATAATTGTTAATTACGAAATTTTACTTTTAAAGGAGGAATGTTTGTAAAATAATAGCTAAATAAAGTATCTGGTCTTTCCCTAATTATTTGCTCAAATCTCTGTTAATATTCTGTTTTCATCTTACAACAGGTCCGACATGAATTAATGGATGAGCTTCAGTTAAAGGAAGAAGAGAGAAGTTCTATCAGCCTGTCTGTCACTTTCCAGATGAATGTGCTAAAAGCGTAAGTGCTTTGGGAAGGGGGATGGGCGCCGACTGGTCTCTGTGCCGGGGTGGGGGGTGGGGGGGGGGGGGGGGGGGGGGCGCGGGGGCACACGTGCAGGGACGGTGAGGCTGGATGGCGGGCTCGGCCTTGCCTCCCTTTACTGAGAAGCTCCGGGGAGGATGCCAGAGTGAGTGCAGCTCGTCAGCAGTGAGGAGGGTGGTTTTAGAAGAGAGGGACAGCAGCCATGTCAGATGCTTCAGTTGGCCCTGCCAGAGGAAGCTTGAGACCTGGCCATGAGCTTGAACAAAAAGAGAGTAGTCGTGGGTGAGACCCTCATGGGACTGGGTGACAGTGCATGGGGGAGATTATACCGAGGTAGAGACCTGCTGTGGCGAGAGGGAAATAGATGGTAGAGAACCTGGTGTGTGTGGTGAGGAGATCCCGGTGTGTGTGAGCGAAGAGAACCCGGGGTGTGAGGAGATCCTGGTGTGGGTGCGTGAGGAGATTCCAGCGTGTGAGTGAGAAGATCCCGGTGTGAGTGGGGAGGACAGCTGTCCAGACGGAGGCAGGTGCTGGTCTGGGTTGGATCTGGGCAGATGCGAAGGGCCAAGCCTCCCTTTTGGTGGGCTCTTGGTGTGGGACTCGTTCTGGGTACAGGGCCTGTGCACGGTGTCCTCGGGATCCGTCCTTAGTGATGGAGGGAGATAGAGCCTGGGCTGGCAGTGAGGGAGGAGGGCGTGAGAGGTCATCAGGAGAATGGAGAAGGAGAAGGTGTTACCTTAGGCCTTCTGTTCAGTGAGGACACAAGTTCATGGACTTCAGATTTTTTGAGGATAATTTAAAGAAATCTGACAGGATCTTTTGGTTATTTAATATTTGATTAAATCAATCTATATTCTAGAAAACTGGATAAAAATGATTTATCTGAAGATACCAACAAAATTCTGAAGGATACCTATAAATGTTTAAGTTATTACGATCACCAGAACTTGCCTTCAGTCAGAGAGGAAAAGTAAGTGTTTATGTTTTTGCAGTTTCACATCTATGTACAGCATTTCGTAGCTATAGGAAAATGTGGAAAACCACACAACCATCATTAGGGAAGCAAGTGTCAGGCATCGTGGAGGTGTCAGTGTTTCCCTCTAGTCTTTTCATGTCCTGAGGTGTGTACTGCTTGGCAGCACCTGGGTTATGAAACTTCACATCATACTTTTTAAAGGTCAAATTCGACTTCTAATCACAAGTGCTTTTCAAGTTACGACACCATCTTACACCTTCTGAATAGACGCCTCACAGTTGAGCCGCAGAGGAGCGTGCCTCTCCCTGAGCAGTTCCGTTGTCAGCTCTCTGCTGCCTGAGTCCTGCGAGCACTGCTCAGAGCTCAGTCCTGGATCGGATTCCTGGGAACTTGTAGTTGAGCCAGAGGCTGAAAGAAGGGTCTGGAATGTACCCCCAGTTCAGCTCTTTCATCAGGTTCTCTGAGTTGCTCTAACTCAGAGCAGGTCCTGCTCGTCCCGTGCCTGGGCACAGCCTCCCTGAGGGGCCCTGGGAGGTTCCAGAGGGGGGACCGTGGGGACAGAGGGGACCACATAACACCAGGACACCTGCCCCGCCTCCTAGGACTGCACTGACTCCACTGCAGGTCCACTCCCTGCTGGCGAAGTGGAACTTTTTTTCATATATTTACGGACATTTTTTTCTCTCGTTAATTTTCCAATGATTTCTTTTGCCCAGTTTTTAAAAAGTAGGTTGTAAATCATTTTACTAAGGACTTGCAAAAGCTTTTTCTGTTTCAAAATTTGAGCCCTCCAATTCCAGTATAGTTATCAATTGTGTCAGTATGTTTACTTTTTAGGTCTTTTAAAACAATTTTTGATGTACAGATGTGTTTTATTTTTATTTTTTCATTTATTTATTTTTGGCTGCGCTGGGTCTTCGTTGCCGTGCACGGGCTTCTCATAGCGGTGGCTCCTCTTGTCGCGGAGCCTGGGCTCTAGGCGTGTGGGCTTCAGTAGCTGTGGTGCACGGGCTTAGTTGCTCCACGGCATGTGGGATCTTCCCGGACCAGGGCTCGAACCTGTGTCCCCCGCATTGGCAGGCCGATTCCTAACCACCGCGCCACCAGGCAAGTCCCCAGCTGTGTTTTATTTAAGATAAGAATAATTTGAGCTGACGTTCATCCCCCAGCATCCTGGACCAGGCTCCATTTGGACCCGTCAGGGAGTCCCCACGCTTCTGGCCCAGCAGCCCGGTCGGTGGGCTCTGACCTGGCTCCCCCAGGAGCCCCGGCATGTGGCCTGCACGGAGCCAGCTGCGCCCCTGCTCCTGCGCCCGCCACACGCCCCCCTCCCCCACCCCGCCTGTGGGCCTGTGGCTTCGTGGTTGCCAGGTTACTGCATGTGGCTTGTGATGTGGCTTCCCGAGTGCTCTGCCCAGCTGCTCCCCAGACCTGGGAGGGGCGTGGCCCCTGCTGGCCTGGGTCACAGGCTCAGCCGCTTGGAGATGCTGTCTGTGGGGTCAGGTCCTTCCTCAGCCCTGAGGCTCCAGCCGTCTGTGAGGCGCCCGCTGACCCCTCCCCACCTGAGCGTCTGTATCTAGAATTCGGGTAGAAATAAAAGTTCTGTGAGGTTAAGACCGAAAAAGCACTGAAAATCAGTGCTGGCTCCCTGTGTGGGTTCTCCCTTCTTCCCTGCACAACAGGCCCAGGTGGCTGGAGCTCGGGGAGGTCAGAGGGGCTGTGGGTCTGGAGGCCCCACCAGGGTGCTTGGAGGTCCGGGCTGCACGGGTCGGGGCAGAGGGCAGGAACCTGCACCCACCCCCGTGAAGGGAGACGGGAGGGCGCCTATTGCAGCGGACAGGGTGCTTGCTTCCGGGGTGGGTGCTGGGAGGTGGAGGTGTTGGATAATGTTCTCCCGGCTGAGAAGCGTCTCTGAGACTGAAAAACAAAGCAGGCAGCTCTGTAAAGTGCAGTTAGGAAGTTCATTGTGGGGACTGACACACAGGCAGGACCGGTCTGCGGACGACAATCCAGAGGCATCCGCAGCTGTGCTCCGAGCCACCAAAAGGGGCACAGGGGACTTAAGGAGGACTTAAAGGGGCAGAGCTAACACTGGCACCTGACTACCAGTGGGACCGAGGGTCTACCTCCCCTGGGGGTTCCGTGACCACTGTCAGCACAGGGCACTCTTCAGTTTTCGTATCAGGTGAAGGCAAGGGTTAGCACTGCCGGGGCTCCTCTGCTTTGGACGCATTCCTTGTGAGTGGGCGGAAGCTGGGTCGCGGTCACTAGAAGGAGGCGGGGGTGAGACTGCGGGCCTGAGAGGAGCTGACCAAGTGCAGCCCGTGTGGTCCAGCCACAGTCAGGTTATGATGCCTGCCTCGGAAAGAGCAGGGAGGTGTTGGCTTATCCCCAAGGGAGGCTGGCATGTCTGGGGACGCTGCTGGTGGCCACTGTTGCTGGTGACCAGGGGTGCCGCTAAACACTCCACCGTGTGCAGGACGGGTCCCCACCCAGTAGAGAACTGCCTCATCAAGACGTGATGGTGTCAGGCTGGGAACCATTGCCTTGATTCCTGCAGTTTTATATTAAGTCTTAAAATCAGGCAGTTTAGTCCTCTGACTGTTCTTTTTCGGAGTTGCTTAGGAGAGCCTAGGTCCTTTGCATTTCCGTGCACATCTTAGCATCAACCTGCTGATTTCCACAAAGACCACGATTGGCACTTGGTGACTGTGAATGCTCTGGTCACGGCCCCGAGGAAATGTGTGTCTGTCTCTTGTCACCCCTGCCCCCCACCAAGGGCTCAAATGGTGATGCCCAGGGCTCACAGCCCCTCATCAGGCTGCACCTGCACCTGCCCTGAGTCAGTGGAAGTCCCTCCAAATCCTGTGTCAGGGCCAGAGGGGGCTGGGCTTAGGGACCCTCACCATAGGATTTCTCTTCTCTTCCATTTTATTCCTGCCTCCCGCAAATGACAGCTGAAGACTTATTCTACCCACAGGTGGGTGTTTCTTGTTGTCTCCTGTTGACCCAATGCTGTTTTGTTTCTGTTTCCAGAATTCTTTTGCTTTTTGAATTAGCTCATCTTTCTCTGATCTTGAAATGTGGGGAGATCACCTCTGACTGCCTCTCAGACTTGAAGAAGATGGACAGCAAAGTAGGTGGTCAGGGACTGGGTGCACCACCCCTACTCACTGTGATCTTGACATGAAAGGCAAAAAAACAAAAACAAAAATGGGAAAGGAATTCAAAAGCCCCTCACCAGGAGGGCCTAAATTGTTGTATTGGTAAATTTCCTTTCAGTCTTTTTTAAGTGCAATTCATACAGTTGAGATGATGTGATTTTTGCAGTTTTGCATCAATAGTATCATTAATGATAAATGGATCAATTTGTCAAGAGGATATAACAATTGTACATGTATATGCATCCAACATTGGAACACCTAAATATATTAAGCAAATACTAACAAATCTGAAAGCAGAAATAGACAGCAATGCAACAATAGTAGGAATCTTTAATACCCCCCTTTCAACATGGATAGATCATCCAGACAGAAGATCAATAAGTATGTATTGGGCTTGAACTACACTTTAGACAAAATGAGCCTAATAGACATCCGTAGAACATTCCATTCAATGGAGGAAAATACACATTCTTCTCAAGCACACATGGAACATTCTCCAGGACAGATCATACATTAGATCAGCGGTACCCAACCTTTTGGGCACCAGGGACCAGTTTCAAGGAAGACAGTTCTTCCACAGATGGTGGGTGGGGGTTGTTCAGGTGGTAATGCGAGTGCTGGGCAGCGGCAGGTGACACTTCGCTCGCTTGCCTGCCGCTCACCTCCAGCTGTGCGGCCTGGTTCCTAACAGGCTGTGGACTGGTACTGGTCCACGGACCAAGGGTTGGGGACCCCTGTGTTAGATCATGAAACAAGTCTCAACAAATTTAAGATGATTTTCTGACCACAGTGGTGTGAAACCAGAAATCAGCAACAGGAGGAAAGCTAGAAATTCACAAAAGTGTGGAAATTAAACAACATACTCCTGAACAAAGAAAAAATCAAAAGGGAAAAAAAGATTTTGAAACATAGGACAATGGAAATACAACATACCAAAACTTATAGAATATAGCAAAAGCAGTCCTAAGAGGGAAGTTCATAGCCGAAAACACCTACAATAAGAAAAAAGAAAGATTTCAAATAAATGACCTATATTTATACCTCAAGGAACTAAAAACAAAAAACAAAAAAACAGAACAAAGCCCAAAGTTAGCAGAAGGAAGGAAGTAACAAAGATCAGAGCAAAAAACAAATGAAATAGAGACCAGAAAACAAATAGAAAAGATCATTGAAACTGACAGCTGGTTTTTTGAAAAAATAGACAAAATTGACAAACAGCTAGACTAGGAAAAAAAGAGAAGACTCAGAATCAGAAATGAAAGAGGAGACATTACAACTGATAACACAGGAATACAAAGGATCATAGAGACTACTGTGAACAATTATATGCCAGGAAGATGGGTATCCTATAAGAAATGGATAAATTCCCAGAAGCAAACAACCTACCAAGACTGAATCATGGAGAAATAGAAAATCTGAATAGACCAGTGAGTAAGGAGATTGTATCAGTAATCAAAAAATCTCCAAACAAGGACAAGATGACTTCACTGGTGAATTCTACCAAACATTTGAAGAAGAACTAATGCTAATCCTTCAAAAATTCTTCCAAAAAATTGAAGAGAAAGGAACACTCCCCAATTCAGTTTACAGGGTGAGCATTACCCTGATACCAAACCAGACAAAGACACTATAAGAAAAGAAAATTACAGGCCAATATCCCAGATGAGCACAGATGCAAAAATCCGCAACAAAATACTAGCAAACTGAATTCAGCAGAACATTGTAAAGATCAAACACCACGATCAGTGAGATTTATCCTGAGGTTGAAAGGATGGTTTAATGTAGGCAAATCAATAAATGTGATATATCACGTTAACAGAATGAAGGGTAAATATATGATCATCTTAATAGATGCAGGAAAAGCATTTGACAAAATTCAACATCCTGTCATGATAAAAACTCTCAACAAATTAGGTATAGAAGGAATGTACCTCCACATAACAAAGACCACATATGACAAGCCCACAGCTAACATTATATTCAATGGTGAAAGAATAAAAGCTTTTCTTCTAATACCAAGAATAAAACAAGGGTGCCCACTCTTGCCACTTCTGTGCAACATAGTACTGGAAGTTCTAGCCACAACAGTCAGACAAGAAAAAGATGTAAAGGTCATCCAAATCAGAAAGGAAGAAGTAAATGTGTCTCTGTTTGCATTTGGCATAACCTGTTTATACAGAGAAAACTCTAAAGACCCCACCAAAAACCATTAGAACTAATGAGCAAATTCAGTTAAGTTGCAGGATTCAAAATCATCATCCAAAAATTGGTTATGTTTCTGTTCACTAAAAATGAACTATCTGACAGAGAAATTACGAAAACAATTCCATTTACAATAGCATCAAAAACAGTAAAAGACTTAAGAATACATTTAACCAAAGAATTGAAAGACTTGTGCACTGAAAACTAGAAGACATTGATGAAAGAAATTGAAGAAGACACAAAGAATGGAAAAATATCCCATGTTCCTGGATTGCAAGAATGAAAATTGTTAAAATGTCTATACTACCCAAAATCACCTACAGATTCAATGCAATCCTTATTGCAATTCCAATGGCATTTCTCAAGAAATAGAAAAAAAAAATTGTACGGAACCACGGAAGAGCCAAAGCACTCTTGAGAAAGAAGAACAAAACTGGAGGCATCACACTTCCTCATTTCCAACTATACCACAAAGCTATAGTAATCAAAACATATGGTACTGGTATGAAAATAGACACACAGACCAATGGAACAGAATTGAGAGCCCAGAAATAAGGCCACACACATAATGTCAACTAATCTTTGACAAGGGCAACAAGAAAACGCTGTGGGGAAAGGACAGCCTCTTAAATAAACGGTGCTGGGAAAACTGGCCACATGCAGATGAATGAAATTGGACCCGTACCTTACACTACTCACAAAAATTAAATGGATTACAGACTTTAAGACCTGAAATCGTAAAACTCCTATATGAATACATAGGGCAAAAACTTATTGACATTGTTCTGGGCAATGATTTTTTGAATATGACAACAAAAGCAAAAGTAAACAAGTAGGACTACATCAAACTAAAAAGTGTCTGCACAGCAAAGGAAACAACACAATGAAAAGGCAACCTATGGTATAGGAGAAAAATATTTGCAAACCATGTATCTGATAAGGGTTTAATATCTAAAATATATAGGGAACTCATACATCAGTAGGAAATCATCATCATCCAATGGGAAACATGGGCTAAGGACCTGAATAGACATTTTTCCAAAGAAGATACTCAAATTGTACATGAAAAGGTGCTCAACATCATCAGGGAGATAAAATCAAAACCTCAGTGAGTACCACCCCACACCTGTTTGAATGGCTGTTATCAAAAAGATGAGATAACAAGTGTTGGTGAGGATGGGGAGAAAAGGGAACCCTTGTGTTCTGTTGTTGGGAATGTAAATTGATGCAGCTATTATGGAAAACAGTAAGGAAGTTCCTTAAAAAATTAAAAATAGAACCACCATATGATTTCGCAATCACACTTCTGTTTGTACGTCCCAAGGAAATGAGATCAGGATCTCAAAGAGATACCTACACCCCCATGTTCACTGCAGCATTATTCACAAAAGCAAGATGTGGAAACAACCTAGGTGTCAGTTGATGGATGAATGGATAAAGAAAATTGTGTGTGTGTGTGTGTGTGTAATGCAGTGTTATTCAGCGATGAGAAAGGACATCCTGCCATTTGTGACAGTGTGGATTAATATGCTCAGTGAAAGAAGCCAGACAGAGAAACAGAATAGCCTGGGGGTTGCCAGGGCCTGGGGGTGCAGGAAGTGGGGAGGTGCTGATCAAAGGGGACAAACTTTTAGCTTTAAGACGAATACGTTTTGAGGATCTAATGTACAGTTTGGTGACTACAGTTCAGAATTTTGTAGAGTATACTTGAAATTTGGTAAGAAAGATCTTAAGCATTCTCACCAAAAAGAAAACAAAACAATAACAATGTGAGGTGATGGATGTATTAATTCATTTGATTATGGGAATCATTGCACAATGTCTATGCTTTTACACTTTACTCTTTAAATATATACAATTTTATTTGTCAATTATACCTAAATTAAAATTTTTACATAAAAATAAAGCAGAGTAGACATTTCAGAAAAAAACATTAGCAGACTTTCGAAGGTATAGTAATGCAAACTATCTAAAATGAGACAGAAAGGAGAAACACTAAGGAGGATATAGGGAACATCAGTGAGCTTGGGACGACTTGAAGCAGACTCTAATGTATATGTAATCAGAGTCCCCGAAGAATAGAGAAAGAAGGGGACAGAAAAAAAATATTTTAAGAAATAACGGCTCAAAATTCTAAATTTAATCATCTGTAAAGAGCAGGAAATTATGTACTGAGGAACAGAGAGAAGAATGACAGCAAACTTTTTGTAGGAAATAATACAAGTCAAAAGACATAAGATCAACATCCTTAAAATATTAAAATAAAATTAAAAATAACTATCAACCGGGCTTCCCTGGTGGCACAGTGGTTGAGAGTCTGCCTGCCGATGCAGGGGACACGGGTTCATGCCCCGGTCCGGGAAGATCCCACATGCCACAGAGCGGCTGGGCCTGTGAGCCATGGCCGCTGAGCCTGCGAGTCCGGAGCCTGTGCTCCGCGGTGGGAGAGGCCGGAACAGTGAGAGGCCCGCGTACCGAAAAAGAATAAAAAAACAAAACCAAAAAAACTATCAACCTAAAAAATCTACACTCAGAGAAAATATCTTTGAAAATCAGAGGCAAAATAAGTATTTATTAAAATATACAAAATCTGGAAGAGTCTGACTTACACTACAAGAAATTTTAAAGGACTTTTTCAAGCAGAAGGAAAATGATGCCAGGCGGAAATCTGGATCCACACAAATAGTGAGGAGGACCAGCAAGGGGAGCCGCATGAGTCACACAGAGACGGAAAAATCTGTAAATCTCTTGAAAAGATAATTGGCTATTTAAAGCAAAGATAACAACATGGATCAAAAGACTCAATATTGTTAAGATGTCAGTTTTCTCCAGATTGAACTGTACATTCAATGCGATTCAATCAAAGTCCCGGCAGGAGTGTTTCAAAAATTGGCAAGCTGAGTATAAAATTTATGTGGAAATGCAAAAGATCTAGAATAGCTAAAAGCAGCTTTGAAAAAGCAGAACGATGTCAGAAGACGAGCACGACCTGATATAAAGTCTCCATGGTTGAGACAGGGTGGCCTTGACATGGAGACTCACAGAGACTGAGGGACAGGACAGGGTCCAGAAAGAGACCCACAAGCGCGGGGCCTCCAGCTTGCATGAGGTGCAGAGGCTTCCGGTGGGTGACAGAGCATCTCATCCACAAATGGTACCGGACAAGGAAACAACCACGTGCGAGAACGTGAGCATCGGCCTGCACTTCATACCGTGGACAGAAATCAACTCAAAATGCATCATAAACCAAAACGTGAGTTAAAATGATAAAACTTCTGGGGAAAACGTTAAGAGAAAACAATAAGAGGAAACTTTGTGAGCTATTATCTCACAAGCACACACCTAGTAGACGGCTAAGCTGGAGACTAACCGTCCCAGATGGCCAGGAGTGGGATGGGAAACGGCAACCCCTTGGGAAAACAGCTGAGCAGTTTGTAAAAGTAAAGTGTGTGTCAGCCACCCACCCAGCAAATCCCAGGCCCCCGCCACCCCGCCGCCTCCAGCAGGACGCCCCGTCCAAACCCGGCAGGGATTCAATGAAAGAAATCAGCCAAGTTTCATAACAGAGCGTTTGTCTGAAGTTGGTGTAGTTATTTAAAAGTTCTGTGTCCAGTGAAATTAACTATCAAAGGTGAAAAACAATTTTTTTCTAGCTTTCTCATTCAAATCTTTGCATCTTTTGGAAACATTTGAAGTTTTTCTTATATATATTTGTATCATCTAATTTTTATTTGTTGAATTTCTACCTAGTACACGAGTCATATTTTTAAATGGTCTTTGAAGTTAATGAATGTGCGTGATCGCTTTCGTTAAAACTCTCCATCTTACACAGCAACTCCTGTGCCCCGCAGGATCCCGGGGAGCTAATTGAAATCGAATGCCTGGAGTATGAATTGGAAGCTGAAAGACTTGCAAATAAAATGAAAATCTACACCCGAGAGGCTGTGGAGGTAAGTCCTCGACTGGGAGCCGCAGCAGATGCTGAACTGTTGTGCAGGTTCCCTGGACCCTGTGATTTGACTGGTGCCAGGTTTGGGGGGCAGACCTGACAGGCACGGGCCAGCCCCCTGTGCCCTGGTTTCCCACCCGTGACTGTGGCCTCTCTGGCAGGAGCTCCAGGGGCCTGGGTGTCCCCCAGCTGCCGAGGCCGGCTGCCGTCCTCCTCTGCGGCACGGAGCTGGACCCCCCACGGCTCCCAGGGCCACCTTGGCCTGGCGGACGTCTGGGTTCATGCAGCCCATTCTCTGGGCCAGGGGCTGGGGTGGGACCATCCTCTGGCCAAGCCCTCCTGCGGCCTGTGTGGAGTGGCCCACCCCAGCACACTGATAACACTTGCCATTGGTGATCGCTGAGTCCCCATGAGAGCACTTTGCCATTCTGACTCAGGTCCAGGAAGGCACACGTTGCCCCGGCTCTAGTGCGGGGCTGTCGGCCTCGCTGGGCTTGGGAAACAGAGGGGCTCCAGTGAAGTGGTGAGGTTATCACGGGATGGGGGAGGGGGGACCTCGGGGAGGGTGGAGGGCAGGTCCAGAGGACCCACACGAGCGTTCCTCCCTCGCTGCCCCCTTTGGAAATCCCTGACTTGTCTAGAATATTCCACTGGTATTTACTGAGGAGGCAGCTGTCTCTCTGAGGAGTTGGCGCACGGCAGCCTGGTGAACACGGTGGCAAAGTGACAGACCGTGTGAGCTCAGCGTCCTATGTAATGCAGTCAGAGCTGGTCCAGCAGCCACCGCCCGAAAAGGAATCCAGCAATCATTTATGTTCTTTAATAAGAATCCTGCAGTTGGAAAAAGGGAACCAAAATACCCTGAAACAGAGTGATGGCGGCTGGCATTTCTTTGGGGCCCAGGTGTCCGCCCCCTGGCTCAGCTCCTGGGACCCTCTCTGGAGCCCTGGAGCCGGGCTGTGCTGCCCCTCTGGAGCAGGAGAGGCAGCGTCGGTGCCGTGAGCTCTGCCAGGGGACGATCAGCTGGGCCGGGGCTCCGCGAGTTCGAGGCCACCTGGGGGATGTGCGTGTTCCCTTTGGACTTGCCCAGGTGGCTGCCCCTGCCAGCGTTGATCTTCTCGAGGGAGGTCGTGGGCTACCTGTTGACCGCGTGCTGGTGCTGGCTGGTGGTGGCGCAGAGACTGCAGGGCTGTGTCCCTCTGCCTTTGTCAGCCTCGGACCTCGGGCCAGGGGCCCTTCAGGGGCACCGGTTCAATGAGGCTTTGATGGACACATCTTGGCAGGCAGGAGTCACAGGGTCTGAACCCCAAGCCTGTGCTGGTCCCTGTGGCTTGGGAGCAGCACGAGGGGAGGCCCCCAGGTGCCAGAAGCCAGGGCCCATGGACATGGCTGAGCTTAGGCGGCAAGGCAGCCCTAGTGGGTGCTGGGGGAGGCATGGAGCTGGTGAGGCCCCTTGCACAGGCTGAGGCCGGCCAGCGCCTGCCTGCTGGGCAGGGCGTGTGGGGCACGGACTGGAGGAGCTGTTCACTGGACGTCACTGGGCGTGGGCCCCATAAATATACAGGGCCAGGAGATCAGCAGCTTCGCTCAGATGGGCTCACAGAGGAGAGACGCACCCAGAGGGCGCAGAGCCCGTTCTAAGGCAGGGTCTCGACCGCAGGCCATTTCCACGGACAGACTCAGACTGTGGGCCTGGGCGCCCCCTGCGGCCTCCTGGGCTCAGGGTCGGCCGGGGCTGCCCTGGCTCGCCCTGTGCTGCGCGTTTGCCCCCAGCCTCACACATGGGCCACTGTCTTTTGTGCAGACCCAGCTGAATATAGTACAGAGACTGGACATGGTGCTCCGGCGAGCTGTGCGCCTGGGCGACCCGCGGGTCATCCACGTGGTGTGCGCCACGCAGTGGAACACCTGCCTCCCGCTGCTGCAGCACGACCTGCGGCACCATCTGCGGAAGTCGCTGGCCAGCATCGCGGAGGTCCTGGAGAAGATGGACAGGTGGCGGTCCTGGGCTCTCCCCCCGGGGGGAGACAAGCGGGCGGGAGACCCTTGGGGTAAGGACGAAGTCCAACTCATTTTCCCAAAAAAGTGGGCAGGAAGGGCAGCAGGACTCCACGGCTCCCCGCAGAAGGGCCAGCTTGAGAGGCCGGCAGGCCGTGGGGGAGGTGTGTCTGGAGTGCGGGGGGCAGGGCCTTGCAGGGGGGAGGCTGGGGGGCACCCGGGCGGCGCCCATCTGAGGTCGAGAGGGGCTGAGGAGATAGGGCTTTGTCAGGAGGGTCCTGGGCTGCATGGCAGGGGGATGGCAGGGCACAGGGCCTGTGGGCACAGGCGCAGGAGGGAAGGTGGAGTGGGCGGTGAGTCAGTGAGGCCCCCCGGCTGGGGGTCGCAGCCCATGGGGATGCTGCAGTTGGTCCCTGGCAGACAAGGGGTTTGGGAGACGGGGACTTGGTGTGTGGGCAGAGAGGAGCTGTGGGGGGTCACCCAGGAGGGGCTGCAGCCGCAGGGAGGGGCGGTGGGGAGAGCTGCCCTGCCCCGTCTGCTCCTGTGATTAATTAGGGTTGGGTTTCGTCGCCTACTTGAGCCCTCGGAACAGGGGTCTCGGCAGGGGAGCCAGGGGCCTGGTTGTCAGCCTGAGGGTGGGCAAGGGGGGTCCCCAGGGTCTCCGGTATGGTTCATTTCCTGCCGGCACCTGGGGGTCTTGGCTGTGAAGAGCTGCATCTCTCTTCAAATCTGGGATTTTTACCCATTTTGAAAATAGTTTCTCCTTCTGGAATCCCATGGGGATGTATGACAGGCTCCTAGCCCAGCTACCAACCCCCCCCACCCCGACCCCAGCGAACTTTCCACGCTCACGGCCCCACCCCCCATGTGTGACACGCTGAATTCTGACAGATTTCCTCCAGGCCATTAGTACTCTTTTATTTTACAAATTCTCTAATTTTCCTTCCTTTCTTTAGCCTATGTTTTTAAATTTTAATGACTATTTCTTCCAAAATATCCTTTTAGTTTATTTTCATATTTGCCTGATTTTTAAAAATAATGTCTTCTAGTTGCCCTCTTTTCCTCTGACAGCTCTTTTTCTGATTAACTTTATTGAGATATAATTGCACACAATAGAATACAAACATTGTTAATGTCCCTTCGTTGTGTTGTTTTTTAATCATGGGTGGGTGTTGAGTGCCGTCAAATGTTTCTTCTGCATCTATTAAAAGGTCTGTGACTTTTCTCTTTTGTTCTTTAATGTGGTGAATTATGCTGATTGAACTTTGAGTGGTGAACCAACCTTGCATTCTCTGCATGGTCCTGACATATGTCAGCGTGTTGTTAAGGATTTTTACGTGTAGGTTCATGAGGACGTTGGCCTGTGATTTTCTTCTTTTGTAATGTCTTTGTCAGGTTTTGACATCAAGGTCATGCTGAATTTATTAAATGATTTGGGAAGGTGGGAAGGATTCTTCCTCCTCTGCTTTCTGAAGGAGTTTGTGCAATCTTGGTGTTTTCTTCCTTAAATGTTTGATAGAATCCAGTGAAACCATCTGGGCCCGTCTGAAGCATTTCTTTTTCCATCCTTTCAATTCTCATCCTCTGTGGATCTTCCAATTTAAAGTGTAGAACACAGCTTTTAATAGCATGTAGTTTGGCCTCACTTCTTTCTGTCTAGTATGATAATCTCTGCCTTTTAACTGGAGTGTTTAGTCTCTTTGCGTTTAGTGTAGCTTTGAACTTGTCTACAATCTCATCATTTGTTTCCAGTTGTCCCTTCTGTTCTGCTGCTGCTCTTTCCCTGCCTTCTTTGAGGTTAATTGAATTTTTTACCATTGGATTTACTTCCTCTATCAGCTTTTTTGTCCACTGTACCCTTGGGGTGGGGGGGATTGCTGTAGGGCTAACAGTGCACATCCTCCTTAGCCAAGTCTGTGTGAGGTGGTGCTTCCCACCCGGCAAAGGGAAAACCTCACGCATTTCCCGTCATCTACCCCACTTTGTGTGGTTGTTGGCATGTCTTTTACTTCTCAATGTGTTATGGGCCTCATCTTACAGGTCATTGTTTTGCTTTTAGCAGCCAGTGGTTTTTTAAAGAAAATTACAGAGAAAATCAATAGTCTCTTATATTTGCCCACTTCTTAGTCAATCCCACAGGCTCGCTCTTCTTTCTTACCCTCAGATCCAAGTTTCTTTCTGCTGTTATTTCAGCCTGAGGAACTTCCTTTATTTTTTTCTTGTAATGCATGACTGCTGGTGATGAATTCTTTTGGCTTTTGTTGATCTGAAAATGACTTCACCTCACCTTCATCTTTGAAGATTATTTTCACCAGTTGCTGGATTCTGGGTTTACAGATTTTTTTTTCTTTAAACCCTTTGAAGAGGTTGTTTCATTTTCTTCTGGCCTTCGTAGTTTCTGATAAAAACCCAGCATCTGGCCCCTCTTACGTTCTGACTGTGGGTTACCTTTTCCTGTTTCCTTGCATGTCCAGTAGTTTTTTATTGTGTACTGAATGTTGTGGTTGGTGCACTGTGGAGTCTGTGGATTCTGTGATCTTTTTAAAGAGAGTGTTGCTTTTTGTTCTCTTGGGTACTTCAGTTACGGGTTGAGAGCTGGCTTCTTGTTTTGTTGGCCATATCTCTGGAAGTTTACAGTGTCTTCCAGCCTGTCTCAGTGGGGCTCAACCTCTAGCCCAGTTGCACCCGCGATCTCCGTGGGCTCGGCTGACATCTGGGGTGTGAGTGAGGGATACCCAGCTCTCTCCTCTCTGGTGGGCAGGCCTGCAACAGCTGCTCTGGTACCCGGCTCCTCTTCTCCAGCCTGGAGCAGCCTTCCCAGCCCAGAGCAGAGACCCTCCCTGTGGACGGCAGGTGCCCTGGTTCTGGGCCCAGTGCTCTGCCCGCGATGCCACGGGACACTGTCTCCAGGCAAGGTGCGGGCTCCTTCCTGAGTTCCCGCCTCCAGGGACCCCAGGCTTGTGCTGCTCAGACCCAGTGCTGTGTTTGGTCCAGCTTCACAGTGGATACTCGTGGCAGAGACTTGATCACAGCTGGAAGCAGAAGGAACTCTGAAAATTACTCATTTCTAATCCTTTTCATCTGGTCCCATTCATCCTGTTTTGATAGGGACGGAGTCTCTCATTCGAGTCTGCTGTGCTTACTCACCATCATCTCTGTGGCTTCCTTGAGCCAATGGTTTACCAGGTTGTTCCTGACGCTGGCTGTTCCGCTGTGTAGCCCTCTCCGCCTGCCGGGTTGCTCCTGACCAGGGCTGTGCCTCTGTGTAGACCTCTCCGCCTGCCGGGTTGCTCCTGACCAGGGCTGTTCTGCTGTGTAGACCTCTCCGCCTGCCGGGTTGTCCCTGACCAGGACTGTTCCGCTGTGTAACCCTCTCTCTGTGGTGTCAGCTTGCCTCAGATGGCTCCTCGCGTGGTCCAGCCCTGGATGAGTCTCGCATTATGGATTCAGGGTCAGGCTGCCCAGAGCACACAGTTCGGTGCTGGTCCAGCTCCCATTCTGTGGGCCTCCTCTTCCGCTGCCTCAACACAGAAGAAAGTGGCCTATTACTGGCTGCTGTCCAGGCTTCCGGGCAGAGTCCGTGGAACCTGCTTCCCTGATGGGAGCGCAGACCTCACCCTTGGCATCAACCAGGTGCCCTCTCCTGCCCACCACTCCCGGCCCCCGAGCAGCGGAGCGCCAGCCTCCAGGCGCCTTGGGCACTGTGTGCTCTTCCCTGAGGTCACGGGCCTAGCGTGTGACGCTTGTGCCTTGCCGTGGCTGAGGGTCGGCTCATGGGTCTCCTAGAACTTTAATTCGACCAAATTTGTTGGCTTTTCTGATGCTCGCGTCCAGGGTGGAGGCTGTGGCATGGGGCTCTGCGTGCTGTGGATGAAAGGCTTTGAGGAGACTGTGTTACCAGCTTAGACACGGCCGTCTCCAGCCCTGCCCAGCCCAGGAGGCTCCAGCAGAGGCAGCAGCAGGAGCAAACGCCAGGCAGGGCCACGGGTCCACGAGAGGCGTTCTGAGCAGGGGAGTGTGTGCTTCGGCCGATGAGATGGAGAGAACTCAGAGCAGAGCCGAGACGGCCCATCCGCTGAGGCAAAGCCTGGGCTTCGGTTGTGCTAAATTCACCTGCTTGGCCTCGCCAAGAGCCTCCCGGGGTGCTGGACGAGACGCAGCGTCGGGCGCCCCGCGTTTGCTGAGCTCGCCACCTGGCTTTCGTGCCGCAGTCGTTCTCTGTAGCATGGAGCCCGGCTGGGCCCAGCTGCCGCTCCTTGGCCCTGGTGCGCCTGTGGGCTCCGAGGTCTCCTGTGGTCTGCAGGGACCACCTCTTGGTCCTCCGTGGGTCCTTGGGGTAACGAAGGGCAGAAGGCGGGGCTGGAAAACCAGGCACCAGGGGTGTCCCGCGACAGCCCCGCCGGGCTCTTGCAATGCTGTCTGTCCCCGCAGCCTCATGGTCCTGTTCCGTTGCCAAGTGCACATGGAGATGGCGTACATTGAGGAGGGTGCGGACCGGCTGGAGCCTGCCATGGGGCACCTGAGGAAGGCCGTGCTCCTGGACACCCTGGGCCTCTACCAGGACACGCTCAGGATGGCCCTCAACCGCCTGCACCTCTGCGCCACGCCGTGCCAGGTCCCCGAGCGCACCGAGGACAAGGCCACCTTGGCCATTGCGCAGGTGCGCCCCGCCCCCCCGGACCTGGGCCCTGGGGCCTCTGCGCCTGGGGAGGGCAGGCATCCGGGGCGGGGCCCCGTCAGGCCAGGAGCGCTCAGCAGAGACGGGCAGCGGAGCTGCTCTGGACGACGCGGGTGCTCATCACGCCATCTACCCTTCGCAGGCAAAGAAAGCGATGCCGGAGGACAGTGTGCGCAAGAAGCGGGCGCTGCTGGTGACCGCGGGCCTGGCCCTGGCCCCTGACACCTTCCAGATCGTGCTCGACAGTGAGAACGAGGCCAAAGGTGTGCAGGCTCTCTCAGCAGCACACACACGCCTGAACCCACCCGCCCTCGACCTCCGCCCACACGGGCCTCAGGTGCTGGTGTGCAGCCTCCTGTCCCCACTCTGCGCGACAGAGCACCTCCCGTGGCGAGGGGGGAGGCTCACACAGCCTGGAGGCCTGAAGCCTGAGACCGAGGGGCTGGAGGGAGGGGCCGCCTGGGCCTGTCTCCGGGGCCCACACGGCTGGCTTGCCTCTGCACCCGTTTCTCTCTGTGTCCAATTTCCCCTTTTAAGGACACCCGTCATAATTGATTAGGGCCCACCCTAATGACCTCACTTTAACTTGATTTTTCCTGGTAAGACCCATCTCCAAACAAGGCCACATTCTGGAGTTCTGGGGGTCAGGGCTTCCTCGTATACTTTAGGGGGCACTGCCCCCATGCCACTGTCCCCCCCGAGGATGGGGGTCCTGGGCTTCTCTGCATTACCCCCAAGTATATCGAACCCTTGCAGATGGCAGATTAGCGCCCGGCTCTGGAGCACCCCGGCGCCCTTCCTCTCAGAGTCCCACCTGAGGTTGCCCAGGGCTCCCTTAATGTTGGCTCCCCCGGCAGCCTTCAGCCGGGCAGCCCCTGCCGTCTGCAGATAGGAGCCGCGGAGGGAGCCCACGGTGGCCAGTGTGGTGGATCTGGGATGTGGACTGGGGGATGGCTCTAGGATGTGACCCTTGGCCTCGGTGGGCCACGGACCTTGTGCTGTCTCTGTGGCCGCCGCACGTCACCAGGTCCTGTTGTCACCCCGTCCGGGGCGTGGCAGTGCCACCCCGTGCTTCCTTCTTGTCCTGCTGGGTGTGAGGGGCACGGGCCCAGTGGGCAGCCGCCCCGGACACGCTCGGGCTCTCTTGGTGCGTTTCACTCGGCGAGGGGCCGGGCAGGAGTACCTGGCCAGGCGGGGGCCTTCCGCGGGGTCCCTGCCAGTCGGCTCCTGGAGGTGGGGGGCCATGGGGACAGAGGCCACCACTGTGCTGGGCGCGGGTGGAGGCTCTTGGGGCCGGCCTGGCGGGTGCAGAGGGGGTCGTTCTGTGCACCAGCTGCCCCTGGTGCCCGGCGCCCCTCCCCTACAAAGGCACAGCTAGCGGGACCTAATCTTCATGAAAAGGTCAAAAGACGCCCGGGAGGCGCCACCACACCCGTCCAGAGTCCTGCGCGCTGGGGTTGCGGGAACGTGCCCTGACCCGGGACCCGCCGCGTCACTGCCCCGTCCCGCTGTCCACCCTCAGTTTCCACCGGGGAAAAGCGGGGCCGCTTCACCTACCTGTACGCGAAGGCGCGGCACCACTCCCTCAGCGTGGATGAGGCCGCGGGGCACGTGCAGCGCCTGCAGGGCCGGAACGCCAAGGAGAGGTGAGTGGGCGGTGGCCGGGGGGCGTGCGGGGGCTCCTGGGTCGTCGCGGCGGGGGCACCGGACCGCTGCCCGCCCCCTCGCCTGGCCCCGGGCAGCACCCCCGCGGGTCTGCCCGTCACCTCGCGTCCAGGCTGGGGCGTCCATTGGGCTCGTGGCAGGAGCCCTGCGCCGGTTCTCCCGAGCGGAGAGCTCATCGTGCACCTGTGCAGGGTACAGATCTGGGCCGAGCTGGCCAAGGTGGCCCGGAAGCAGGGCGTGTGGGATGTGTGCCGGACGGCCAGCCGCTTCTGCCTCGCGTATGACGTCGGCAAGGTGGAGCGGCAGGCGAGGCTCAGGCGAGGTAGGCCCCGGGGCCACGCCTGGGCGCCCGCACTGGCGGGATCTCCCCAGGCGACCTGGGGTTGCTGCGGGGCCCGCGGGGCTCAGCGAGGGGACCCAGGGCTGCAGGCGGGGGCCTGCGGGCAGAGCGTGGGCCTGGGCCGGCTCCCCCGTCAGCGCTGGGTCCGCACGAGTCCGGCCTGCAGGTCTCTGGAAGAGGTTGGTTTTGCGGACGGTGAGGATGGGGGGGCCTGCAGGCAGTCCCAGGAGGCCCGGGGCCTGGGTGTTGGGGGCGGGGCCGGGGCCTCTTGAGGGGCAGAACAGCGCAAACAGAACCAAGAGCCCAGCTGTCAGGGAATCGGTGGGAGACTGGCCATGGCCAAGCTGGCTTTGGGGACACCTCGCCACCCCGTGGGGCCCCTGCGCTTGGGAGGTTTCTGCCAGCCCCTCCTGGGCACAGTGCCACCTCGCAGAGACCCCGCCGCCGCACCCGGGGCTGCGCCGCGTTCCCTGAAAGGCTGTTCGGGTTCTGAGCATCCTGCCGCTCTGCTGTTTCCAGGGAAGAAGAAGAAGGGCGGGGACGGCGCGGAGCAGGACTCCTCGGGCCAGTCAGACGCCACCCTGCATAGGCCGGTGTCCCCCAGCCTGCTGCGCGAGTTCGCGGAGGTGGGGTTCATCAACGCTGAGGTGCGTCCCTGCCCACGGCCCCTCGGCCCCCGTGTCACCTGCCTCTGCACGGACGTGGCCCTATACCCCAGCCCTGCTCCCGAAGGAGCCTGTCCTTTAGGGAAGTTTTCCCGGGTTCTTGGGAGATTTTCTGGGAGAAAGATATAAATCAGAATGTATCGTGAGGGGTGTAGATGTTAATTTTCCTTAGAAGTAATGTTTGAACTGTGAATCCACGGTGACGTAGGTACCGCAGGCTGATGGTTACTGGATTTGGGAGTGCCCTCTGCATGGGGATAGCTTCAAAAGCACTTTGAACCCATTGTAAGGGAGGAGCGTGTGTTCTCATCTCAGCCCCTCAGAGGCCGCTGAAGGCTGCTGGCGACCACCCCCCTCAGCCCTGACCTGGGGTCGCTCCCGCCCCCTGCAGTGAGCATGCAGAGACCCCAGCGTCAGCCAAGTGGCTGAGCTGGGTCTAACCTGGCACTGGCATCCCTGCACCTGCACGTGGTGGTGATTTTGGTGATACTTTGTAACTTCGGGATTCTTGGGGCCACTCGAGGTTGTTTATTTTGGGGGTCGATGGGGTAACCTGGACAGAACTCCCCGGCTCGTTCAGTGAGGGTTTGCTGAGCGCCTCCTGAGGGCCAGGCCATGCTGAGAGCTGGGGGCAGGTGACCGCGGAGCCAGGGATGGAGGCGGCATCACCCCCGGGAGGCAGGCAAGGCCACCTGCCCCCCGTCCTTGGTCCTGTCAGCCTGCAGGGCTTCCGTGCACAGCCGTGGAGGGACGGGGACTGGGTTGCCGTGGACGCCTGTGGTGTGACAAGGGGACGTTTGTGTCCCTGGGGGCTCAGGCTGTGCTCTCGAAAGGAGCCAGTCTCTCTCTGAGATGCAGCGTGTATGGGTGAAGCAACGGCGTGGGGTGGGGGAAGTGTCGCTGCAGGCAGGGAGGACCCAGGGGCTGGGAAGGCCCTGGGGGCATTGCGCTGGGTCTGTGCTCCCGGGACCTCTCCTCCACTCCACTCACTTCCTCTGCAGGCCACCGTCCACCTGCTGCGATCAGAGGGCGTGCAGCTAAATGACCATCCCATGCCCCCCGAGGACCTGAGTCAGCACCCGGTGGGCTACATACCCGAGTCCCCAGAGGACAACGCCGAGTGGATCACGTACCGGTAGGGGAGCCGCGGGGGCGCGTCCTATGCACCTGGCACCGCTCATGTGTGGCCCGGGGGCACAGGCTGGGACGCGGGCCGCGCCCAGACATGTGAGAGAAGTGGCCGGCTGTCCAGCACGGCTCACTAGCTCACGTCGTTGTTCGCTGTGGTTAGTCTTCCTCGTTATTGGTGGAAACGAGATGTGAGGGAGTTGGTGTCTGCGGAGGGAAGCGGTAGTCGGGGCTGGCCATGGGAAACTGTCCCGGGAAGTATGTGCATGGAAAGAGGGTCCACAGGGAACCCCCAGAGACTTGCCCACGTGAGATGCCAAGTGCGGTTTAATCATGAAATCGAGGTGCTGTGGAAACAACCACAGTTTTTAGCCATTGTTTCATCTAAAATTAAATATTCGAGAGGTGAACGCGATGGTGAGTGAGAGTCCGCGTTGCGGTGTCGCAGGAGCCGAGGCTGTTGGCTGCTTCCCGCTGAATGCGGACAGGGGCCACTCTCCTGTTTGTTGCACCCAGTGGACGGGCCCGCACACCCACCTGCTGTGGAGGGGTTGGGGATGCCGCCGGACTCCCTCTGCCCACGAGAGGCACAGGGAGGAGGGCCCTGATTTTGCGCAGATGGGGTTTGTCCTGGTGTTTTAAGTCGCCTGTGAGAGCGCAGCCCGCAGCCTTCCCCAGGGGCCGCCGCCGCTTCCGTCTGGGCCGGGCTCCCCACGCCTGGGGGAGGGCCCAGGCCACACCTGACCACCGCTTTTGTACAGCCCACGAGCTAACGGTGGTTTTGATGGCTTTTAAGTTTGTGAAGTTAAATAGCGAGAAACACACAACAGAGACTCCATGCAGCTGTCGAAGCCCAGGGTACTAACTGTCTGGCCCTTTAGAGAAAGGGCTTGCCAGGCGCTGGTCTGAGGCCAGCAGGTCCCACGCGCCCATGTGGACGGAGGAGGGCAGCCTGTGTGTGATGGGCCAGGGAGACTGGGCACAGGCAGGTGCAGAGCTGGACTGGCGGCCTGCAAGCCTCGGCCAGGGGTCCGTCCTCGGCCAGGGAGGGGCAGGGCGAGGGGCGTCCAGCAGGGAGATGGGAGAGCCAGGCGGATGGGGTGGAGGTGGGAGGAGATGGGCAGGCTGGGTCCTTCAGCGGGAGTGGCGGGCAGCCCCCAGCAGGGCAACTTTCTGACCCCTGGGCTCTAGGGATGGCTTCACACTGGTGTCTTCCTGCTGCTTTGGGAAGGGTCTTAATCCCGGGGAGAGCCTGACGCACGCCTTCTGTAGGACCTGGATAGAGGGCCTGTCGCAGTACACCATGAACAGCTGGCTGCGCTCGGCCGACATTGGGCAGATGATACAGGAGGCGTGGCTCGTGCAGAACGCCGTGGTCTACGTCCTGAATCACAACCAGCACCTCATCACGGCCGGGCGCCAGAGGGAGCTCGTGGACGCCTTGTACCACCTCCTGGGCATCGTCAAGGCCATGGGCCACAGCGGGTGGGTGAGGCTGCCGGTCGCTGTGTGCATCCTGGCTTCCCAGGAGGGCCCCATCCTGCCCCTGCCAGAGACCCTGGGATCGGGCCCGGAGCTGTGGGGTGGGACGTGCGGGGCCACCCTCACCTAGTGCGTAGCAGTGACAGGGCCTCTGTGTACTGGCCGTGCACCCCGAGCAAGATACTCACCCTCTCTAAGCCTCAGGGCACCGTGTGGGGATCGATGAGGTGCTCAGACGCCCTCGGGCCCGTACACGCATTCCCAGCAGCACCACTGCCACGCAGCTTCCCGGCCTGTCACACTCTTGTTGCAAACAGTGCGATTCTGAGGGAGGTTGACGAGGCCCAAGCCTCGTAGGAACAGAGGTGGAAACCGACCTTGGTCTGATTTGGGGCGGGTTGGAAATCAGCGTCCGGGAGTTTTCCTATCCAGGTGGTGTGAACTCATGAGAGACCGATGTTTTCACTGCCTGAAGTTGGAAGCGTGAAAGCGTCAGGTCAGGCCAGACCTTTACTGATGCGGGTGGCTGTGTGGGTCAGGCCAGACCTTTACTGATGCGGGGGGCTGTGTGGGTCAGGCCAGACCTTTACTGATGCGGGTGGCTGTGTGGGTCAGGCAGACCTTTACTGATGCGGGTGGCTGTGTGGGTCAGGCAGACCTTTACTGATGCGGGGGGCTGTGTGGGTCAGGCAGACCTTTACTGATGCGGGGGGCTGTGTGGGTCAGGCAGACCTTTACTGATGCGGGGGGCTGCGGGGGGCTGCGGGGGGCTGCGGGGGGCTGTGTGGGGCCCTCTTTGTTCTCTGCTGCCTGGGCATTTAGTCTCAACACTCAACTTTAAAGTTTTCCGCCAGATCCCGAAGCAGAAAGGCTTGAGTGAGTCAGGACGCAGCTACGTGTGCACATGGGGACTTTTACACTGCGAATAGGACGGAGCAGCCATGGAGGACGGCCTGCCAGCGCCCTCACCTCTCCTCTGGGCGTGAGGCCCTGGCAGGGTCCCCAGGACCGTAGGGGTTGCGGGAGCACCTCTCTTTCTAGGCGGGTGTCCGTGTCTCTGTCGTAGACACAGGTCGGACCACGTTTGATGGTTTTAAATGTTTTGGTGCTGAGACGTTTCAGGAAGAAGCAGGGAGGTTCTGGTCCAAGCCCGCTCCATCCGTCGCCCAGTGGAGGGCCTGCTGGACGGCCCGGCAGTGGGCACGGTGGCCAGGTGGGCCTTTCTGTCCAGGCCCCGCAGGACTCCCTGAGGAGTCCAGCCCACACGGCACAGGTGTCTCCCAGGCGTGAAGGCCGCCTGGTGGAGGACGAGCCTCCACCGCAGCCAGTCCTGTCACCATGGCTTCCTCCCTGGGATGGCCTGGCCCGGACATGCTTCTCTTCCAGAGACTTGGCGCTGCTGGCGACGCTCTGCAGCACCCTGGCACGAGGCCTGATCATCGCCTGGATCCCAGCCCTGACGCCAGAGAAGTCTAGAAGACACACACGCTCAAACCCACTTCATACGCCGCTAGACCCTGAGGCCGCCTCTGAAGTCAGGACCGCAGTGGAGGTGCCGTGCCCGAGGGTGGGATCGGAGCCGGGGGGTGGCAGGCCCCGGTCGGTGCAGGCGTCAGTGGGAGAGCAGTTGAGGAAGGACGCTGCAGGCATTCTCAGCTGCCCAGAAATGGGGCATGGGGTGGGGGGACACGCTTTCTCTAAGAGCAAGGAAACAAGACGAGAACACCTGGGTGTCAGTGGTGGGGACGTCCCTGCAAGTCCCAGAGCTCAGAAAAAGGTGGACATAAGGCCAGAAAAATAGGACCAGTGCCAGTTCAGAACAGGAAAGCCGCAACACCAAAGGAAAGATGCACAGGCCGGGGATACGGGCGGTTCCACGGTGACCGAGGGGGGCTGTTTGTGCCCTGATTGCGTCTCCCGGGGACGTGGACTGTGTGGCGGTCTTCCCAGTCGAGGACGAGGGATGTTGATGGGTGCTGACAAGCACGGATGACCCCTCACCCATTCCTAGTAAACGTGAGCGAAGGTGAGTTCCGTAGTGAGTCTGAGGGAGGCGCAGAGCCTGCGGCTGCCCCAGGTGTGGCCGGGAGCGGTGCCTCCTTCCCGCTGAGGCTGTGCCTCAGCCCCAGGACTAGTGCGTGTTCGGGCCACCGTCCCTTCTGGACCCAGCGCCGGGTCTGCTTGTTTTTGCAGCTTTAGGTCTTGGCTCGGGTCCCCTGTTTGGATTCAGGTGTCATGAGCAAGGACACCTCCGTTTCAGGTCTGCGAGTTCGCCCTGAACCTGACCAACGGGACGGTGCCTGAGGAGGCGGTGCCCGGCAGCATCCGGCAGCAGCTCATCGCCACGTGGGTGAAGGCCAAGCAGCTGCTGTGGCAGCAGATCGGGCCGCGCCTGGGCACGGACGAGCAGGTGCCAGCCGGGGGGCGCCCCCACTGAAGTCTTCCCCACCCGAGGGCGAGCAGCCTGGGGGACGGGGCGGCGGGGCTGCGGAAGGGGTGCTTCCCTTCAGGAGGGTCCGTCCTTGCCCAGGCCGACCCCCGAGAGATGGGGCGTGAGGCCTCCTCTGCCTGCCTGGCCGCTGGAACATCCCCTCGTTCCTCCAGCCGACTGGCCACGGTTCTAACTGTCCACCAAGAGCCGCTGGGCCTCTGGGGGCGCTGTCCACCCTCGGTGACACCTCGCTGTGGCTTTATCTGGAGGTGTGTCTAGGCCACAGGGGGACACCTCCCTGGCAGGGCCCCACGGGCCACCTGAGCTGTGAACGCAAGGCCGTCGGGGTGAGGATGCAGGGACCCAGAGGGGAGGGGGCAGGGCCAGCCCCACGGCTTCTCCTGCAGACGTGGGCCGTGGATGGAGGCCAGTGGGAGGTTCCCTGGGGCCCCAGCTGGAGCCAGGACACGTGGCTCAGGTGGGAAGTGAGGCTGGCAAGGCAGGGACCATCAGGGAGGGGCATCTGAGCCTGCCGGGAGTGAGCACCGGGTTGGAGCAGGACCAAGGGAGGGGCCTCTAGGCAGAGGGCCACCGCTGTGCCTGGCCACCTGCCCTCCACCTCTGGCCGGCTCAGCCAGCCTCCGGGCCACCTTGGGGGCTGCAGCGCCTATTCCTCTTTATTACGTGAAGAGGTAGCTTGGAGACAAACACTTACACAAACAGCTCCGATCGTTGCCGCAGAGCTGATGTTTCACAGGGTCACTTCCCGAGTAGTCCAGATTCTCCAGCCCCGGGGCTGACGGGCCCTCTGCACTTCCTTCCCACCAGAGCACCAACGAGGGCATCAACTCGGTGACCGGAGTCCTCGTTGCTCTGGAGATGCACTCCTGCAACGGGCTGGGCCTCATGGACTTCACGGTGCCCCCCTTGGCTCAGGTAGCTGTCGCTCCCTCACCCCACAGGTGTCACGTCCCCCCAGAAGTCACCTTCCTCCCCCTTGGCCCACGCAGGTGTCACTAGGTGCCTGGTAGGCATTCCAGGGGCTGTGCCCCGACAAGGCTCCCCAACTCGAGGTGCTTATTCGAATTGTGCTGTCGAGACGAGGAGCCCCAGGTGGCCAGCGGCCCTGCCGTGTTCTCTGCACAGCGCTCCCAACAGAGCCGAGGGTCCCCTCAGGGCCCCTGAGTCTGGTCTCCTGGCTCGTCAGAGGGCAGGGCTGCCCATGTGGCAGGAACGCAGTGTGGACACTGGGACATTTGTCCTCAACCCACCAGCCCCACCCAGGCTTGGCCGCAGTTGGCAGCTGGAGCCTCAGCCTTGCAGGTGACTCGGCCTAGGCCGGGTGACCACTGGACCCATCCATGTGATGTCAGCCGTGAGCTGGCAGCAGAGACGCCCCCCACCCACTCACAGACGCCCCTCTCCCCCGCCACCGGCAGCTGGTGAAGATGGCCTTGGAGTGCAGCTGGTCGGACCCCTTCGTGGAGCTGCAGACCCTGACGCGGCTGACCCACTTCACCTACGTGGCCCGGGACCACGAGGCCACCATGGCCTGCTCGCAGAAGGCCATCCAGACGGGCATCAAGCACCTGCAGGCCTTCAGTTCGTGAGTTGCCCCAGCGCCCGACCTGTGTCCCTGTGGCGCGGTGCGTCCTCTGAGCCCGCCAGGCGGGGCAGCCTCACCCACTCGGCCCTGGAGCCACCCCGCCAGCCCCGCGCCGGCCGGGGCAACGCCTCAGCTGCGGCCCCTGGAGAGCCGTGTTCAGCAGGGTCCCGAGGCCCCACGAGCCCCGCCAGCTGCGGGCGTGACGGGGGCTCAGAGGCCGAAAGGGCCGCAAGGCTCGACCGGCGGCCGCTCCCACAGGCAGGCAGCTTTGTTGAGTTAGTTTTGAGCAGGCGACTTAGGAGGCCACGTAAATTCGGAAGTAACTGAAGGGTGATTTCAGTGAAATGAAAATAGCCCCCCTGCCACTGGCTCCTCTCCGCCCGAGCGCTGCTGGCGGCGGGCTCTCCAGGGTGCCCGGGATGGCCGCAGGCGCTCCAGGCCGCTTGCTCCTGTGCCCCGGGCCCCGTTCAGCTCGTCGGTAATCAGGACTTCTGATCCTTCCGTCTTCCTAAACAGGAGGTTGTTTTAAAGTTGTTTCTGTTGTGAGTATTTCTGCTGTAAAGACTGTTTCCCTTGAGGCTCTTCTCTTTGCCTTACTTCTGAGTCTATTTCCTGAAAGACAGGATCCTGGCCCCCAGGCCAGGAAGATACCCATCGTGGCCGCAGAGCCAAGCTGACCGCTCGAGGCCGGATCCAGGGAGGCCTGGCCTCCTGCCTCTGGGTGATGGGAGTGGAGGCCTGAGCCTCTTCCGGTCAGGATCCCGGGGCCAGCTGCGGGAGCGCAGCCGACACGTCCCAGCAGCTGCTCTGGGGCCTGCGTGGGACACCCCCGTGGGTGTTTGGGGGCTGACAAGTGACCATGACCCGAGCTGTGGTCACCCGCCTCGCATGCAGCCAGGGCCACAGGCTGCTCCGAGCTCCCGTGGAGGCCCCACCCGCACCTCATCTGTCCCTGCAGCGGCTCCTGGGCAGGGGCTGCCGTGCCCGCACTGGGAGCAAGGAAACCAAGGCAGGCAGAGGCTGAGGCCCTGGCCGAGGCCACCCAGCAGGTGGAGGCGGAGCGGGGAGCCCCGGCAGCTGCTGGCGTGAAAACCAAGGCAGCTGAAGCAGAGGCTGGACGGAGCCCCCAGGCCAGCCCAGCATGTCTCACTGCGCCCACCCCCGCAAGGGGCTTTCCCTCGTGACTGCCTTTCCTCCAAAATGGAGGTGGCTTTTGCTCAACAATCCATGCTGAGAAGGACTTGGCTTCTGAAAGGCTTTCGAACGTCCTGCCCTGGCCTCACCGTGCAGCAGGTGGGGGCCGAGGGCTCCGTGACGGCCAGGGGGCCGCTGGCTCAGGTGCCCAGCCTACGGAGATGGAGAAGGCGCAGCGGTAGCGCACGGAACACCCGGCCCCCCGGCAGGACATCTGATAGCAGCCAGGGACTCGGGGTTATTCCCGGAAGCCTCTGATCCTTAGCACAGGGGTCCCTACCAGACACTGGTCTCCACCAACAACTGTAAAGCTGTGCTCGTCAGCAGACGAGCCCTTCCGAGCTCCCCACAGCATCTTATACACACTCTCCAGTGTGAACCGAGGTTCCTCAGACTTTTGAGAGGCCCTCAGCTCTGAAAAGAAGACCAACGAGAAGAAATAGGGAAAATTACTCTGGAAGAAACTGTCAACTTTTATAATATAATATGTCCAGTTATCTCACCAGGAGAGGCGGGTTCATTCAGGAATAGCAGAGGAATTGCAATTAGGGAAATGCAAACTTCGGTGGACCACAGGAAATGTGGAAAACAAGGAGGGGGATCTTGCTTTTCTAGGAAAAAGGGGGAGTCAGGGGGGGCTGTGATAGCCAGAGTCCACTGGGGGAGTTGGGGGTCCAAAGTACCGAGGCTTCCTGTTGGCTGTCTGTGCCGGACTCTGATCGGCCGGGCTGTTGGGGGTGGAGGGAAGGTTCCTTCCTCCTGCTGCACAGTGAGTAGAGGCCCCTTCCTGTCTGAGATGTAGGCGAGGCCCCTTCCTGTTTGGGGTAATTGCGGTGCGTGGCGGACGTGGGACCTCCCTGACAGGCCTGGCCTGACTCTAGCTGTAGCTGAGGTTTCTGTAATTCATTCCACAGAACAGATTACATGATGATCAGAAGAAGTATTAAAAAAATAATAATAATAACGTCCAAGGTATTTGAGAAGATGCAGCATTTAGAAGTTAAAATGTGTTATGGAAAAGGAATGAGGAATAAAAGGAAAAGGACTAAAGAGCTCTTCAAAATTAAAAAGGTAATTTCTGAAGTTGAAAATAAAGTCAGTGAAGGGCTAGAAGATAAAGTGTGAGGAAATCGTGCAGGAAATATATGAAGAAGGACAGAAGGAAATGTGACAGAAAAGCCAGAAGAAACAGTAGGAGGTCCTAAACCCAGCTATTGGAATTCCAGAAAGAGGGGAGAAAGCGTTCTTAAGAAAGGGGTGAAAAGCAGGAGCTTCCCTGAGCAGAGGACACCATCTCATGACTGACCCTCCCACTAAATGACCGGCGAGAAGAATGAAGAGATACTCACATCCAGATACGTCATGGGGTCATCAGGTCACGGTAGATACGGAGACTATCCTACAGCGTTTAGAAGAAAAGAAAAAGAAGAAGGAAATAGAAACGCATCAGTCTTCTCAGAAACCATCACTAGCAGCTAAAAGAAAGTGGAACGTTCTAAGTGGAAGTAGTTTTCAACATGTAATTCTAACTCACCCGAACTTTCAAGTATCCTGGTAAAGAAAGCTACTTTTAAACAGATGAGGACCTAGAAAATGTATTTGTCACACACCTGTTTTTAGAAAGTTAATTGAGGATACACTCCAGAAAAACAAGGGAGTAACCCAGAAAAGAGAAAGATGTTGGATGCTGGAAATGGAGATGCAGTCCAGAAAAGGTGCCCAGCTGCACTGCTTGCTGAGAGAGCCTCCTCGGCAAGGATGCAGGGGAGGGCCCTGGGGGTGCGGGCAGGGCCAGAGGAGGGCCCAGTGTTGTGGAGAGTTTACAGGTATTGTGGTAAAGGAGGGAGGGAGAAAAGCCAGTTGGAAATGCCAGGAGGTAACAAAAGTAATAGCTTGCCTCTTCAGTGAGAAACACAGACATTATCTGGGTGTTTATTGATATTCCAGTGTTAGGATTAGCATTTTGACAAAGAAGGCTTATTTGTGGTTACCCAGTAAAATATCAATGTTACAATTTTGACAGTACGAAAGTAAAGTAAAAGCACAGATAACATACTTCAGCAGCGGGAAGGGGGACGAGGACAGGTGGCGTGAGACCCTCATCTGAGAAGCTGAATATTCTGAGGTACAAAGATAATAAGGGAATTAAAAGTAATGCTGGGACCAGCTATATTCATAAGTTGGGAAAAGGGACTTCTGTAGGTAATGTTTAAAATTCATAAATTGGGAAATCAAGATAGAAGCCAGTTTTTTGGAGGAAAGCGTATACCTGCTAGAAGATAGAGCTGAAGACCTAGGAGTCATTCCCTTTTGGGAATAGGACTGGGGGCTGGGTAGGGGAGTAGTTCTCAACCATGTGGTAGGTACCACTTTGATAAAAATTAGAAGGTTAATTCTAAAAGAAAGAAAAAGACTACACTCATAAAGAAAGAGCCGGTGTGTGAGGGCTGCTGCCTCGTCTTCTTACAGCGGAGTTGAGGCTGGTTTCACTACTCGTTGCCGGCACCGCAGAGCTTGTGAGGGGACGGGGTGGCAGGGTGCCTGCTGCGGTGATGGGTGTGTGCCCCAGCTTCGCCGTTCTTTCCTCAGTGACCCTTAAATTAACTTTTATTTTAAAACAGCAATTCTTATAATAAAATAGGCTAAAAATATAAATGTTTACATATGGTAATAGGGAAAGGGGAGGTCGTGCAAGACTATGTAAAAGTTTGGTTTTCACCTCAAGACCTTGGAGAACTCATTTGTAGACTGTTGCTGTCCTCTAGTGGTGGTCGGTGTCACTACTCTCAGTGGGGTCACCCCTACCCGGGCTTGACTGTGGACCTGACCCGTTTTTCACCACACTGAGGGCCAGCTGTGTCTAGGCCTGGAGCTGGGTGCTGGGAGGCTGGACAGGCAGAGGTGGGCGGCCCTTGGCTCTCTAGGGGATGCCGACTGCACGGTGGTCTTGCTGGCCCCTCAGAGCCCTGGACCCGGTCCCCAGTCAGCAGGATCCGCGGTCAACTTCAGCACCTGGCGTGTACCGCAGGTGATGCACCTTTTTTCAAAACAATTATACATATTTCAAATTTTTATGCTCATTTTTTCTATTTTGCAAGTTATGTAAAGAAACTCAGTGTGGAATTGGTCACAGTAATTTTTATGATAGCATTTCACAGTAATAGTGAAAATAGTTTTCAGATCTTGGTGAAAAATAGTACAGTTACTAATCAATTAGTATTCTCACCTCTGAGTGTGTAATTACCAGAATCAGGTTCATATTTATACTATTAATGTAAAGGAATATATATTAATAGGAATTTCATGTAGATCCCTAAAACAGACCAACAGAGATTACCTTTCTACTTTGTTTAGCACTTTTATTTGACATAATCATCATCACTGTTGGGTTTTTATGTGAACTTAAAAGTCACTTTTTCTACCAGTTCTGGCCATGACACACAGTGGATCTCATACTCTTGTGCTGTTTAAAAAACTGTAAAACTTGACAAAATACATGAAACAACTGCTTCCAGACATTGGCCAACAGATGGCCCAAGGCCACGCTTCTTGCAAGAAGAGGCCATCAGAAGTGAGCCCCACGTGCACCCTCGCGCTCTGCCTGGGGGCGCAGGGCGCTGCCCAAACTGCAGCTCCGGGAGCTGGAGCCCAGACAGAAGAAATGCTCTCGGGAGGCAGAGACCAAACCCTGGGGCTGCTGGGGCCTCTGGACTCCACAGAATGCAAGACGAGCGAGGAGGTTCCTGGACAGAGAAGGCCAGATCCTGCAGTCCTGGCAGGAAGCAGGCGACAGAGATGCCAGAGGCCCCGTGCTGACCCAGGAGAGTCAGGGAGCCCTTGCTGAACCTCCGGGGCATTCAGGAAGACCACGCCTTAGGGGCTGGGCTCTAAGGGCCACACGAGTCTTGCCCTAAGACGCCTAGTCCAGATCTCAGTAGGATAAGGGTGAGCCACAGGTGAATCCACTGCCTGCCAGAATGAAACCCCACCTTCCTTGAAAGGAAGGCAACATAATCCACACTCTCAGCAAGACAGCCCTCCATCCTGCCCCCCGCCCCCCGCCCAGCGTAACAGCGAACATCACCAGGCATGTGGAAAAACAAGAAACTGTGGCCCATCCCAGGAGAAAAAGCAGTCAGCCGACTCAGACATGACACAGATGTTGGAATTAGCAGACGATGGATTTAAAACAGTTATTGTAAATACAAGAAAGGAAAGAAAGGATTTTAATGGGCAAATTGCAGGTGGTGAATTCCAACAAAGAAATGGAAACTCTAATTAAAGAACTAAGTGGAAATTCTAGAAATGACAAGTACAATCTCTGACATGGAAATATCAGTGGGAGAGCTTGACATTTGAACACTGGAGAAGTGATCAGTAACTCTGAACACAGGTCAGCACACTATGGAAACTGAAGCACAGGGAGAAAGTCCTGAAAAACGGAGGAGCAGTGCCTTGGGGACCAGTGGGCTAGAGCCCATGGGCCAGCACAAGTGCAGGTGTGGTCTCAGAAGGACAGAGGACAGAGGGCGAGGTGGGAATACGTATATTCAAAAATGTAATAGTTGAAATTGTTTCAAATTGAATTAACAGTATCAACCCAGAGATCCAGGATTTTCAATGAACTCCAAGCAGGATATACACGAGGGAAGCCACACCTATTTTTATTGTAGGCAAATCGCTGGAGACCAAGGTGACAAGAAAACCCTGGAAGGAAGGTGGAAGGGGAAAAGGATGCATTGCACACAGGGAAACAGGGATGAGAGGCGAGTTCTCAACAGGAACAATGTAAACCATCTTAAGTGGTAAAAAAGAAAAAACTCTGTCGATCTAGAATTCTGTATACACCAAAAATAGCCTTTGAAAAATGAAGGCAAAATCAAGCCATTTTAGATTAATTAAAACTAAAACTAATTTTAAGTAATTAAAACTGAGAGAATCCATTCCCAGAAGACCCACAGAACAAGAAATGCTAAAGGAAGTTCTTCAGCCTGAAGGAAGATGGTACCAGATGGAAACTCAGTTCAGGAAGTAGTGAAGAACGCCCCAGGTGGTGACTGTGTGGCTGAACATAAAAGGTTTTCCCCCCTTCGGTTCTTGAATTCTTTAAAAGACATACGCCTGTTTCAAACAAAAATACATTGCATTGTGGGATTATTAACAAATGTGGAAATACAATGTATGACAGTGGTAACACAAAGGATGGGAATGGGAGAGATAGGGGTATATCGAGAGTTCTTACACTGTCTGTGAAGTGGTATAATATTAATTCACCATAGACTGTGATTAGTTAGGAATGTATGTTGCAGTCTCTAGAGCAAGTACTACAGAAACAATAAAAGAATTATACCTAGACATCCAATGGAGAAGATAAAATTGAACACTAAAAATATTCAATTAATCCAAGAGGGGAGGAAAGAAAGGACGAACGTATGGGACAGAAGGAAAGCGAATAGCAAAATCGAAGGTTTAACCCAAAACCACACCAACAGATCCATTAAATGTAAATGGACCAACACTCCAGTTAAAGTGCAGAGTTTATCCCACTGGACCCAAAAAGCAAGACCCAACTCGAAGCCATTTTCAAGAGACACTCTTCAAATACAAAGACACAGGTGAAAAGTAAAAGGAGGGGGACAGATGGCCTCTGCGGCAGCAGCTGCAAGAACGCCGTGGGGCTGGAGTAAAGCTCCCAGGATGTGTGATCAGAGGTAGAGAGGCGTTTCACAAAGATAAAAGGGTTCCATCAGCAAGAACACATAAGAATCTTAAACGTGTATACACTTAACAGCAGAGCTTCAAAATTCAAGAAGCAGAAAGTTAGATACAGCCACAATTACAGCTGCAGATCTCGACATTCCTCTCTCAGTGGCTGATAGAACAGAGTAAGCCGTAAGCATATAGGTGGTCGCCATCAGCAGATCACCCAGTTGTCACTGACAGACTCTCCCCAAGGACCACGTCCTAAAGATCCAGGTCTCCAGGACAGCAACGCCAGGGCCCAGCGGGGCCAGGCTCTCCTCCACCTCCTGCTGGGGTGGCACGCCCATCCTGGGGGACGGGGCCAGCCTCCGATTCACCCCTAGAGCATGAGCTTGGCCGTGCCCTGCAGATCCTTGTAGGCGGAGGGACAGCCTCTTTCTCCCCTAGACTCCTGACGGGCAGGGTGGCGGAGCAGCTGGCTCCTGCAGGCGGGTACCTGCCTTTGGGGCCTCGCAGGCCATGGCGGGGAGGTCTACCCAGAAACCAGTGCTTTTCTCCTAGAGTAAGCCTGGTGCCCCCTGAGCCGAGCTGCAGGGACGTGCGTGTGGTGGTTACGTGCACGCGCCACGGCTTGGCTGAGAGAAGAGAGCTCGCGGTACCCTTGACGTTGCTGAGTCTAAATTGTACGTTCTGAGCTCTCAGCGCAGAGCCTAGGCCCCCTGAACAAGACGTGCTCTGGGGCACGGGGAACGGGGGCCCCATCGCTCCGGCAGGGCCCGTCCTCGCTTGGGGTGGGCGCCTTGTTCTGCTGCTGCTGCCGCACAGGACACCCTACGTATTAGTCATTCAAACATCAGCTTATGACTCTGTCTCATGGTTCTGCGGATTGACTGGACTCAGCCAGTTAGTTCTGGCTTGGGGACCTTCATGACGTTACTCTGGACTCCCCAGGGCTCTCTCCAGGGGCCGGGGTGGGGTGTCCCCAGGGCTCTCCCCTCTCGGCGGCACCTCCCTCCCCTAGGAGCCTCCTGGGAGCCGTGGCGCTTGTCTGTCTGCAGGGTGGAGGCTGAGTTGGTGGCGGAGATGCTGAGCACCGCAGCCTGCATCCAGGGCAGGAGCATCATGGATAACCTCAAGGGCTGGAAGCAGCTGCGCCTGACGGCCGCCAATGCCTTCGTAGAGAGTGTGAGGTGGGCTGCGGCCCCCGGTGGCCAGGGTCGTCGTGCGCGTGGCGCATCTGGGGTGCGTGTTTTGGGTGGGGACGATGGTGCCTGCGGGGCGTGGTGCTCGCTGGTGACTGTCCGCGAGGCCGGCCCCTCCCCCAGTGGCCCTGTGACCAGGGTCATCGCCTGCCCCGTGCGGTGACACCCACCTCACCCCCGGGGGTTCCCGGCAGCCCTGAGCGTCTGAGCCAGGACGGGCCCGAGGAACGGGGAGCTGGAGCTCGTGAGCGGGTCACGGCGGGGCTGCCCTGAGCAGAGCCCGTCCTGGTCCTGCAGAGATGTCTTGGGGCCCCACCGCTCCCCTCGGCGCCTATACCTGTCCAGGTCAGACCTTCCCTTCCAGGTTTGGGGGCATCGCGGGGAGCAGCGCCCTGGTGATGCAGGCCGCCCGACACTTCTGGAACACCTGGCTGCCGCTGCTGTCCTCTGCGGTCAACAGGAAGAAGTGCAAGAGCGCCACTCAGGAGGTCATCAGCGTCATCAACAAGACGGAGGCCAGAAAGCAGGTGTGCCCTGGGCCGCCTCTCGCGTCCTTCCTCCAGCACGGTGGGCGAGGCTCCCGAGGAAAGACGGGACCCGTGGAAGCACTCAGGCAATGAACACGACGGCTGCATGGGGGACAGGGGACGCTGACACCCGTGAGATCCCAGCGGGGCAGGCGGGGCGGCTCCTGGCTGCGCTCAGGGCTCAGCTCTGTCCTCCCCCATCCCTGAGGGAACCCTAACTCAGACCTAGAAAGCGCCAGTAGGAAAGGGGAGAGGAGGGAGGGTGGGGGCGCAGACCCACTCAGGGCCCAGGGAGGTTTGGCCTGACAGTGGACAGGCATCTGGTGGGCCTCGGGGAGTGAGGCCTCCTTCCCCCTCCGCCGTCACCCAGGAGTGCGGTAGGTCGCGGCCTGGGGACCTCCCTTGATCTGAAAGAGAAAGCGTCAGTCTGTCACCTTTGAGTGTCACGCTAGCTGTGAGTTTTTCATAACGTCACTGTGTGGAGGAATTTTCCCGCCGCTCCTAGTCTTCTGGGAGGTTTTGTGATGAAACGCTTTTGGATTTTGTCACATGCCTTTTCTCCATCAGTTGAGCTGATCGTGTGGTTTTCTCCTCTGTCCTATTAAGGCGATGGGTTACACTCCTTAGGTTGGACCAGCCTTGTGTTCCTGGGACAAATCTCCCTTGGTCGTGGTGAATAATATGTTTACTGTGTTGTTGGATTTGATCTGCAATTCAGCAACTTACTCTGTTGAGAATTTTTGCATCTATATTCATAAAGGGTATTCATCTATAATTTTCTTTTCTTGTGATGTCTTTATCTGGACCCCCTATCAAAGTAATGCTAGTCTCATAGAATGAGTTAGGAAATGTTCCTTCCTCTTCAATTTTTTGAAGAGTTGAGAAGGATAAGTGTTATTCTTTTTGTTAATGTTTGGTAGAATTCACCTGGGAAGCCAGCTGGTCCAGGAATTTTCTTAACTGGAAGGTTTCTGATGACTGATTCAGTCTTTACTGTTAGAAGTTTGTTGCCATTTTTTATTTCTTCTTAGGCAATTTGAGTGTTTCGAGGGATTTTTCTGTTCCTTGTAGGCGATCTCATTTGTTGGAAGACAGTTGCTAGTAGGGTTCTATTATAGTTCTTGCTATCATTGTAGGGTTGATAGTACTGTTTCCACTTTCATTTCTGAGTTTAGTTATTTGGACTTCTTTCTTCTTTTCTTTGCCAGTCTAGCTAAAGGTTTGTCTATTTTGTTGATCTTTGCAAAGAATCGATTTTTGGTTTCATTGATTTTGTTCCTTTTATTTTCTATGCTCTAATCCTTAACATTCCCTTCCTTCTGCTAACTTTGGATTTAGTTTGTTCTTTTTCAGGTTCCTTAAGGTGTAAACTTAGGTTGTTGGTTTGAGATCTTTCTTCCTTTTCAGTGTCGGCATTTGCAGGTGTAAACTTCCCCGAGCCCTGCTTTTTCGTGTCCCATAAGTTTTCCTAATGTGCTTTTGATCCTATTGACTCAAAGCTATACAACTGACTTGTCTGCTTCGTGTCATTACAAGCCGTAGACTGTGCTGCAGGGCTAGTCTGTGCGTGTGTGTGTGTTTTAAGGTAGTGAACCTTGAACTGGAGCGCCTTCTCTTACAGGGGAAATGTGATTCCACTTTTTGTGACTTAGTGTTTCAGAAATTTAGCCGCAGCTTCTGTAATTCAATGCTGAACCAAATGAAAAACAAACTGGTGAAAGAAGAAACTGCAACTTTCAAACGTCTGTATTGTTGATTTGTTTTTGCTTTAGGAAAAAGGGAAGACGCTGCTTCTGCACCAGTGGCCCACGGCCGACTTCCAAAGTGGAGGGACGATGGAAGGGTGTTTTCTCTCAGGTTTGTAGATGCAGGACAGACAGAGCCGCAGACATGAGGCCGGGCAGGGCCTGGTGTTGTTAGATCCCGAGCCTTGTGTAGAACAGGTGAAGTCGTGGCAGTGACCACGGGAAATGCCTGCTCAGCCCTGAACTCGGGCAGGCACGGTGAGGGTGAGGGCTCCTCGCGAGCAATCGGGGACCCCCACTGTAAGCATGAGGAAACCCCCCAAGCCTAGGTGGCCCCCCAGTTCAGGGCCACCCTGCGCCCTCCCAGGCAGCCTTGAAATCTAGCCTCTGGGTTTTTCTGACAGGTAAATCACACTTTTCCATTTCCATAAAAATGTGGAGATATACTTCTGTGAAAAAAGTAGTGACCTTAATAAAATAAAACATATTGTATAATTTATTTCTAAAGTAAAAAATGATTATCTGCTAAAAAATTATCATCCCTGTTAGCGTAAGGGCCACGGTGTGTACTGCAAAGCGTGAATGTGTGGATTAGAGCCGTGGCCCTCCATCAGGTGCCTCAGAGTCTACGAGAGAGAGAAACTCGATTTAAAATAGTGAACAAAGATGTGACCGTGTGTAATTAAATACTGAGTTGAACTCTAGACCCCCAGGTAAGATTGTTTGCTGGTGCCGCAGAGGGAGATGCAGACAGCAGCCCAGACCCGCAGGACTGCAAGGGCCAGTGAGGAGCCGGCTGCTTGGGGTCCCGGCACCGCCCGGAGCGCGTGGAGCCCGTGTACGCTTTACTCCACGTGCTGAAACATACTCAGCTAAATGGGTTATAGCAGCGTTAACAATTCAAACCGTAGGAAAAAATGGGAAAGCAGAATTGAGCAAAGCAATGTTCTGAGGCAAGATTCCTGCCCAAAGTTTAGAGTGATCAAAGAGGCACGCTTTCAAAATACGTGAACATTTAAATAATGAGAAATGAGAAAATTAAAAAGTAAACACTGGAAAAGTACTGGCATCAAATTTAGCGGCTAAATGATCCATTTCTGTAATGCACGAGCAGTTGCATTAGTCAGGCTACGAGATGCCACACTGCATCAACAAATGGCCCCGACGGCTCAGCAGGTGAACTCGCACGGGCAGTCTCTCCCTGCTCGTCCGAGGCACCGTCTGGAATTTCTGGCAGCGGGGTTGCCACGTCCAGGGGCATGTGGCCCTGCTGCCAGCCAGGGGGTGCAGAGCCCTGACTGTAAGAGCCCTCACCACCGCGGCGTGTCGTTCCGAGTCGGCCCGGCCGAGACGAGAGGAGGAAAGCACGCTATGGAACCCACGTTCCAAGTGTCAAGACGTTGACCAGTTTATCTGGTCACGTGCCTCAATCCCCCTGCTCCTGGGCACCTGTATTCCGTCCCAGCGCTGGCAGTGGGGGGCCACGGTGAGCCCTCAGGCCCTAGGTGGTGTGAGTTGGTGCTGTCCTCTTAGCCAGCAGCCGGACAACATGCCGGCAGGATCCACGGGCGTGTTCACCCCTTTGCTATAACGATTCAAAAACGGGAAAGAGAGCTACACGGTCAACGAGGTAAAACAGGACAACGTGAGTGTCTGGCACCAGGGGCAGGGGCTCTGCTTTGCTGGACGGCGCGGCTGAGGCGGCCCCTCGAGCGGCCTGGGCGAGGCTGGTGGGGAGAGGCTTCTCCTTTCCTGACGCTCCCATTGTGTATTTTTAAAATTACGGAAGAGTAACGGGAGTTTCCAAAAGGGAAAGGGCTTAGAGGACTGCGGGGCCCGAGAAAGCCTGGCGGGGTGGGGTGAGGGGCAGCTGGGGGCACCTGGTGCAGGTGAGGCAGGTGGGGGAGGGAGGACAGCAGCGCAGGTGTCGCCCGGGAGGAGCCCCTGAGCCTTCAGTCCCAAAAGGACTGATGTGTTTCCCACGATCAGGGGTCACTCCCGCTGCTCGAGGCCCGGCCCTGGAAGGGCAGCTCTGCGTGTGTCTAAGGGACGCAGATGACGAGGTCCTGTGGCTGGATCTCCACGCGGTCCCACCTGCTGTCCAGCTCTGCGGCATGAGGCCCGGGGTGTCCCAGACAGGCGGCCGTGTCCCGAGTGCTCCCTGGGGGCCTCCCGGTCCTGTGGACCCCCAGCTGCTAGCACCTCCATCCCCAGACCCCCTGACCGGCGCCCCTCCTGAGCCCCCTCTCCCACTGCAGGGGCCGAGGATGACCTGACGCTGAGGGCCGCGCTGTATGGCCTGCTGTTCCACAGCCACGCCGACCAGCATGACTGGGAGGGCTGCCTCAAGGTGCTGGACGAGGCCCTGCAGGTGCTGCCGCGGACGGCGCACCGCCTGTGAGTCCCTGAGGCCCCCCAGGGCGCCTCCCCTCCCCGCGCCTCCCCCCCCGGGGTACCTTTCCCTGCAGCCCCCCAACAGGGTGGCTCCCTCCTCAGCCCCCCACTCTCCCCTTTCCCCTGGTGACTTTATTTCCCTACCAAGATGTCAACACACGAAGGGAGGGGATTTAAGCCCAACACACACAAATGATAAACGGAAAAAGCAAAACACAGCACGACCCAAGACCCCCGAGGCACTCAGGTCTCCTGGTTCCTCTGCGTGAGCAGGAGCGCGCACGCTCCGGTTGCCGTGCCTTCTGTGTGGGGCGACCTTCCCCATCCAGGCGCTAATTTCTCTCGTTTACTTTTCTTCAGCTTGATTTTCAAACACATGGTCGTGGTGAAGGCCAGACTCGGCCAGAACTTCGTGATGGAAATTCAGAGGTTCAAAGACCAGAGTGAGGAGTATCTGGCGCACATGTGGCGGCGCCTGGCCCTCAACTCCACGAGTGTCCCCGGGGAGCTGACCTGCTACCTCCACGCCATCCAGGCCCTGCAGGTCTGGCTCTGACTCACCGTGTGTCTGCGGATGAAGCCCCCGGGGGTGGGAAGGTGCGGGGGGGAGGGGGGGGCGGTGCGGAGCCCAGCCCCTCGGGAGAACCGGAAGGAAGGGGGGGCAGCGGGACACGAGCCGGGGCGGCAGACGGAGCCTGTCCTCCCACATGAGGGACGCAGTCCTTGTGAGGCCGTGTGGGGAGGGCAGGGGGTGGGCCGCGGGGCTCTGCAGCCTCTGGGGTTTCGGGGTCTTGGGGACGGCCCCCGCCCCCGAGAAGCCAAGACACGTGTTCCTCTCGACGCGCTTGGAGATTTGGGGGAGGGCGGGCCCCTTGATTTGGTGCAGAGCTTGTGGGACTTGCCTCGGGGGAAAGAAGGCCCCTTGATTGTGGGACTGAAGCCCCCAAAGACGTGCCCTGCGGCAGGCACCTGACAGGCTTTTCTGTTGAGCAGAACGTTTCCCCTTCACGGAGCAGATCCCACCGAGGTTTTCAGAGCGCTCCAGGGTCGGGGTGTCCCCAGGAAGGGGTCCGAACACAGGCTCCATCGATGGCCGTGCGGTCATGACCCATCGGTCAAGCAGAGGCCCGGGCCCACTACAAGCGGCCGTGGGTGCCCCTGCGTCTCGCGCCTGGAGCCCAGGCCAGGGTTCCTGGGGCCAGGCAGCTGTGCCGGGGGAGCAGGCGGTGCTATGGACGGGGCGGCTGCTGGCCGAGCCGAGCTGCCGGAACCCTCTGCACAGACTCCGTGGAAAGGCTCTCTGCCCCTTCCTTCCTTCGCTTCCTTTTTCTTAGGGGTACAAGGTGCTTTATAGTAAATTCACGGGGTTATGCAGCCATCATCACAATCAATTTTAGAACATTTCACCAGCCCCCCAAAACCCAGGTCCGTGGGCACTGTGTCCCTCCCCCCACCCCCGCCAGCCCCAGTGAGCCAGCGTTACACGCATGGAGCCAGACGAGGTGGGTCCTCTGTGTCCGGCTGCCCTCCCTGGACGTCTCGTCCAAGCTCCATCTGTTGAAGCGCATGTCCGGGCTTCACTGCTGCTGGTTGACTAGTCCTCCATCGTGTGGACGGAGGCTGCGCCGATGGGCCTCGGCGTTGCTTCCTCTTAGGAACTCTTGTGACTGGGCTGCTGTAGACAGCCGTGTGCGAGTGGTTGCACGGACACGTTACAGCTGTTCTCTGGGGCACATAGCTGGGAGTGAACTCCCAGGTCACGTGATGACTGTCTTTAGCTACCTGAGTCGTGGTTTGACTTGCGTTTCCCTAGTAACTAACGTAGTAACTGGCAGCATGTTTTTCCTGTGCTAATCGGCCATTTGTGCATCTTCTCTGGAGAAATGTCTATTCAAATCCTTTGCCCTTGTAAAAAAAAATTTGGTTTCTTGTCTGTTTATTGCTGCGCTGTAGGAATTCTTTATGTGTTTTGGATACAAGTCCCTTATCGGATATAAGATTTGTACATATTTTCTCTCATTCTGTGGCTTGTCTTTTCAACTGCTTTCTCGTATTCTTGATGATGTCATTTGTAGCACAAAAGTTTATAATCTTGATGAAGTCCAACTTGTCTGTTTCTTCTGCTGCTTACGCGTATGGCATCGTAGCTGAGAAACCAGCGTGTAATCCAAGGTCACGAAGATTTCTACGTTTCCTTCCAAGGGTTTCATAGTTTCAGCTCTCACATTTGAGTCTTTGATCCGTCTTGAGCTCAGCCGTGTGTTTGGTGCGAATTAGGGGTCCTGCTCCTTTCCTCAGTGTGTGGCTGCCTGCTTTCCCAGCACCGTTGTGAAACGATGACCATTCCCTCTTCCACCGCCCTTGTCCCCATCGTCTCTCTCGCACAGCTCTTGTCAAAGCCACCTGTGACCACATGGTCACGGTCATTCTGAGGCCCCATCCGACCCCTCCTTGGCACTCGTGGTCATCTGTCACCTGGCTTCCAGGCCCCACTGCTCAGGGCCACTCCTTCTTCCCTTCTGCCCACCTGCTAATGAGGGGGAGGACCCCACTCAGGGCTGGGATGCCCCCGCTCCCTGGTGACGTCAGGCAGTGTCCTGGGGAGAGTCCACCCTGACCTTGCGTGTCCCACCAACCGGCCCCTTCCCTCACCTCCGGCCGCGCATCCTCCTGGCATGTGAGGCGTGAGGTGTGGGGTGTGGGGCCTGGGGCCCGGCAAGCGGAAGGCAGGCTGGCTCCGCTCTCAGGGGGGCAGGGAGGGCAGCTTCCTCCCTTCGTGCAGTGATGATTGATGAGCGATACTGGGTCTGACTCGGGCTGCACACTGCACGGTGCAGCATCTTCAGTGCCCTCCGAGCCCTGTGAGCCACAGAACCGTCCATACCTCCAAGTGCCGGAGGAGACCCGGGGCTGGTGGTGGAGCGCCCGCAGAGAGCCCCTCAGGCCGGCGTCGCCCCGGAGGCGGGAGGGACACGCGGGGCCCGCGAGGGGTCCGGCGGGCAGGTGGCGGGGCGTCCGCAGGGAGCAGAGGCCGGGGTCACTCGCCTGGCTCTGGTCTTGCTGCCCGCTGCACGTGGGAGGTCTTGCCGAGCCTGGTGGTCTCGTGATGGTAGAGACGGGTGAGAAGCAGCCCCTCTGTTTCTAGGAGGTGGGGGAACACAACACCTGCCGTGTGGTCCTCGGGCTGCTGAGTGGCAGGTGTGTGTCTTTACCACCCTTTTCTGTTTAATCCCAAAGAAGCCAGAGAGTGAGTGGCAGAAGGTTGACTACATCATGGAATTCAGCGAGTGGCTGTACCACAACCAGTTTCCTCTTGAAGACGTCGTCTTCCACCTGGAGTGGGCGATCGACATCCTGCTGAGGATGCGGCCCGACAGGGGCTCCCCGGAGCCGGCAGGTGCGGGAGCCGCAGGCGCGGGGGCCACAGGTGAGCGGCGCGGTGGCGGGCGGAGGGGCCGCCCGCCGTGAGGGGCTCCTGGGCTCCGCTATCCCTGCGACGCCCCTGCAGGCCAGCGCCCTGTGGGCTTGGCGAGGTCAGGGCCCTGCCTCCCCGGCTGCTGGTCCCTCCCGCTCCAGCAGAGCTCATCCACCAGGAAGGCCCAGCCCAGGCGTGATAGGGAGGTGGTGGGAGCCCAGCCAGATGGACGGAGGGAGGGGCGGCATCCCCTCACTGCCCCGAAGGTGGCTGCAGCGTCCCTGCAGGTGGGCCTGTTGTCTCCGCTGGGGGAGCCCTGGGAGGCCCGTCCCTGAGGGTGGCCCCTGTGAAGGTGGCACGCCCCTCTGGAAGAGTCTCAACCCCAGGCCGGGTGGCAGGGGCCCCTGGGGACCAGGCGGGCACAGGGGGCAGGCAGGGAGGGCACCCAGCGGCCCCTGTCTTCCAGAAGAGCAGGTGTCCACTCCGGCGGCCCCGGAGGGCCCGGGGGCTGAGGGCTCGGGGCCCCCCTCCCTGGAGAAGCTTCGGAATGTACGGCAGCTTGAGATGCTGGCCCGCGCCTACACGCTGCTGGCCCTGGTGGTGACCCCGAGTGCCGCCAGCCACCAGGACTACTGCCTCATGGCCTACACCTTTCTCCGCCGCATCTGGCAGGTGAGGCCCCGGGAACCTGCACTTGCACAGGTCCTGTGTCTCTCCCGGGACAGCGTCCCTCTCCCCTCCTTCCCAGCAGCACCCTCCCTGCTTTGGGGACTCAGGGGAGGAGGGAGGGCCTCGCTGCTCCCTACAAAGTGGCCCCTCCTCCCCAAGACTCACCCCAGCGCCTTTGCCCAACCACCCGCAGAAGCCTGTCTTTCCACCGCGCTGCCACTGGGCTTCCAGAACCTTCTCTATGCCCCCTCTGCACGGCCTCCGAGCTGCCCTCCTTCCCACCACCTCTTTACGGGGCCCCCGGGGCAGCTCCTGGTCGACTCTTGTTCTCAAGGACCTCTCGCCGTCGGTGCCCGCCCAGTGGGACAGTGTCGGCAGGACAGGCCTTTCTTCTGGGGGCAGGTTTGCACCCTGCCCTCAGCCATGTGCTGGGGACAACAGGGCCATCGCCCTTTGGCAGCAGGAAGGACTGGGAAGGCCGTCCTGGGTCTTGAAGATGCCCCAGGCCACTACCACCCACCACCCACCACCCACCACGTAGCGGCTCTGCGATTCTTTGAGAACCGCTAAAAGTCACTTGAGCGTGTTCTTCATTAGAGACGTTAATTCATTTTATGGGGCTGACAAGCTCTTCTTAAGGGTCAGCTGTGCGTCCCCGCAGGCCCAGAGTCCTGGAGGAAGCCCCCCGAGGGCAGAGGAGGGCGGCCGCGTGTCCACCTGCCGAGGGGCACTGCCGCCACCTCTGCGCCGGGCGGCTCATGGCCTGGCCACTCCCTCCCAACCTGCCCTCATACCTGAGTGCGTGGGAGGAGGGGGACCCGCTTCTGTTATCGGTGTTGCAAATTCGGATTTTCTTTCCCCAGGTTTCTTTATTAACAGCAGGAAAATCAATTTCAGAAAGTAGAATTCCAGCAGCAGCGAGTTCACATTCATTGTTGCTTCAAAAGGAGAAGGAGAAAAGCAAAGACAGAGAAAAAGACAAGGACAGAGACAAGGACAAGGGCAGAGACAAGGACAAGGGCAGAGACAAGGACAAGGACAGAGACAAGGACAAGGGCAGAGACAAGGACAAGGACAGAGACAAGGACAAGGGCAGAGACAAGGACAAGGACAGAGACAAGGACAAGGGCAGGGCCTCGAAGCAGGTGACCGTGCCCTCCCGGTGGCCAGGCTCTGCCCCAGCCGCCCTTGAGGCTCCTCGTCCCAGAGGCTGGGCCGCAGCGGGCAGAGCCGTCCCGGCTGCTCTGTCCGGTTTCTCCCCCTGGGAAGTGGAGCCAGTGGTTCTTGTCCCCCTGCCCCGGGTGTTAGGAGGTGACACGGGGAGGGTCTGGCTTCTCCCCTGTGGTCTGTCGTCTGCGTTCCCAGAGCGGGTCCCTCCCTCTGCCCAGGTGCATCTGGGCCCTGGCCATGTGGGGTGGGACAGCACCTTCTCTCCATCCACTGGGGGCCCGTGCTGCACGTCATCTTGTCACCGGAGGAATTGCCTGTCTCTGGGGCTGTGCTCACGGCAGCACCCCTCCCGGCTGTCCCGCCTCACTGTCCCCACTGGGGACGCCCCCGCCTCCCTCCCCCATCACTGCTCTCCAGGAAGTGGAGACACGTGTGGGTCCGGCGTGGCTTGCCGTCGGGCTGGCAGCCCAGGGAGGGCGCCACGCACGTCCCCAGAGGCGCTGCCGACTGGTCCTTTCCCGTGGGGCCACCTGGGTGTCTGCTTCGAGCTCCACCTCCTAAAGCGGAGCCTGGCTTCCTGCTTTGCAGTTTCAAAGCCCCACTCCTGGCAAACACCTTGAAGACGTACCAGCAAGCATAGAAGAGTGGGCTTCCTACGCTTGCCCCGAAGAAGCTATATCAGTATTTAAACAGGATCAGAGCAACTTTGCCGTCAACCGGTCAACTCTCCAGAAGCCGGTGAGTGGACCTGAAGATGCCATCCCAGGCCTGTGTCCGTGTCCTGCCTCCTGGCTTGTTGTCACAGCTGACGCTTTCTGGTGTGAAGTGGGACCAGAGAGGGATGCGCAGAAACAGGGCTCTGCTCAGGGAATTGTGAAGCAGGGCCTCCCGGGCATGAGCCCCCAGACCCTCCCACAGGCCCGGCCCCGGCCCCCTCCCCCTCCCCGAGCACCCGGGGACTTTTCCTCACGCATTCCCCGCACAGGTCACACTCCTGCACGTGAAATTCAGCCATGCCTGGGAGTGCCCCACGGCTGCTGTGACCGGCCACCGCAAACCAGGTGCTTAAAGCAGCACAAAGGGTTTCCTCACAGTTCTGGAGGCCACAGGTTCAAAGTCAGCATCACCGGGCCGAAGTCAAGATGTCGGCGGGGCCACATTCCCTCTGGAGGCCCCAGGGGAGGGTCCTTCCTGCCTCTTCCAGCTCCTGGGGGCTCCTGGGCTTGTGGCCGCGTCACCTCCCCCACCCCCCGCCTCCGTCGTCATGTGGCTTCTCCGCTGTGTCTGTGTCTCATCTCCCACGTACAGGGGCCCATACGATGACACGTGGGGCCCGCCTGTATCATCCAGGGCAACCTCCCCAGCTCAGCATCCTTACTTTGATCACACCTGTGCGCAGGTTCCAGGGGTAGCGCCGGGCTACTTCGGGGGCTGTTTTTCAGCCCCGCACCTGCCTGGTTTCTGTGCTTGTGGAAATAGAGACTCTCGGCCTCTAACCGCCCATGGCTGGCTTCTCTCTGGAGCGCGGTGTCCGCGGGAATCCTCCGCGCTGCTTCGTGTGTCTGGTTGTGTTCACATCGTCGGTGACGAGTATTCCGTCTGGTGACTCGATCACGGCCTGTCTGTCCTTCAGCCACGGAAGGCACGGGGCTGTCTCCAGCATGCCTGTTACAGATGTCTCAGGGCCCACGTGCCCACGTGCCTGGAGGGCACACCCGGCAGCGGCGTTTCTGGGTCACGGAGCACGTGTATCTCCAACTACAGCATGTTGACAAACTGCCTTTGGCAGTGGTCATGCTGTGAGGCCCGCCTTCTCACCTGGCCGTCTGGGGGGCGTGGGCCTCTCACTGGGCTCAGCCGGACACTCCCTGACTACGGTGAGGCCGGACGCCTCTCAGCGCCTTTTGGCCACTTGAATGTCCTCTTTCGTGGCCTGCGTGTGCAATCGGTCGCCCATATTTTATTAAGCCTCTGTCTTTACCTTGTTGAATTGAAGGAGTTCCTTATCTGTCTTGGAAAAAACACTCTGACAGTTTAGGACAGCAGGTCACCCTCCACTCTGGGCCTTGACTGTCTTGAGGTCTTCTTGTGAATACGGATTCCAAGTTTTAGTGTACAAAAAAGTATTAATCTTTCCCTTTATGACTAGTGCCTTGTTGTGTCCTGTTTAAAAAAATGTTTTCCTTCCCAAAGGTCATGAAAATGTCCTCTTATGGTATTTTCCCAAAAGCTTTATACTTCTACATGTCAGATTTAGATCCACTTGAAGTTGGTTCATGTGTGTGCTGTGAGGTGAAGGATCCGGTTCTGAGCTCTCCGATCTGGATAATCTGAATGTTCTAACACCACTCATTGAAAAATCGCTTGCCGGGCTTCTTTGCCACGCTTGTCATGAATCAGGCGTCCACACCTACACCAACACCTCACTGTCTGAGCTCCTGAGGTTCGTCACCTTGACTGCTTGGGAGAGAACATTGCCTGACCTTGTTATTCAGGAAGGTCTTGGATGTCCTTTCCATTGTCCATGTGTTTCCATGTGTCTTTTAGAGTCAGCTTGTTGGCTTCCATTGGAAACCCTGGTGGAGTTTTGGCTGTGATTGCACTGAATCTCGAGATCAGTTTTTGGTTTGGGGGAGAACTGGCGTCTTTGCCACATTGAATATTCCAGTCGATGAGCATGTTCTAGTTCTCTATTGACGTAGGTCTTCTGTAACTTCTCTTGATAATGGATTTGAGTTTTATGCATGGAGGTTACACACATTAGATTTATTTCTACGTATTTGATGTTTGTGCTGCTGTTATAAATATACCTCTTTTGTTTCATTTTTTTAAACTCCAGACGAAATCTAGAAATATAATTGTTTTCATCTTGACCTTGCAGCCATCAGTTTAGTTAACTTCTAGATAAGTTTGGTAATCGATCTGTAGATTCTTTGGATCTTATGTGTATACACAGAGTCTGCATTTCGTCCGCAAATGTTTTTCCTCATTTCCGATCATTACACTTTTTATCTCCTTATTCCGCTGGCTGCCACCAGCACAGCGCTGAACAGAGATGGTGACACCTCCTTATCCTGCCCCCTGGCTTAGCAAGGGGGCTTCAGCATTTCACTCAGTGTCATCGATGTTTGCTCTAGGTGCTTATAGGTATTCTTTATTGATTAAGGAAGTTCCTTTGTTTCTATTTGCTAAGAGTTTTAATCACAAATGGCTACAGATGTTCATCAAGTATTTTTCTCCATCTATCACATAATGGCTTTTTTCTCTTTCCTTACTTTATTCCCTAATGCTTATCAGAATAATGTCAACTTGGTTGAGACATATTATTCGTTTCACTTATCATCAGATTCAACTGGCTAGTATTTTGTTCGGGGTGTTTGCCTCTGCGTTCATGAGGAAATTGGTGTTTAATTTTCCTTTCATACTTGTCAGGAAGTGGTAAGAGGCTGCACTGACTCTGAACTGTTTTCTGCTCCCAGCGCTTCTGACCGCAGGTGTGCGGGTTTCTCCCCGTGGACACCAGCTGGGTGACCCCCCATTTAACTCAGTTCTGGCACTATGTGCCAGGGTCAGTGCAGGCCCCACAGGGTCAGGGGTCCGTCCCTCGAGGCCGCCCCCACTAGGCGCCGGTCACAAGTGTCGGGTCCCCAGGCCACTGCACTCCATGCAGTGTGGCCATGAATCGGGTTCCCACCACCCCCTCCTCAGGTTCGATGTTTGCCATGACAGCTCCCAGACTCAGGAAAACGCTTGACTTAACTAGATCGCTGGTCTGTTACGGAGGATGTTGTAAAGGATGCAGATGAGCAGCCCGATGAGGGGGTCCATGGGGCAGGTGTGGAAGGGTCCCGAGCACGGGAGAGTCTGTCCCCGTGGAGCTGGGGTGTGCCGGGCACCACCTTCCTGGCAGGTGGACACGTTCACCAGCCCAGAAGCTCTCCAAACCCCTTCCCGCAGGGTTTCCCTGCAGGTTCCGGGACAGGGCACGGCTGATCAGCTCGCGGGCTGTTGGGAATTAACTCAGCCTCCAGCCCCTCCGCCCACCCCAGATGTCGGGACGGGGCTGAGGGTTTCACTCTCCCATCATGTGGTTGGTTCCTCCGACCGCCAGCCCCCATCCTGAAGCTCTGTAGGGATGGCCAGGAGTCACCTTGCGAGTGTAAACTCAGGTGTGGGTGAAAGGGACTTGTGAACCACAAAATCCCAAGGGTTGTAGGAGCTCAGTGCCAGGAACCAAGAACAAAGACCAGAGGTATGTGTCTTATTATATCACAATATCACACTGACCTTTTAGTCAATTAGAGAGTGTTCCCTTTTTGAACTCTTCTTGGGAAGAATTTGTATAAGATTAGCTGTTATTTCTTCCTTAAACGTTTGGAAGAATTCCCTGGTGAAGACTTCTGGGCCTGGATCTATTTGAGAAGATTTTCAAATGTGGATCCAATTTACTTAATAGTTACAGAACGCTTCAGATGTTATAATTTTTTTGTAATGTTGGTGGGTTGTGTTTTTCTAGGATGTTTCCAGTTAATATAAAATTTTTAATTTATTGGCATAATGTGGTTCTTACTATCCTTTTTTTTTTTTTTTTTTGCGGTACGCGGGCCTCTCACTGCTGTGGCCTCTCCCGCCGTGGAGCACAGGCTCCGGACGCACAGGCTCAGCGGCCATGGCTCACGGGCGCAGCCGCTCCGCGGCATGTGGGATCCCCCCGGACTGGGGCACGAACCTGTGTCCCCTGCATCGGCAGGCGGACTCTCAACCACTGCGCCACCAGGGAAGCCCCTTAATACCTATTATCATCTTTTAGTGTCGGCCTCACCAGGGATGATCAATTATTAGTCTCTCAAAAAAACACACGCTTTCCAGGCCACCCAAATGCCACTGGGCTGGGATGTAACCCCTGACAGGGCTGTTTTATTTCGTTGCCCTTGAGCCTCAGGTGCGGGCTTTGGGGACCCAGTCGGGGCACTAGCCTTCAGTGGGCCCTCAACTCCACCTGCAAAGGAAGAGTCACAGGTGCTGTTCAGGCTCTCAGCTGCCTCTTCTGTCAGCAGACAGCCCAGGACACGTGTATCCCAAGGTGCCAGGTTCACATCTCTCGATTCACATCTTCTTCCATGTCTCGGCCCAGTCATTTTTGCCTGCATTGTTCACTCTTCAGTGCTTTTAAGCAGATTTTTAAAATAGCTCATCCAACTTCTCTAATTTTCTACTGAGAATATCAAACCTAGCGTGACATTATAAGAAGTATCAGTTCGTCTCTGTCTATATTGAATTTGAAAGCAATTGTATGTGTATGTAGAGAAATGAATCAAAGACGTTAACTTGAATGGAAGCAGGTGGGTTTGTCTCGTGAGCGTCTTTATACTTGGGTGCTGAAGATTCCAGATTGCACACGGCAAGCTGCGAGCCATTAACTGAAGGACAGGAGGCAGAGAGCACATCACTCCTTCCCTCAACAGACACTAGTCCAGCCCCTGTGCACGTGGCACTGTGTGGACAGAGTTTCTGGAGGGAAGACCCTGTGAGCTGGGGGCCCACCCTTCCCCTGTCTTTGACCTTACATGTTTGCTGTGTATTGATGTAGACGTACAGTTTATATTATCTGGACCACTTGGTCGAGGCCCTGCAGAAGCTGTTCCTTCATGAGCTCACCATCCCGGTCCTGCAGTTGGAGGTACTCATTGCAGCCTCCGTGGTCGACAGCAAGAGCCTCAAGGACCTCTACCACCTCCGGTTGGTACCACCTGCTTTATTTTGGGGGGAGCTGGGAGACATTGAAGTGGCTAAAGTGGATATTTCCCAAAGCAAATATACAACCAAACAAGATTTTAAAGTGTTAATTCTGTAGTTGACGATTTATGTAAATAATAAAGTCCCTGCGATTTGTAAAGCCAAATAAATCAGAATACTTAAACATAAAAATAGTATTTTTAGTTTTAAAATTTCTGCCTGGTTCTTAAGAGAATATGATCATTCCAAGGAAATACACACTGAAGTAGAATAAGTAGAAAAAAGGAGCATTTTTGTGACTCTCAGATAGTTCAGGAAAACATTTGATATATATAAATTTTATATAAAATTTATGTGTAAATAAGTTTTAATTATTTCCTGAACTATATATGAAAGTTTATATATAGTTCAGGAAATAATTTTTATATATACAATTTTTATATTTTTATAAAGTTTTATATAAAATTTTAATAGATCTTTACATATATAAAATTGAGAGAGAGAGAGAGAGAACCTGGGTGGTGAAGGATGTAGTAATTCTTTGTAGTGTTTGTGTAACTTTTCTGGAAACTTGAAATCATTTCACAATACAACTGTTTTACACGAGAATCAAAGCAGAGCTTGTTTGCTTAAAGTTGTAACGGGTCAGAGCCCCACCCACTGCACCTTGTCTTGACCTGGAAAGATGACCCTGAGGCTATAAATGCCTGTGGAGTAAAGTTCATGAATGAATGGAGTAAAAAAGTTCATGAATGAATGGAGTAAAGTTCATGAATGCGTGTGGAGTAAAGTTCATGAATGAGTGTAGAAACGTGCTCCAGCTGGAACTTGATGGAGCTGTCTGTTGTTTTTCCCTAGTAATCTGGCTTAGCTTTACAAGTTACAGAAAATAGCCTCAGATTATCCATTCCTTTTCCCGTTTACCAACTTGTATCAAGTTGGCTGAGCCCAGGGCAGCCCGACTCAGGGCTGACGCTCCTCTCGCCCCCCCAGACTTGCCCTAGTTTGTTCTGATTTGAAGTTGAGGGAAGCAGCCACTTTCCACGAGGAGGTGGTCGGGCACGCCTACATCTGCGACGTGGAGCAGGTGAGGTAAGTCAGCCGAGCCGCGGAGCTCCGCCTGCTGCCGTGCCGGTCAGGCACCGGCCCTGCTCTCGGCCACGTCTCCTCGAGCCCCAGGCCCCGTCTCCCACCACGGCTGGGCAGCAGGGGCAGTTCATTCCTCACTTGCCCTCCCGTGTGTGGGCGTCTCCCGGGCTGGGGCCGCGTGGCGGAGGGACACAGCACACCAGGCGTGTGCAGGGGGCCAGGGGGAGCGGGACGGGTGAAGGAGGCGGCGTCCTGAGGGCACACGGGGAAGGAGGGTCCCACAAGAAGCAGGGGCTGGGCAGGGGCCTCTGCGGGCTGCCTTTCCAGATGGGGTGGAGTTCTGGCCTGGGTGGAAGTTTGAGGTGCACGTTACACATCCAGGTCGGGATGTCAGACGAGTAGCCGGATGCCTGAGCCTGGAGTCTGCAAGAGAGAATGGGCTAGGGGTGCGGTGGGGTCATATATGCTGCTAAACCATGGGAATTAAAAACAATCTTTGCAAACACGTGAGTGGATAGCGGCTTCTTGTAGCTATTTTCATTTGTGTTTCTTTGATTCCTACTGAAACTGAACATTTTCAGGTGTCTCTGGCCATGGTATTTCTTCCTTGGCATAATGCCTGTTTTACTTATATTAGCTGCAGAAAAGAAATTGCCTTGAAAAAGGAGAAAAATAAGGAACCTCTATTAGAAGAAAGTCTGCCAACACTGAGGGAGCCCCCCACTCCAGCCCAGCAAGCAGAGATGAAGCCCCTCGTAGCAAAGGATAAGGTAGCCTCTCTCTGCAGAAGCACCTCGGTTCCTAGCCCAGCGGGGGCAGTGACAGGTCCCGCTCCAGCCAGTAAGCTCGGACTTGCCTTAACTGCCTGCTGCCTCCAAATCCTGGTGCGGGGTTTCCTGGGAAATCCAGGGACTGATGGGATGTGTCCCCTCCCTGCGGGCCCTGGAAGTCCCCAGGGAAGACGGGACTGCAGGGCCTGAGCTGCAGTTCAGAGAGGCCGGGCTGGGAGTAGCGGGTGCCCCCCCGGGAGAGCTACCGCGCCAACCAGAAGGGGGAAAGGCCGAGGCCCTCGCAGGCCTGAGCGCCCACCGGCCTGCCCCCGACCCCGTCCGGTGGTGGGCTCGCCTCACATGGGCTCGCCCGTAAAGGAAATAACCATCCCCACCCCATGCTCCGAGGTCATGAGCACTTGTTACCATGGGAGTGCCACACCTGGGACTCCCTTCGTGGTGGGGGATGGCTGGGACCCGGAGTGCACAGAGCCCTCCTGCAGGACAGGCCAGGCGAGCCACCTGCACCCGGGACTGCTTGGTGGGCCTGGTGGGTGAGGAGAGACAGACTTCCCGGGGGACAGCCCGGCCACGGGCACTGGAGTGGGGGCTGGGCTTGGCGGGTGTGGGGCCGGTGGGGAACCTTGCTCGACAGCATGGGCCCTGCACCCACGCAGCACCGGCGGGCCTGCATGTCTTACAGACTTTGAAGATAGACGGAGAGACCGGCAGGGGCCTGGATGGAATGTCCTTCCCGCAGCTGTGGACCCTCAAGGCTGAAGTCCTGCTGGAGATGGACCTGTACCAGCCTGCCCGGCTGCTCCTGTCAGAGGCGTACCTGGCCTTCCAGGTGAGGCCACACCTGCCCGGCCCACTGCACCTGTGGGGCCTCTTCCCCCGAGTGGCAGCCCCCCAGCTCCGTGCCCCCGCTGAGACCCTTCTCTCTGGGAGGCAGGGACCTGTCTGTGCTGAAGCCTGTTCTAGAGCACCCGTCCCACTCCCATGTGCAGATCCAGCTCTGCCGGAGGTCTGTCCTTCACGTCCTTTGTCTGTCGGCTCCTCTGGTTTCTCGAGCTCCTTCATCAGAGTGTGTTAGAGCCTCTTTCTCCTCCTGTGCTGGGGGGCCCCTTCTGTTTGTGAGCCGGCCTCCTGATGTGCGTGTGGATGGGCGCCCCTGGCGAGGCCGAGGGCTTCGGTCTTGTTCCAAGAGGCAGATAGATAGATGGGGCCCCGGGGCCCCGACCCGCTTGGCTGTTTTGTTGCCGCTCCTCGGTGTGGGCCCTGCAGGTGTCTGTGGCATCTCCGGGGTCTCACTGGAAGCCTGGGGTTCACCCGGCCTCCTCAGAAAGGCTTGACTCCAGCCTGGACGCTCAGATCTCAGCTCAGCCCCTCAGGCCCCCACTACTGTCTGCTGGGTTTCTTGAGCCTGCTCTGCCCCTGAGAACAGGTCTTTGGACCCTTCCCCGGCCCCGCCCCCTCCAGTGCCAACTTCTGGAAGCCCCAGGCTCCTGCCTCCTCCCCCAGCTCAGATGTGGCTTTCTTCCTGGGCTCTGTCCCCCGTGAGGACAGACGCCCTCAGGAAAAACCCAGGACAGAGCGGAGCCACCCGTGTGTGCGTCTCTCCCTCCCCAGAGGTGGTAGCTCAGCTGCAGTGTCAGCGGCTCCCAGGGCCTCAGACGGATGCTTCTGTCTCCGGGCGGGTTCAGAATTGTTCCCTGGGAGGGTGGGGCAAAGCTACAGAGCCACACAGGCTGACACTTTCTTTGTAGAGGAACTCCAGAGAGAGAAGCATCCCTAATAAAGGTACAAAAAATTCACAGCCTTGGGAGGTTCAGCTCTCTGTCTTAGGCAGGGGGACAGGTGTGTGCAGACCAGACTCAAGAGGGAGCGTGGCCTGGGAAGGGACCGAGAAGGCCGTGCGGCTGCTGAAGGGAAGCGGCCAGGGTGGGCCCTGGGGGGGTGCAGAGGAGCACAGGCACGGAGGGGCTCCCGGGGGCCAGGAGTGGGGACCAGAGGGCGGACAGGTGGCCTAAGGAGGTGGGGGGCTGTGAGCCGACACCCACATGCCACAGGCGCCGCAGTCCCGTCTCCTGGCCTGTGGCCGTGCATCCGTGACCCTCCCTGTCAGCCTCCCCCAGACTCACGAAAGAGTCATCCACGCGCTGCCCTCACCTCCACCTGGCCGCCACCCGACCCTCCTGCTGCCAGGAGCGGGCTTTCCAGGGCTGTCAGTGCTTTCCAGAGTCAGGGGAGTAGGTTTTAACACACACACAGGCATCAAGCCCAGGCCCTGCACCCTCACACTGCAGGCATGTCTCCAGACAAGAGCTCAGACAGTGTGTGCAGAGGCCTGGTGCCACGGCTGCCGTCTCTCTCTCTCTCTCTGTCTCAGTTTCTCTGTCTCTCTGTCTCTCTATCTCTTTGTCTCTGTCTCTCTCTCGCTCACTCTCCCCCCGCCACTCCCCGTCCTGTCTCAACACGCACCTCTTTTTTAGGAGCTCGACGATCCTTGTGCAGAATCGAAATGCCTGCACCTGTTGGCACGGTTGGCAAACAAGGAAAAGAAGTACGGCCAAGCTAGGAAGATGGCCGAGAGGGCCCAGCACCTGGGGGGCAGTGAGCAGTTCTGGTACGAGTCCACCCTGACCCTGGCGGACACACTCCTGTCCACCGAGAACGAGAGGAGAGAGGCAGTGGTGAGGGGCCGGCCACGTGCCCGCCCGGCGGTGCAGCCTGCGGCGGGGGGGGGGAGGGGGCGGAACAGCGGGGGCCGCCGTGACCCTGCTGGGCCTGCCTCAGGTCTGCCAGCTGTTCCAGAAGCTCATAGATACCTTCAACGTTCTTAAGAAGGAGAGACCGAACCGAACGCCCATATTGGAATTCATGACCACAGACCTAGAAGCCAGGTAATTTTTTGTAAGAAAAAATGTTAATCGGGCTTCCCTGGTGGCGCGGTGGTTGAGAGTCCGCCTGCTGATGCAGGGGACACGGGTTCGTGCCCCGGTCCGGGAAGATCCCACGTGCCACAGAGCGGCTGGGCCCATGAGCCATGGCCGCTGAGCCTGCGCGTCCGGAGCCTGTGCTCCGCGACGGGAGAGGCCACAGCAGCGAGAGGCCCGCATACCGCAAAAAAAAAAAAAAAAAAAAAAAATGTTAATCAACATGAAAATAGTGGTTTACTTTTCTCCATCTATTAATTTTTAAGCCAAATTTCAAGCCTACAAAGTTCAGAGACTCCCAGGACAGGGCCCTGTGCCCACAGCGTCCGTCCGCATCCCGTCCTGGCAGCAGGCATTTCTCCCGGGAGGGGGCGGGTGGCCTTGTGTGTCCCGTGGATCCTCAGCTCCCCAGGAAGTGGCTCCGCCTCCGGGAAGCCTCTAAGGCTGGGGCAGGCCCGGCCTCTCCTCTCCCCACGTTGCCAGGCGGTCAGACGTCCTCCTGGGGTCTGTTGGGCTGTCCGCTCCTCTGCTCATCAGCTTTCAGGTCAGCAGCTTATCTTCGAGCCATCCTCCTGGTCGTTTACCTTCTCCCAGAGAGCGGTTTCCTCGCGGTTTCAGCACGGACGTTCGTGGTGCCTTTCTCGTAGCTGTGCGAAGCCGCGAGGTCTGTCTCCTAAGTTGATTTGCAGATTCCAACTGGATCCGCCTTCTCAGAGCAGCTTCTGCTCCACTGACCAGAGAACTGTGGATTTCGCCCGATTTTGGTTTTCTGTATTCTCTCTTGGTCTTTGCTGAGTTCTTCCTGTGCTGGGAGAGGGCTTGTTCTGTCGTGGCTGTTCTGTCTCTCCCTCTGGGATGGGTTCCGTGGCCCCTGTGCTCTGTCTCTGCCCCTAGCAGAGGCACCTCTGACGCCCCCTGCAGCAGCCTGCAGGTGTGACCTGTGAACGGATTCCATTTCCAGTGGGTTTTCTTTTCTGACCCTGAGTGTTTTAAGAGAGGGGTGGGGTGGGGAGTTGTTACTTTCTAATTTTATGGCATTGTGACCAAAGAACGTGCGTGTCTTGTAGGATTTCTGGTGTCAAGAAACGCTGGGGAAAGTGTTTCTCCCTGCGCCCAGAGGGAAGCTAGAGGTGGGTGGTGGCCTTGACCACGAGTCTCAGGGAAGCGCCTCCCCGCCCCGCCCCCCCCTCAGGTGTGTGAGCCTCCAGCTCCAAGCCGCCCAGGAGCGGGGGGACTCTGAGCCCTTCCAGAACTCAGCTCTGCTGATGGAAATGGAAAATCGCTTGCTGGAAATGGAGGAGAAGTTTACCAGCATTGGCCACAAGGAGAAGTGTGTGGACATCAAGCTGGAGCGCGCCAAGATGAAGAGGTGGGTGGGCCCACGCCCCCTCCCGGCCCTCCGCAGCGCTTCCCTTCTTCCCCCACGCGCCCGGCTTTCCTCCCGGGCCACCCCCGCCGGCCGCCAGCAGGGCCTCCCTACGGCTTGGCTTGGCCGCGGGGTTCCGCGACCCTCCCCCAGAGACACGTACTGGGGTCCGCAGCCTCTGGGGGGCGTCCGCCCACATCGTCCCGGCCCAGCCCTGGCCCCAGGCGCGCGCGTCTTCCCACGACCATACAGGCGCGGACACGCGTGTGCACACGCGGCCACACGCACGTCACCTCGGGAGGCCCGGGAGCTGCCCCCGCTCCAGCGGGCCGACAACCCTCCCACGTGACGCTCCCCTGTCCCCGCACCCCGCCCAGGGCCCCCCCGCGGTCGGGGCCACGCAAGCGTCCAAGACACAACAAGCAAACCAAGGGCAGGGTATTACAAACAGCCTTTATGCGGGAAAAGCAACCTGACGCCTGTGAAACCCAACCTAACACAATATTATCATAGAAGCAGTATATGTAGAGCTTTAAAAAATGCAAAAAAACACAGACAGGAAAATTAGGGGTTTAAACCAGCACAGCTAATATTGTGGCATTGCTTCACCTGATGTATCAGCACCAGTTTAGTTATGAGCATAGTGTCATGCTGTGCTTACTGCATTCCTCCAGATCGCTCCTGTTTTTTTATTTTTTTCTGAGATATATTGAGAATATATTTCCAGGTAAAACATCTAATTATAAAATTTAAAGGACTAATAAAATGTACATCATAATTACAAGAAAATTACATGCTACACGTTTTGTTAGTACTGACGACGTAATGCTTTGACATTTTTGTTCTAAGTTCCACTCTTCCGTCCAATAAAGGTTATCTGCCCAAAATGAGAAAGATGCGGAACAGAAGACTGCGTGTTACTTGGAGGCATACGACCTGGTCCAGAGAGCTGCTGCCGAAGAGGAAGAGCTATTTCACCGTATTCAGGGCTTACTGTCCCTTCAGGGTGTAAGTGTGTTATGTGATTTTTACCTCAATTTTAAAAAACCTAGAAAGCTATGGAGGAGATGCCCAAATGTTTGGAAAGTAAGTAGCGTACATCAAAATAACTATGGGCCAGAGAAGAAATCAAAAGGGAAATTATTTTGAACTGCAGTGCTGCAGGGGGCGCATATCCAAATGTTTAAGATATCTCTAATGCAATACTTAGGGGAAACTTTGTGGCACTAAACACCTGTATGAGAAGAGAAAAAGATCCCAAATCAGTGATCTCACCACCCTCTGCAATGTGAAAGGAGAAAAAGCAAATCAAACTCAAAATAAGTAGAAGAAAGGAAATTGAAGATCACAGTACAAATCAATGAAATAGAAAACACAAAAATTAAAAAGAAAATCAATAAAGCCAAAAGCTGTCTCTTTAAGAAGATCTGTAAAGTGATAAACTTGTAGCCAGACTGATCAAAAAAAAAAAAAAAGAGAGAGAGAGAGAGAGGACATAAATAAGCAATATCAGAAATAAGAGCTGTGACATCACCACAGACTCTACACACATTAAAAAGATAATAAGGGAGTATCATGAGCAACTCTATGCCAAAATATATTTGACAATTAGATGAAATGGATGGAAAATGGCTTGGAAGACACAAACTACCAAAGCTCACTCAAAAAGAAACAGAAACTGAATAGCCCTCTGTCTACTAAATAAATCGAATTTGTAGTTCAAAGATTTTCCACAAAGAAAATGTCAGACTCATATGGCTTTACTGGTGAATCCCACCAAACATTTAAGGAAAATTAATACCAGTTCTGCACAAACTCTTTGAGAAAATTGAAAAGGAGGGAATACATCCCAACTCTTCTATGAGGCTGACACCAAAACAAGGTAAAGATATTAAAAAAAAAAAAAAAAAACAACCTACAGGCCATTATTCTTCATGAATATAGATGGAAAAATTTTAAACAGAATTTAGAAAATTAAGTCCAACAATGTATAAAAAGGATTATATACCAAGTTGAGGTTATCCCAGGACTTGTTTAACATTCAAAAATCAATCAATTTTGTTCACCGTATATTTTTTTAGAATTTTCTTTTTTTTTTAAATTAATTAATTTATTTTTGCTGTGTTGGGTCTTTGTTTCTGTGCGAGGGCTTTCTCTAGTTGCGGCGAGTGGGGGCCACTCTGCATCACGGTGCGCGGGCCTCTCACCGTCGCGGCCTCTCTTATTGCAGAGCACAAGCTCCAGACGTGCAAGCTCAGTAGTTGTGGCTCACGGGCTCAGTAGTTGTGGTGCACGGGCCTAGTTGCTCTGCGGCATGTGGGATCTTCCCAGACCAGGGCCCGAACCCATGTCCCCTGCATTGGCAGGCAGACTGTCAACCACTGCGCCACCAGGGAAGCCCTCACCATATATTTTTAAAAATTAAAAATAAATGATCATCTTAATAGATGCAGGAAAAGCATTTGGCAAGATCCAACATCCATTTCTGATTAAAAAAAAAAAACTCTTAGCAAACTATTAATAGAAGTGATCTTCCTCAATCTGATAAAGGGCATCTATGAAAAGAACTAGAGCTCACATGTTGAAAGATTGAATGCTTTCCCCTTAGGTGAGGAAAAAGACAGCAATGCGTCCTGCACCACTTTGATGCAGAATTTTATTAGAGTTCTAGCCAATTCAACAAAGCAAGAAAAAGAAATTAAAGGCGTCCAGACTGGAAAGGAAGAAGTAAAACTGTCTTTGTTCACAGCTAACATGGCCATCTGTATAGAGAATCCTCTGTAATCTACAAAATAATAAAGCTGTTAGTACTAAGGAATGAGCTTAGTAAGGTTGCAGGATACAAGAACAATATACAAATATTATTGTGTATTTCCATATACTAGGAATGATCAACTGGATATTAAAAATTTTAAAACAACACCATTTATGACAGCATAAATATGAAATTTGACAAAAAAGTGAAAACTCGTACCCTGAGAACTACAAAACATTGCTGAGAAAAATTAAACAATACCTAGATAAATGGAAAGATATATCAAGTGCATGGCTCAGAAAACTTGACGTTATTAAGATGTCAGTTCCCCCCTAAATTATCTGCAATCCTGATCAAGATACTGCAGGGTTTGTTTGTTTTTTAGAAATTGACAAAGTGATTTTTAAATTTATATGGAATTTCAAAAGACCTAACATAGCCAACACAACTTTGAAAAAGAAGAACAAAGTCGGAGGACTGACACCACCTGATTTTGACTCACTATAAAAGCTACAGGAACTGAGACAGTGTGGTTTTAGGGTTAAAAATACACAGACATCAGTGGAACGTAACAGAGAATCCAGAAATAGATACACGCACAGAGACAGAAAACTGACTTTCAGCAAAGGTGCAGAGAGTTCAGTGAGCAAAGTCCCACCTTTAGGACAGCGGCGCTGGGGCAACTGGACGCCCGCACCCAAAAAATAAACTTCAGTTCTTACCTCGCACCACATGTAAAAATTAACTCAACAATGGATCATAGGCCTAAATGTAAGAGCCAAAACTATCAAACTTCTAGAAGAAAACAGGAAAATACCTTTGCGGCCTTAGGTTTAGCAAAGCTTTCTTACGTGTGACACCAAAAGTGTGATCCATCAAACAATAAATGTATAAATTGGACGCTGCTCTTCAAAAGACACTAGTAAGAGAACAAATAGACACGTCGATGACGGGGAGAAAATGTTTGCAAATCATTTATCTGACAAATGTCCTGTCTCCAGAGTATACAAAGGACTTTCAGAACTTAGTAAGACATAAACAACCCAATAAAAACAGACCAAACGTTTGAACAGACATTTCTCCAAAGAAAATATGTGGATGGTACATAATCAGGTGAAAAGATGGCCAACGTTATTAGTGAGTCAGGGGAACGCCGATTATAACCACAGTGAAAAACCGCCGCACACCTGTTAACATGGTTACAACTTGAAGGACCGACCACACTGAATATTAGAACAACCTGAGGAACTGGGACTCTCCTACGCTGCCCGTGGGGACACAACGTGTGCAGCCACCTTGGGAGGTGGTTTGGCAGCTTCCTGAAGAGTTAAGCACAGGCCCGCCGTATGCCCCAGCCGTCCCGCTCCTAGCTGTTTACGCAAGAGACATGAAAGCACGTGTTCACACACACACGTGTGCATGAATGCTCACAGCAGTGGCATTTGTAACAGCCCCAGACTGTGAGTGGGTAAACACACTGGCACATCGACACGACAGAACACTGCTCAGCTGTACGAAGGGATTAACATACAGGCAGCAACGTGCATGGACCCTAACGTAACCACGCTGAGTGAAGCTCGCCAGGCAGAGAGTACATGCTATACGACTCCATTCGTGTAAACTCCGAGAAAGTGCAAGCTAACTTGTAGACCCAGAAAGTAGCCACATGTTTGCCTGAGAAGGAGGAGGTGGAGTCGGAGGGGGCAGGGTTTTGGGGGCGAGGGTGCAGCCGTCATCTTCGTGCGTATCCGTACGTCGGCACGCGCGCGCCCGTCGGGGCTGACTGGGTGGAGGCGGAGCCTTGGCGGGAGCGCCCGTGCCGTGACTGCCTGCGCGCGTCTCAGTTGCAGCACGTCAGCACCCCTCTGGTGAGGAGGCTGGCGCACCTCAAGCTCAGCCTCGTGGAGGTGTGTCTGGACACTCTCCAGCGCACGTGGGAGGAGACCCTGGAGCGGCAGCGGGAGCAGGGCTCGATGGACAAGCTGCTGGCCGACTACCTGCAGAGCCCCAGTGACTACACTTCTGTCGGCCTGGTAACCGTCCACGGACACTCACCAGTCCCCCGGGGCCCCCACCAACGGGGGCTGTCATGCTGCGGTGGGGCCTCCACCTCCGTGTGCCTGAAGTGCAGACCAGCCAGTGGGAGTCCAGGAGGCCAGGTTTCACAGGCCTCCCCCTGAGGTCTCTGAACCCTCGGAGTGGGTTCCCTGCCCCCGCAGCTCCCGGCAGGTCCCAGAAGCCCCCAGCAGCTCGGTGGGGCTCAGAAAGGCCCTGTCTAACTGGCTAATGAAAGCGGGGTCGTACTTAGGGGGAGACCCCCTGTGCACAGACGGCTTCCCTTCCCAAGGCGCGAGTTTGCTCTGACGGTCATGTCGTCACAGTAAGGAGTCCATAAAGGTCAGCTGCAGTCTGTTGAGAAAATAAGTTACATTTGCAAAATATTTGTTTTAGGGAAACATGTCCTGGCATTTTAGACGTTGTCTTAGATTTCATGAAGTATGAATCAAATAATTTGATGTAACTCTAAGTGGATCAAATTAGTCCTGAAATGGAGCTGCATACAAACTCATGTCCTTGTCAGTCAGCCCCAAATTAAGGTTCCATCAGCAGACTTCAGACCCTCCCAACACCTGACCCTTGGAGACCCTCGCCACAATGCATGGGGTGTTAGAGGGTGGGTCCCACTGGGGAGGGGCAGCAGTGGTGGGCCTATTGCGTTTCTGGGGCGGGGGTGGAGTAACTGAGGCGGTCTGTGTCCCTGAAGAAGTGGTTCACCCTGAAGCGGACCCTGGCGCACACCGTGCTGGCCCAGCTGGGGAGCCTGCAGCCACTGTGCACCGGCTGCGTGGAGCTCCGTGCCCAGCTCCTGAGCCTGGCCGGGAAGGCCCTGCACCTGTTGGCCGTGCACGCAGACCCCCTGCACCCCGCCTTCTACTGGGAGGAGAGCCTCTTGGTATGTGCTTCTGCTTCTGGCTGGTTCACAAACCTACCACCTGCGCTTAAAAAACAGAAACAAGATATTTAGAGCTCACCTGACCTCAGTAAGAACTGAGGTGGCAAACAGGTCTCTGATCATCCCCGTCAAGAAGGGCGATGTGGGCTATGGAAGGAAGGAAAGGGCGGCAGCAGCCCTGCCCGGGGCCTGCAGGGAAGGACGGAGACAGGGACTTTGGGGACAGGCCCGAGGAGGGGCGGCCGCCCTTTGCAAGGAACGGGTGGGAGAGGAAGGGCAGGCACACGGCTGGTCCTGGTCTGAGGGCAGGACGGACCCATCCTAAGCGGGGCATCCCACCCCACCCCAAATGTGGGTGTCCCTGGTGTCTCCCTCACCCTGGCAGTGCTGCACCTGGGCGTCTGGCCTGCACCTGAGCACTGGACCTGCATCCTATAGCACAGTGGGGGCCCCCGCCCACCTCGCTCCCTGCCCCGCCCCCTCACTCCCCTCCCCCACCCCTCCCCCCCCCCCCCCCCCCCTCACTCCCCTCCCCCTCACTCCCCTCCCCAACTCCCTCACTCCCCTGCCCCACCCATACGGTCAGGTGAAGCCCTGACCCCAGCAGCTGCATCAGTGCACAGAAGCCCACACCCTTCTCTCCAGCACTCCTCACCCCCCACAAGGCTGCCCAGCAGGCCTGGCGCCCCTCGGAAGGAGCTCTGGTGACAGCCACTGCCACTGCTGGCCGTGGAAGCTCCAGGTCACCGTCCTAACCACCTCTGCAGATGCCACCTCCTCCAACTGGAAGGCACCTGCTTGGCGGTGCAGCCAGGCTTATCCCCGTAGACCCTGCTCTTTCAGGAGACCCCCAGCCCCGAGCAGCCAGGCGCTGCACCCCTGTGTGATTTGGGGCTGGTGCCTCCACTTCCCTGACCCAGCTGGGCGTGCAGGCCCCGGGGTCAGCCTGTGACTGTCTATCCTGGGTCTCCAGGCCGCAGGACGTGACTCACATTTGAGTGAATTGATGGTGTTTGGCCCCTTGTTCAACCTGTATTTACTGAGCACCAGAGCAGGTGGCTCTGAGTCAGGCAGACGTGGACCAGATACATAGCTCCTTTCTGAGCGGGCGTCCCATCTATGAAGCGGCCCTCACCACACCCCAACTCGCAGGGGCCGCTGGGGAAACGTGCCCCCCAGGCCTCGCTTCGTGTCATGTCCCCTCAAACCCAGGGCTCCCCTTCAACCCGAGTCCTCCTGGGCCTGCTGCCCCCTAGGCAGTTTCCCTTGGCACCCTGAGGACCCCGTCAGGGGGCTTGTCTTGCAGACAGGAGGGCCTTGTTTGTGCCTTCGCCCCCCGGGCCCCTGGGCAGACTGGCAGCTGGCTCCCCGGGTCCTGGCCGGCCTGATGCCGGGGGAGGTGATTCTGAAGGACTGAAGGGCAGTGAGCACAGAAGGCCCTTGACCTGAGCGCGCCGAGGCCCCACCCCGGCTGTACCTGCCGAACGCCAGGCTCTTGGGCCAGGGTCCTGCCGGTCACCCAAATCAGCGAGATGCCGGCCCAGTGCCCACAGTGCCCTCACCCAGGGGTCCTACAGAGACGCCTGGCCACGGCGGGCACTGCCGTCCGTGCTGACGTGCGGGCCGACTGGAGGTGCGTGTTCCGTAGGGGGGCGCTGAGCTGAACAGCCGCGAGTGTCTGGAGATCATCCAGGAGGACGAGGACCGCAAGGGGCCCTACGGCGGCCTGGTGGCCCTCAGGGCCACCCCCGAGGGGCACAGCCGGAAAGGCTGGGATCTGAAGGTACCCCTGCCCCAGCCCCCAGCCCCGCCCCGGGCGCGCCCTGCCTGCGGAGCCAGCCTGAGCCTGAGCCTCTCCCCGCAGAGGAAGATGGCGCTGGCCCAGCGGTACCTGGCCCAGGCGTCCGAGGTGCTGCTGCAGTGCCTGCAGGTAGCCCTGGGCAGCAACCTCCTGGACATCGCCGCAGCCGCCAGCCTGGAGATGGTGGAATGTGTCGGCACCCTGGACCCTGCGGCCACCTGCCAGTTCCTGGCGCTGTCTCAGGTGCGCTCTGCTCTGGGCGCCTTCCACGAGGTCCCTCTTAGCCACTGGGGAGAAGGAGGGTCCCCGAGACCCCGGTGCTCCCTCCGTTGGTGGCCCTGCCAGCCAGCCTGCAATTGGGCTCTGCCTCAAGGGTGGCGCTCATTGGAGGAAGCACCGTGGGCACCAGGAGAAGGGGGCCGGCCCCCCGAGGTTGCCCGGAGGCTCACGGGTGCACGAGCAGCAGAAGCCCTCCAAGCTCGTGTTCCTGCGACGTAGGGCAAGAGCGTCGAGCCCTCCTCCCTGCGTCCTGAGCTGCAGGCCTGCGGGCACAGCGGTGAAGGTCCGGCCTGGCCTCGCCCCGCGGCTGTGCCGGCTGCCAGGAGGAGCACCTGGGCGCCCACCCGCGCTGGACGGCGCCCGGGCCCCTCGGCAGCCTCCGTGGTCTGTTTCAGAGCTGCTTAGCCTCGGAGGGCATGCGAGACGTCCTGCTCACGGCCACGGCCAACACCAGCAGCTCACAGCTGGCCGCGCTGCTGCAGCTGCAGCACAGGCTGAGGTGCCAGGAGAGGACGTCCACCAACCTGTTTGCCAGCGTGGAGCAGAGACTGGCCACCATATCCAAGGTGACCAAGCTAGGGACGCCCTTGACCCTGCCCCTGGCCCCGCGGCTCTGCGGACATACTCGGACCGAGTCCAAATCCTGGCTTGCTGTGTGGCTCTGGGAGGGTCACTCAACCTCTCTGAGCTGCAGCTTCCTCATGGGCCCAGTGGGGGGATAGCAGCCCACCTCCTCGGTGACAGCGAGAGTCAGCGAGCTCGCAAGTACAAATGCCCAGGGGCTGCAGCAGGCCGCGAGGGGGACAGTACCCCGGGGCTCTGCTTTCAGCCCTCACTGTGTTTGAAGAAAAGTTTTATACTCAGTCAAGTCTTAGAGTTTAATTTTGAAAGAAATTTGCAGAGCATGGTAGCTAATAGCACCTCTGCTTTTATTTGGACTAGCAAATATGAATCGGAGATTTAAAGAAATTAAACTTGATGCAACTCAACAGAGAAAACAGGCCCGGATGCTCTGGTCAGGCCCACCCTCCTCCTTCATGGGGCTTCCACGGTTACTTGCATGGGCCGACCTCATATCCCTTGACCCGGCTGCTTTCCTCCTTTTGACCTCTGAGGACAGGATGACCCTCTGTGGTGGGGCCGTCCTGTGCGCCGTGGGTGTTCAGCGGCAGCCTGGCCTCCAGCACCTCCCCAGGTGTGACAACCAAAAAAGTCACCAGGCCGAGAGCCAGTGCCGTGACCCAGGGATGGGAATCCTCCCTCCTATGGGGCGGAGGCAAGACGGGGTGCAGGCTGCTCTGGGCCAGGCCAGCCTGGAGGAGGTGAGAAGCAGTACATGAACCGTGAAAACACTACCAGGTGAGAAGCAGTGAGCGTTCTGCTAAGATGCCTTACTGGAGGGAAACGGCCCAGGAGCCGGGCAGCGCGGACCACCGTCCTGAATCCATGAGCACCAGTGATGCAGCTTCAAAGGCGCAGAAGAGAACTGCCAGAGACAGAGCAGCCGCAGACAGACCCCCGGCTCTGCGGGGAGGCTGCAGCCGCCCTCTTGGCTGCTGGCACGATGAGCAGATGAAGAGGCAGTGGCCTGCAGAAGCGTGTGGGGCATCTGTGAGTGCAGGAGGTCTGGACAGACCCGGCCTGGAATGCTGCACCAGTGTGACCAGCCCTGGGCCACGAGAGGCCTCAACAAGTTCCAAAGCACTGAAGTCATTCAGTTTGTTTTCTAACCACAAGGAAATTAAAACAGAAATCAGTAACTAAGAGATACCTGTAAAACACACAACTGCCTTGAAATTAACCAGTATGTCTATCATCATCAGTTTGTCAAAGAGGAAATCACGATGGAATTTAGAAAATATTTTAAATTGACTTAGAGAATAAAAATACTGTATATCAAAACCTAGGAGACTTGTCCAGAACAGGGCGTGGAGGAAAAATACAGCCTTGAATACAAAAGAGAGTCTTACAGTGATTTAAGCTGTGATTTCAAGAAGCTAGAGTAAAAACACCTAAGAAAAATAGAAAACAAATAAGAACGAGAACAGCAGAAGCCATGAAATTAAAACACACTTACGGCAGAGGAAATCATCATGACAAGTGTTGGTTCCAAAGAGAAGACTAATAAAATTGATAAACACTTAGAAAGACCCGATAAAGAAAAAAGAGAAAGAAAACAAAAATTTCGGTATCGGTAATAAAAAGACATCACGAGATCCTTCAGACATCAAGAAGCTAGTAAGAGACTATTTTTTATAACCTTACTCTAATAAATTTGACAATTTGGATGAAATGGACAAATTCCCCCCAAAATATTACCTACCAAAGCGGACAGAATGGAAAATCTGAATAATATCGCTTCAAGAAATGGCAGCTTTTATTAAAAACATTCCCACAAAGAAAATCCCAGACCCAACTGGCTTCGCCAATAAATTCTTCCAGACATTGAAGGAAAAAGTAATCCTTCAAAACACTTCCAGAGGATAGGAATAAAAGGAATACTTCCTAACTGTCTTTAAAGAGGCCCAGTGAGCCTCGATACTAGAAACCTAGCAAGGACGTTACATGGAAGGAAAATCTCTCTCATCAACGTGGACACAAAGTATTAGCAAGTAAAATCCAGCGATTATAAAAGGGATAATACATGAGGATCAAATGGCTGTGTTCCATGTGGTTTAATACTTTTAAATCATTCAATATAATTCACCGTATTAACAGGAGGAAAAGGAGAAAATCATAAGATCATCTTGATAGACGCAAAAAAAACATTTGTCAAAATTCAGCACCAGTCTGTGATTTCAAAATATCAAGACAGAAGATAATTTTCTTAATTTGATAAAGAATGTCTTTAAAACTCCATATCAAACATCATACTACAGGACTTCCCTGGTGGCGCAGCGGTTGAGAGTCTGCCTGCCGATGCAGGGGACGTGGGTTCGTGCCCCGGTCTGGGAAGATCCCACATGCCGCGGAGCGGCTGGGCCCGTGAGCCATGGCCGCTAAGCCTGTGCATCTGGAGCCTGTGCTCTGCAACGGGAGAGGCCACAGCAGTGAGAGGCCAGCGTACCGCAAAAAAAACCCCACATCATACTATATACTAAAATTTTGAAAAATTTTCTCCTTGAGTCAGAATGACACAAGAAAGCTATCACTGCTTCTATTCAATGGAACAATTAGACTCAAAAAACGAATAAAGGGCAGAAGCACTGAAAAGGAAGAAGTAAAACTGATTATTCACAATCAGCATGATTGTGGGCCTTGAAAATCATAGTCTCTCGATAACAGAGTTAACATGCAGATTTGGCAGGTCACTGCTGAAGGCTGTAAACATGACTTGTATCTCTACATGCCAGTTACAAACAAGCAATGACAATGTCCGAATAATACCGTTTTCAGTAACATCAAAAACAATCAAATACCTAAGGGAAATCTAACAAAAGATACACATGACTTCTACCCTGAAAACCGCAAACCTATCCTAAGGAAAATTCAAGAAGAACTAAGTAAGCCCAGAGGCAGCTGTATTTGTGGGGGAAGGCTCCATACTAAGATGTTTGTAAGGAAACGCCAGCTTACTACACAAGATACCAAGACGTATTGAAAACTATAGAAGGTAAGACAGCGTGGCATTGGCACACAAATGGAGAAAATGACCGATGGGACAAGAAAACGCCCAGAAACAGACCCACCACCCACACCTGACAGATGAAAAGCATGACACTTAGGGCAGAAGAGCGGATGGTGCAGCCCTGCACGAAGGGCAGCTCTACCTGAGAAGGTAACACAGCAGAGCTTTCAGAATAAGCTTTAAGGGGACCTCTTCATGCCTTCGGAGTAGGGAAGACTTACTACGCAGGAGACAGAGGTGCTAACCATCAAAGGGGGAATGATCAGTTGTACTGCACTGACAGTAAGAACTTGTGTTCATCAAAACCATAGCCCAGGAGTCAAAAGGCAAGCCCCAGAGGAGATACAACACACGCGGGGGGCCAGGGGCTGGTGTCCTGTGTGTAGACAGGAGGTGTCCCCTCTCGGCAGGAGAAAGACTGACTGTCCCACAGAAAACAATCACAAGACTGGAATTTCACAAAAGATACCCAAGTGGCCAGTAAACTCTGTAAATGACGCGCAAGTTCACTGCTCATCAGGAAGATGGAAAACTTAAAGCCCCGTTCAGGTACTGCTAGACACCCACCAGAAGGGCCGACAGGGAACAGGTGCAAACCCCAAGGGCGGGAGAGCAGGCGGGGCCCTGGCGGGGGTGGGGCCCGGTGGCCCCTTTGGAAGCGACGTCCCCCAGCAACTCCCCTGCGGCCGGTGGTCCCCAAAGAACAGACGTCACAGCAGCATTTGTGGCCCAGAAAGGGAGCCCACCCAGGTGCCCAGTGGCCACAGAAGGGACGAGAAGCGGTGCCCTCACCGATGGGACACTCTGCAGGCAGCAAAGGGCAGCGGGGTCAGCCGCCACGTGCGCCAGCGCGGAGGGCCCGGGCCTCGCACAGCGGGCCGCCCGAGCTGCGGAAGCCTGCCGGCGCCTCCCCTGGAGCGAGGCCGTGGCCCCTGTGAGCAGCCCGCAGCCTCCCGAGCGCCGTTCCCACGGCTTCCGTGTGTCCGCTCGCCGCCGGGGCAAGCGTCCCAGAAGCCCCTCCGCACCTCCGTGGGCTTGAGTGCCGACGCTGGTCGGCTTGGGCAAAGCTGAAGCTCATTTCATCCGAAAGTGGGGAATGGGCTTCTGAGCGACCGCTGCTCTTCGGGGAGGCGGCCCGCGGGGTGCTGTGTGGCCCCCGCTGCGGACCCTTCCCCGCAGAGAAGGGGGACCCGGGTCCGGGCAGGCTGAACCGCCGGCCGCCCCCGCCCCCCGCGGCCTGCGGGCCGGGAGCGCGGGTCCTGCGCGTGCCCTGCCGGTGTCTGCGCGGGGGGCGCTGGGACCGCGGGGAGGGGAGAGGGCGCCAGCTGTGCTGCAGGACGTGCCGGGGCTTTTCCGTGCGCCTTTGGACTCGGTGCCTTTGCGGGTGTGCGGCGGCGGGTCGGGCTCTGGCGGTACCGGCGGAGCCAGTGTCCAGGGCAGCGGTGAAGTCTGCGTGCGTCTGCTGCCCCCTTGTGGCGGCGCCCGGCCCCGCAGCCGCCGCCCGGCGCTGACTCCTGACTGCCCCCCGCAGGCTTGGCAGAATCTCTGGGTCACCGAACAGCACTTTAACTTCTTGAGTGAAATCCCTCCCACTTTTCGGATCCTCTTTCTGCACCACTCACGGGACAGGTGAGGCCTTCTCTCTCCTGTTCTCGGGCTTGCTACCCAGGCTTCTGCCCGCTAAGGTCCCTGTGGACACAGCACGGGGCTGCCAAGCCGAGGGACAGACAGGCCGGCGGGGGCTGCCCGCTGAGGGGGGCGGCGGGGGGCGACTGTCCCTCTGCCACGATGGCCAGGCTGGCCCGTACGACCCGGGGAGGGGAGAGGGCACGGTGCCACCTCCCGCCAGCACGTGGCCCTGGTCTGAAGTTCACTGCTCAAGTGGCGCAGAACCCACTGGTCTGGGAGAAGCTGGTGTCCCAGCCTCTGGCAGCACCGCACACAGACCCCCCAGGGGCCGGTTTTAACCCTGTGTCTGACTTGGCTGGGGCACCGCAGGGAGGAGGCTCCTGTTCCCAGCAGGGTGGGTATGTGGCACAGAGTCGGCCTCGTCGTCGGGGCTCCTCTGGGATCCCCGGAGCCGGGCTTTGACCCCACCCTACGTCCTGCCAACAGGACCCATCTGTATGGCGCTGCCTACGAGAAATCCAAGTTCATCCCCGCAGCCAAAGGCAAACTGCCCCAGGTCGGGGGTGAGTTCTGCCGGAGCACCACCCTCGGGGTGTGTGCAGGGGTGCGCCCACCGGCACCAAGGCCGAGCGTGCGCACCCGTTCCCACCTGCGGTCCCCTCAGCCCCGGGGGGCGTTCTGCGAAGCCGCGTGTGGGGACAGCGGCGGCGTCTGTCTCTGCAGGCTCCTGCAAGGTGACTCGTATGGCCGTGAGCCCAGCCGCCTTCTCCTCCCTGTTGGCCAGTGCCCAGCAGTTCCGGGAGCACACCCAGGCTGAGGCACACAGTGAGGACACGGCCCTGAGCCCAGGCTTGGTGAGGCCCCGAGCCCGGTGCCAGGGCTGCTTCCACCCCGCAGGGCAGGGTGGGGAGGCCTGGGTGAGGACCACCCCCCAGGCGCTGCTGGACGCCGGGTCAGGCTCCCCGACCAGGCACGGGACCAATCCTTGAGCCAAGTCTGTTGCAGACGCCTCCGCGATGCTGGCAGAGGAGTCGGGGGTGGGGGGCTGCTGGCTGCTGAGCTGGGCCTGTCCTGGGGGGTCGCCTGCAGGGTCTCGCCCCTCTTCCCCTTTGACGCCTCTGACTGCGGCTGTCTTTGGGGCAAGAAGGAGTCAGAGGGCGCGGCCCTGAGAGGGGAAGAACACGCTGTGCAGAGGCTCGCGGAGGTCGTGAAGCCCATGGAGGAGTATCTGAGGCCACTGTTCCCGCTGCTCAGCTGCCCCCCGGAAGCCAGGTACCCATCGAGGGCTGATTCCTGAGGAGCTCAGGGACAGGGTGCAGAGAGCAGGCGCCGTCTGGATTGCCCGAGCCCTCGAGGTACAGGGTCGTGTCGTCTCTCTGTCCCCACAGGTGCACCCAGGTGTGCACAGGTACAGGGACACCCAGGGCTGTGGGGCGCGGCCTGCAAGCACTCCCTGAGTCCCAGGGCCAGCTGAGCGACTGGCTGTGGGCGTGGGAAAGTCAGAGCTGTTTCCTTCGTGGAAACTCGCATCTCTGAGGCCACAGCGCCGTAGGCTTGGTGGGATTCTCTCTGCACTGAATCGGACCATTCGATTAAACGGGAGACGTGCACAGGCTCTTTGAGAACAGAAGCCCGGGCTCTGTCCGCCTGCTGTCGGGAGGAAGTCTGGCCCTGCTTGAAACCTTTTCTGGGGGCGTCCCCGCCGTACGGGCCCCTGCCGCCCTCTGAGCCGCTGGCCTGGGTGTGAGAAGGAGGGGAGAGCACGGTGAAGTACCTGGCCCCTTGGGTCTGTGTTTGGTGGGAGAGAAGGTAGGGGTCGGGCAGGTGAACTTCCCTGATTGGCCAGCAGGCCAGAGCATCCTGAATCCTGTGTGTTCACATCCTGCCTGTTGTCCCTGCCCGCATCTCAGGAGACCGGTCCCCAACAGCGGGCCGGGAGAGTCTTGTGGCCCTCACTGCCCTGGTGGGAACAGCCTGAGGAGATGCTGTCCCTGTTCTCAGTGATTTTCATGGAGTTTTTAAAACTGAATCTCTGCCTTTGCCTTTCAGAGCGCCGATTCCCACAGTTGTTGCGGATTTGGGAAAATACAAGGGCAAAGACAAGGAGAGGGAAGAGTCCCTGCCGCAGGGTGAGTGGGGCCCCAGGTCCGTGTCTGTGGGATGGAGGCCGGCAGAGCTGCGCTCTCTGTGGCTGCAGCGGGGCCGCCGGGGGCAGCCTTCCCGGAAGGTTTGCGCCACCCCGCCACTGCCCACGCGACCGCAGATGCCCCTGCCCTGCCGGATGCCCGGGCAGAAACCATGGTGACGTCGCCGTCACCCTCCTGAGCACGTCAGACGGCAGGAGGGCAGACGGGCCTCCCAGGTCAGCAGTCTGCTGCTTTCCTACGGGGAAGATGAAGTGCTCTTGTTTGCTCCCCGCCACCTGCCCCGTGGCTGAGCCGCCCGGTGCCCGAGGTCCCAGGCCGCGCCGAGGTGTGCAGCTGCCGGGAGCCCAGTGACCACTTGTGTGACGGAGCTTCTGCCCTAAACGTTCCCAGATGAAAACCCGCTGGACTTTAAGTAACTTGACTTTGCAAACACATCAATTCCATTGACATGTCTGGTGGCCTCAGCCTTTGCACCGGTTTCCCGACGGCTGGAGAAGCCGTGGTGTCAGGGGAGCGCCACTACCCTTCCTCGAACGGAGCTGTCCCCAGAGGCTGTGGCCCCTGCCTGGACGGCCCTCGGGGAGCGGGGTTCGTGCAGATGTTCGTCCCTTGAAGGGGCTCCCTGGTGAGGCCGCGGAGCCTGGGCGGCCCTCAGAACCTCAGGGGACCCAACGTCCCCATGGCCTGGCCTCTGTCCAGGTCCTGGCTGTGACCCGGCCGCACCGTCAAAACCAGCGTGTACCCCCAAGACGGCGCTGGCGTGCCTGCGAGCTGTGCCCGGCTCAGATCCTTTCCGCGTCTCCCGCCAGGCGGGGGCTGCGCAGCAGCCAGACGGCCTCAGTGGCGAGGGGCAGAGCCTGGCCCTCAGGTGTCTGCCGCTGCCTTGGTAGCCGCTGGCGTTCCCGCCCACAGTGCAGCCCGAGGTCGCAGACAACGTCATCCTGATCGCTGACAGGCACCTTCTGGAGCTGCCGTTAGAAGGTCTCTCTGTGTTCGATGAAGGGATGGTCTCCTCCGTGTCACGAGAGTTTTCTCTCCAGATGCTGTGGAACCGCCTGCATAGAAAGGAGACAGGTAAGAGCTACACTGATACTTGACTTTAAAATGCAAATATTTAAGTGACTTTCACGATAAGAGAATGTAACTCTTGTCAAAAAATAGTTATCAGATGTTACCATACTTCTCGAGGCCCTGGTTCATTCAGAGAGCACCTGCTATGAGCCGGTGCTCTGTTAGGTGCCAAACGTGCCCTGAACAGGAAATTTAACTTTGTTCTTGGCCTCACATACTTCTGTTTCAAAGGAGGGGACTGGTGCTAACCAACCAACTACACAGCTAGTCATCAATCAGATGATGAGAGGCAATGAGGGAGAGGACAAGGGGGCCCTGGCTTGGCCTGGGGGTGGCTGGGGACTCAGGCATGATCATGTTCTGTGACTTGGATGTGCCTGGGGTGTGAAAATTCTCCAGGATGTACACTGGTGCTGTGTGCAGTTTTCTGCATGTATGTTGCACTACGATAAATATCAAATTACATTAAAAGTAGATAGATTGGACTTTTGTTTTCATCCAAGATGAGGTGACAGGGACCACATTTGCCCTTCCAGCTGGAACAACAAAAACTCAGACAAAAATACATGAAACAGGGACTTGCTTGGCAGTCCAGTGGTTAAGGCTTCACCTTCCAATGCAGGGAGTGCAGGTTCGATCCCTGGTCGGGGAGCTAATGTTGAATTGTAACAAATTCAATAAATACGTTAAAAATGGTCCACATCAAAAAATAAATAAATAAATAATTTGAAAAATATCTGAAACAGCGGTTTTCAGATATTGGAGAACAGGCAGTGGGGGACAGCAATCCCCAAGAGAGAGAAACAAGCAGGTGAGCCCCAGCTTTCTGCCTGGAGAGAGTCCGCAGGCTGTAGCACATGGTGGCGGGGGTGGGGGGCCAGGCAGAGCCTGGCGGTCCCCGAGGCGAGGAGGCGAGGGGCTGGGCACCCAAGGCGGTCCTGGGAGGAGAGACCTGCAGAGGGCCCCCCTCAGTCTTCTGCTGAGAGCCGGTCAGTGCAAGCGTGTGTGGAGACTACAGCCAGAATGGAACATCCTACAATTCACAGCTATCAGGTACAGGAACCAGAGGGCATTGCCTGTCTGCACTAGGGAGACTGGCTTTAGTCCCACCAACAGGACTTAAAAACAGGCCTCAAGGGATCAAACTATTTCCAGGTAACTTAACTGCATCTCGAAATAAAGTTCAAGATGGGTAGAGTGTTTTTAAAAATCCAGGACCCAACAAGGAAAAATTCAAAATGTCTGACGTCCGATCAAAAACCACCTGGCATGCAAAGACCCGTGGTTGAGAGAAAAGCCAATCGAAAGCGAACCAGAGGTGACCCAGGTGACAGTTCCTGGAACTATCATCCAGGTGTTCCAGGAGGTGGTAAGCAAAGACACGGAAGATGTAAAACGGACCAGAACTGAACTTCTGCTGAGGAGGGACATGCCCTGGGCAGCATTCATGCAACTTGACACGACAGGAGAAGAGACTAGTGAGCCTGAAGAAGTAACAGCAGGAAAAAACTGAAAAAAAAACAAAAACAGAAACAGAGACAGAGCACCAGTGCGCTGCTGGACAAAGTGAAGCGGCCGGACCTGCCTGTCACTGGAGTCTTTGCAGGGGGAGCATTTGAGTTAATAATGGCCAACTTTCCCCAATTTTGATGGAAACTGTAATCCTGCAGACCCAAGAAGTTCAATGAATCCCCAACAAGACATAAAACCATACCAGGGGCCATTGTAGTCAGGGTGATTAAATCCAGCGACAGAGTATTTTCCAGGCAGCCAAGAAAAGAGACACATTATATATCCAGAAACAAATACAAGAGAGTTAGCAGACTTCTCGGCTGAAACAATGCAAGCCGTGAGGAACGGCTTTAAATTATTAAAGAAAATATCTATCAATGCAGATATTTTTGAAAATAACTCTCAAAAACAATGGTGAAATACTTTTTCAGAAATAGGTGAGCTGAAAGAATTCTTCCCCAGCAGGCCTGCCTACCACACAAGAAATGCTGCAGAGTGTTCTCCAGGCAGGAGAAAAAAGGATGGGAACCTGCATCTGCACAGAGAAATAAACACCAGAAACTGGAATTAGGTGGGTCAATATTTAAAGCTTTTTTCTTAATTTAAAATCTCTTTAAAAGATTTTGACAGGAGCTTCCCTGGTGGCACAGTGGTTGAGAGTCTGCCTGCCAATCAGGGGACACGAGTTCGAGCTCTGGTCTGGGAGGATCCCACATGCTGTGGAGCAACGAGGCCCGTGAGCCACAACTACTGAGCCTGTGCGTCTGGAGCCTGTGCTCCACAACGAGAGGCCGAGACAGTGAGAGGCCCGCGCACCGCGATGAAGAGTGGCCCCCACTCGCCGCAACTGGAGAAAGCCCTCGCACACAAATGAAGACCCAACACAGCCAAAAATAAATTAATTAATTAAAAAAAAAAAGATTTTGACAGCTTGGAGTGAAAAATAATAGCAACGTGTCGTGGGGTTCTACAGCAGTATATAAATGTAACTTGTGGGGCAGCAAAGGCTGGTGGGGGGTGGAGAATGGAGGCTCGGGCTACTGGACCAGCACAGCCACTGAAAACAGAAACAAAGAGGTACAGCTAGTACGCAACGATGAAGTCGAAATGGAATCATAAAAAAAAATATGATTAATCAGGAAAAGGCAGAAAAAAGAAGGGACGTGGAACAAAGAAGAGACAGGACAAATAGAAAACAAACAGCAAGATGGTGTGTTTCCACCCAACCACATCAGTAATCACAGTCTCCGCACAAGGTCAAAACATCCCAGTTAAAAGGTAAAGATCACCTTTGGGAATGGAAACGCAAGGTCCCAAACATGCTTCTTTAAGGAAATCAGCGTAAATAAAAGGACGCTAATGGGCCATATACAAAGGACGGAGAGAGAACAGGTCTTGCGCCCCCAAGAGGCCACGGTGCTGGGCTCACCAGGAGCTGCGGGCGGGGCCTCGGGCTGAAGCCCCGCCTATCTGCAGCCCCTGCTGCTGGCGAGCCCAGCCCTTCCACATTTTATGGGCCGTTTGATGTCCTCACTTGTGAAAATCCGTTCTAGTCTTTGGCCAGTTTTTCTCTTGGGTTATCTGCCTTTTGTTCTTTAGGTTTGTATAAATTTTCTGATCATTTTATGAACTACAGATGTCCTCCCAGTCTGCAGCTGGTCTTTTCACTCCTTTACGTGGTACCTCTTGGTGAACAAAATATTTGAATATAGTCCAATGTATCCATCTTCTCTTAACAGCTGGTGTTTTTGGGGTCTTTTTATAAAGAACATTTTCTTACCTGAAGATCATGAAGGTTCTATGATGTCTTCTAAACGTGTCTCTCTTTTTGTCCTTCACGTCTTCACGTACCTTCCATCCGAAATCGGTTTTGCACACAGTGTGAGATAAGGGGCAGGTCTCTCTTTCCCACGTGAGTCCCCCGCTGTGCACGCCCCATTTACTGAAAGGGCCTTCCTGTCCCCACCGCTCTGCGCCGCCAGCGCTGTCTGGAAGAGCACACCACCCCCTGGTGGGGTTAGCAGAATAGCGGCCCTAAAGGTGCCCACGCCCTGACCCCGGGCCCCAGAGGAGGTGCCCTGATGTGACAAAAGGGCCTTTGCAGATGTGATTCAGTGAAGGGTCCTGAGATGGGGAGACTGTCCTGATTGTCTGGGTGGCCCAGTGTCATCGCCAGGGTTCTGAAAAGAGGGAGGCAGGAGGGTGCGGCGGTAGCGGAAGGGGCTCGTGGCACCTCTGGAGGCTGGAAAAGGCAAGGGAGCCGATTCTCCTCCGGAGCCTCCCAAGGGAAACAGCCTCCCTCGCACCTGGACTTTAATCCAGGGGGACCCCTTTCGACTCCTGCCTCCAGACTGTAAGGTAATAAATTGGTGTTGTTTTAAGTCCCAACATTTGTGGTAATTTGTTACAGCAGCAACTAGACCCTAATACAAACTCTCACCATAAAGTAACAAAAATACTGCATAAATGTGAGTGAAGTCTTTTCAATGCATTACGGAGTGGGGATAAAAAGGATTCTGCAGGTCCCAGAGTGAAGTGTTCTCAGAGCCTTGAGCCCTTCAGGCTGGAGGAATGCCCTTTGAGTGTTAATATTCATGGCAAACCTTTAAGGATAATCACGAAAGAGCATAACTGGTGTATAAATTCCAAACCAGTAAAGAGGGAAAATGAATAAGAAAAACAAGTGAACCAACCCCTCAGTCGAGTTACAAAGAGCCAGTGGTGGAGACGCACACACGGAGCAGGGAGGACGGAGAACCCACGGGCAAAAAGGTGCTGTGGCCCATCCATTAGGTCAGGAACCGAACCAGTGAGTGCAGCACACCTGCCGACTAAAGACACCGTAAACAAGAGCACGTAGACAGGATGCCGGCCACGTGAGACTCTCCTGAACAGAAAGGGGGCACAAAAGCCAGAAAGCAGAAGAGCGGAAAGAGGAGCCGGGCGGGCGAGCCCCCGAAAGGGCCTCCGTCGCACTGTCCGCCGGAGCCGACTTCACCGCCGCGGGCGTCCGTAGGGTCATCACACAGTGATAGTGGTGAAGTTCGTGGCAGGATCAAAGAGCCTCGATACGGGAGGCAGCAAGTAACAAGCACCGGGGGCGAGGCTGGTGGCCACTCCCGCGATGGGAGATTCCCGCACGCCCCCACGACTGAAAGGTCAGACAAGCAGAAAGAGCGCAAACAGCGAGAATTGCGGCAACGCACTTAACAGACTTGGCTTAACGGACACGTGGGCCCTGCGTCTACAACTTAGAGACTCCCGTTCTTTTCAGGTGCACGTGAAACAATCACAGAAACTGGCTGAGGCCACATGTGATTAGGTTAGAAACCAATTCCCAAAAGACGGATTTTTTAAACTCCCATACATCTGGAAATTTTAAAACACTGACTTCTAAAAACTCCCGGGACTCAGAAGAAGCAATGATAGGAATGCCAAAGATGGCTGGATGTTACCACAGCAGAATCTAGAAGGATCCTTTAGCTTTAAATGCTTAAAGGATCACGAACAGACCCCAAAACAAAATAGGAAGCAAAGACAAAAATTAGTTATTTGGGAAAAAATAACCTCATAAAATAGACACATTTGGGTGAGAATGATCCAGAAAAAAACAGACAAGACATAAATAAACAATATGAGAAATACAAGAGACACCAGCTCTAAAGAGCGTCAGGGATTTAAGAGAATATTATGAACAACTTTTTGACAATATATTCAAAAATACTCTGAGACTCAAGAAGGAAAGAAAACCCAGCGGCCTCATAGCGAAGAAAGGACGATCAATACATTTACATTTCCCCACAAAAAATATTGCTTTTACCATTTTTCTGTTGAATTCTACCAAAATTTCAAGAAACCGTTCATGTCAGTCTATACATGTCTCCCCAGGTAGAAGAAAAAAAAGCCATCCTTCTGCTGGCCAGTCCAGACCCTGACACCCAAACTTCTCAGGAGTAGCAAAGAAAGAAAGAAACATGTAACATTTCATCACCCAGTCTGACCTTAAAAACTTACAGGTATCACAGAGGAACAGATTAAAGGGAAATCGAACTTATAAACATCCAAGATGATGCAGGAAAAAAAGCATTTGATAAAATGCATGCATTCGGGTCTTCCCTGGTGGCGCAGTGGTTGAGAGTCCGCCTGCCGATGCAGGGGACACGGGTTCGTGCCCCGGTCCGGGAAGATCCCACATGCCGCGGAGCGGCTGGGCCCGTGAGCCATGGCCGCTGAACCTGCGCGTCCGGAGCCTGTGCTCCGCAACGGTAGAGGCCACAACAGTGAGAGGCCCGCATACCGCAAAAAAAAAAAAAAAAAAAAAAAGCATGCATCCGTAATAGAAATTCTTAGCAAACCAGGAGTTCTTCTCATCCTGGTGGAAAAAGCCATCCAAAGCTAGGGCAAGCTGCTTCCCAGCGGTGCCCCCATAAGGCTGGGACACGGCAGAGAGGCCCACATCAGCGCTTACATCTCTGAGGCGGCCAGACGGGAATGAAGGAAACTGGCATTATTTTCGGTTACCTTCACCAGAATGGGAGCACAGCGGGGGCAGGTGTAAATACTCCTGCAAGAGGGAGAGGGGCCAGCAGGGCCCAGCCCTCTGCGACTGGGCCAGCTCAGCAGGTGCACCGGTAGGTGCCCAGCGTGGTGTGTGATTGGGCAGCCGCATGGGCCCGGGAACCTCTGGCGGCCGTTCCTTTCTTGAGGTCTCCTGGCCCGGGCCTTTCCCAACCCTGTGAGCCTTTACCTTTGAGAGATTACTGCCATTTCAACTTTACAAAAATGGAAATCAACTGTTCACACCACTTCTTGTTTTTTTCATTGAGGTGAGATTCACGTAATATAAAATTAACCATTTAAGCATTCGAACGTCGTGTACCACGGCCTCTGTCTAGTTCCAGGACATCACCACTTCTTGTTATTGTCTCAACAGAAGGGAATGTGAAAAAGGAGAGCAGAGGTAAAGATCACAGAAAGAGAGGCACAGCAAAGAAGGGAGCAAAGGTAGGTGGTCGAGGCCCCGCTGAGGCGGAGAGCCGGGCGGGGCCCGAGGTCCGGCCGTGCCCCCAGGACGCATCCCCAAGGACGCCTGCCTGTCTTTGCAGCGCATCGTGTCCCGGATCATCCCCCCCGACTGCATCGCGGTCGACGCGGACAACTTCAGATGTATCCTTTGCTGCTGCTTCTGCCCCAGACAGCGAGTGTGTGGTCCTGTTTCTCCTTAACCAAGGCCCAGTCGTTGTGGACCCCTACGAGGAGGCCCGAGGCCCAGGTGAGCCCTCCCGCCCACGCACAAGCCATACGCCGCCCACAGCACTCGGAGCATCGTGGACCGGGTGCCTCGGCCTCTGCTGCCACCCGGCCCTCCGTCACCTCCTGCTACACTGACGGTGGGCGGGAGGGGGACACTGGTGTGCTCCGAGACCCCGCCCTCACCGTCTGCAGCCAGTCAGGGCGACAGCTGTGTGACCTGGGCCTGAGGCAGCGCCGTGCCCCACTCCGGGCCTGCGGCTGTGGCTGAGGACTGCCTCTGCGGCTCGGGGACAGGATTCCTCAGCTCCTCTTTTGCTGAGCTGGTGTTTTCATCTCTCCACAAAGGAGGGAAGGAGTACTAAGATTTCCACTCCCCCGGGGCCCCCGTCTGTGAGGGCCCAAGGCCCAGGCCGCCCTGCCACGCCAAGAGCCGCCAAGGGCACCGGGACGGCCCGTGCCCACACGCGCGGTGCGCCTAAGTTTTCTCACCATCCGATTCTGGCTGCAGAAATGCTGACTCCTGTCTCCGTGACCCGGGAAATTTTGGAAAGATACCGAGACACGTTCACTGCGAGATGGGCGGGGCATCTGGGGAAGAAGCAGTTTCCCAGGTTGGCATCTGGGTTCCTGGGACGCCGTCCTGCGGTGGCTGGGGTGCGCCAGCCCGAGGGGCGCTCCGCATGCGGCCCCTTCCCCCCTCCCCGTACCGCCGAGGCTCCCTCCTGCCCTGACCCCCACTTCTGTCCTGTCAGACCCTTCCCTCTGGTGCATGGAGGCGCCTAGATCCCCAGATCCTGGATGCGGACCTGGGCCCCCGCCGTGTGTGCGCCCCTGCACAAGGGCCGGGCCCCTCCAGGCGGGGCCTCGCGGAGGGGGCGGGGCGCGATGGAGGGGAGGGGCTCTGTCGGGGCGGGGCCCAGGAGGGGCGGGGCCCTCTGGGGCAGGGACCTGGGCTCCTTGGCCGGATGGAAGACCCTCTGCGGCTTTTCAGAGTAACCGCCCCGGGGGCAGGGTGTGGAACGGAACGCGGGGACAGTCTGCTCCGGATCGCGTCCTTAGTCCGCGGCTCCCGCAGGCACCCACCCCGGGTCTCTCTCCTTCCCTTGGCAGCCAGGCAGAGTGGGAGCAGCTGCTGGGCAGCTGCGGAGGCTTTTTCTTCTACGGGATGGAGAGCTTCCTGTCCCACATATTGGTAGAAAGGTTGGCCGCCATGAACTTGGAAGGTGAGACCCCCCAAAAGCCCGCCTCTCTGCCAGACCCGCCGGCACAAGTCGAATCCACACGGGGACAGAGCAGGGCGCCCCTGTGTCTTATCAGGTGTCTCCCCTGTGCTCTGATGGAGGGCTGGGGGGGCGCTTTAGGAAGGCACAGCGGGGCCTGGGTTGGGGGCCCCTCCTCCGTTCCTCTGAGAGGCCTGGCCAGGGTCAGGCGTTGGAGGGGTCACCCCTCTAGGGCTGGGCCTGCAGAGCGCAGGAAGGCTGGGTGGGCGTTTCTGGAAAGTGCTGGTCGCAGCCCCTTCCCACCAGTTGTTCTACTTGAGATGCAGGCACTCTGGCCCCGTTTTCCCTCCCGCTGTCCACTGGCCCCTGCGTCACCCAGCCCACCCCCAGGGTGCCCGTGAGTGTCGTCTGGCCTGCCCTCAGGTGACCTTCTCCTGAGGGGATTGCTGGGTAGCTGGCCACTGTGCACGGTTGAGTGGGGGCCTTTTCAGGGACCCCCTCAGAGAGGCCCCTACCCTTGGGGTGTGTGGCACAGGTGGACACTGTCCGTGGTCGGGATACCTGAACCCAGCCCGTCACCCCATCTCCTCCCTAGGCCCTGCCGATATGGGTGGGGTCCGCACGTTCTTACCCCAGGAGAAGGTAGAAACAGGCTTCTCTGAAACTTGAATTCTAGACCTTCTCAGACGAGCGGTGAGTGACACTGAAGAAATCATAGGCTCCCAGGCGCCTGTAGGGGTGACAGCATCGCTGGGTGCCCCCGCCGTTCCCAGCCAGGCCTGTCCTCACACAGCTGGAGGCTCTGCCCCCTCTGGGGACGGCCCCTGACGCTTGGCCTCAGCATCGGTGGGGCTTTCCGCACACCCACATCCAAGAGCTGCGTTTTGGACACTGGCCCCGTTTCAGTGGGCACACGGGGCCAGGGCCACCGACGCCTAGCCCCTGGCAAGCCGGAGTGCCTCATGGGTGGCCTCTGGGAGCCAAGACCCCTCTGCGAGGCAGGGAGAGCTGTGGCAGGCCCCAGGGTGGGCTTCCCTCCCTCGCCCAGCCCGGTCACCCAAGGAGGACGTGAAGGGTGTGGGTCGGCCAAGGCAAATAACGGCCGGCTTGCCCGTGCAGCCCACGCGACCCAGGACGGGGATGAGTGGTGTCGGAGCCTCGGTCGGGTCAGGCCGAGTTCCCGCTATCCTCCTCGCCCTGGGTGACACCCCCGCCTGCACGGCGCCCTCACCCTGGGTGCCCTGCCACTGAGCCGCCCCTCCTGTGACCACAGAGTGCCAGATGGTGGTGCTGCTGGACCTGGCGCGGTCCTGCGAGAGCACGCGGCGCCACGTGGAGTCCTCGCAGAACAAGAGGTGCCCGGGGTCCCCTCCGCTCGGGCTTAAGCCTGCAGCCTGGCCTCCGGCAGCTGATGAGGGACCTGGGGGGGCATATGAGCCACGGCTGTCCGCCTGGGGCACTGTCCTTGCACCCCCTGGGCAGCTGGGATGCCGTCATCCGGCCCCCAGACCCTGCCTGGCAGAGTCCCAGGGCGGGGGGATGGATGGACGGCGCCGGCACAGACCACAGGCCTGCCTGGAACCTCAGGCAGCTGGGTTTGGGCCAGGAAGCAGATGGCTGGCAACTGGGAGGACACCCTGGCTTCAGGGCTCCCCGTGTCACCTGTCATCCCCCCACCCAGGGCCTCTGTGGGCTGCAGGCGGGCAGAGCAGAGGACACCCTCTGGCGGGGTTCCCCTCCTGGCCCCGCACCGCATGACTGGGAGCGCCCAGGGGGACTTGGCAGGGCTCGGAAATGCCTTTTCTTGTTAAATGGTATTTAATTGTGTGGGGGGCGGGGGCGGGGGCGGGGGAGGAATTCTCGGTTCTTTCGAGAACCCTAAGAGCTGTCAGTCCAAATACCCGGTCCAACACTTGGCGCTCTTCGGGCTGTGGGTGGAGGAGGGCTCGGACCGGGCCCTTTGGTGCTGGCCCGGCCCCCAGGAGCTCGGTCCCCTGCAGCGCACCCCGACTGTCCTTGGAGGGGCCCGTCGAGACGGCCGTCCTCCTGAGTCTGGTGGGGGTCAGGAGCATTGTGGCGAACCAGTGGCCGACGGTCCTGCGGGACAACGCGACGCGGGCCAGCATCCTGTGGGAAAGTGAGTCGTGCCGGCAGCCGCCCGTCCTGCAGCCCCGCGGGGCTCCCGGAAGCCTGTGGGCTGTTAACGGTCCCTCTGAAGGGCTGCTTCTTCTCCAGATCTGTTGACAGCTGGCAAGCCGATCGGGAGAACGACCCGCCTCCTTCAGAAGAGGGGAACCGGTGAAACTGTCCACCACGGTGATTAGAAACGGCCCTCCCTCCTTGCTCGTCCCTCGGGCTGCAGGGTCAGGGGTCCCCCACTTCTCCCGTTTCTGCACAGCCTCCGAAGGTCAGCCTGCCTGACAGAGACCTTCAGCCTCCTACAGGCCACTGCCTACAGTGGGATCTGGCTTCGAATGTCTTTACGGAAACACACATGGGTCACTGGCACGTCTTCATCTTCAAAACAGCTCAAGTCCCACAAATCCAAAAGCCCTGGTGTGTTCTCTGGGAGGCGGGGAGCCCACTCCTCCTTCAAGGCAAATGGAGCCCTGAAGTCCATGTGTGGCAGCGGCCTTACACGCGGATTCTGGTGTAAAAACCTTAAATGGAGCGCGAGGGAGTCTGAGCTTTAGCAATACGTTGATTGGAGAATCTACCGTAACTAAGAAAGGTTTATCCCAGGGTCATTTAAATCATGAAATTTTCAAATATACAAGGCGAAAGGGGCTTCAAATTCAAAACTCACATGGTCCACGGGTGCCCGGGAGGTAGTTGCCGAACAACAAAAGCTCGTGGAGCGAGCGTGCAGATGAGCGAGTGAAGGTGTGAGGGGTGGGCGAGCGCTGGCCTCTGGCTGCTGCCTCCGCGCCCGGCGTCCCCGTCCGGGCTGCGACCAGCGGCAGGGCCAGCAGCACCCTCACCTCTGCTGTGCTCCCCGCATGCGCCGTGAGCCTTGGTTGGGCCGCAGGCGTCCTGTCCCCGTGAGCCCCGTGTTTCACAAGCCCGCCTGCTCTCCCCACAGATGAGGCTCTGCAGACCTGGGAGGACAGGCTGGTGCTCTTCCGGCCGCAGCCGCAGGGCTCGGAGCGGCTCCCCGTCACCCTCAACCTGGTCCTCTACGGGCTGCCGCACCAGGCCATCGTGTGATGGGGCCGCGCCTCCCCACAGCCCGTCCCCACCATCCGCCATCCCCCTCCCTGGTGTCCCCGGCCCCTCCGCCCGTGACCTCCTCCCAGGCTGTGCTGCCAGAGCCCACCCCCACCCCGCCCGGCCCCCGTTCTGCACAGGGCAGCAACCTGCTTCTCCCTCCACGGTGAAGCCAGGGCCCTGTCGGCGGGAGGGGAGCATCTTGGGGGGCTCGGCAGCACGGGTTGGGGGAGGAATGCGTCCAGGCCCACCCCACAGCGGCCTGGGCCCCCGGGTCCCTTGTGCCCCGGCTGCTAGACCAGAATCGCTGGGAGGCAGAGTCTGTTGAAGTGCTTTAGTAAACAGCTGCGTCACCTCCGAGCTGTGTTTCTGTGCCCCTGGAAGCAGGGACCAGCTCTGGTTCTGCACCCCCGGCCAATGCACACGCCAGCACTGCCCAGCACCTCAAAACTCAAAGAGAGGAAGTGGCTGTGTGAAATGAGCCCCCAGGCCTCCCCTCCCTGCCCAGAGCTTTCCACGGGGTGGGGACTCACGTCCCGGGCAGAGGCGACCGTATCCTCAGGGCTCCCAGGGTCCCAGCCCGGGACCTCGCCCACTCAGTTCCACGGGGCTTTGCCAAGGAGATGTGAGGGGGTGGGACGTCCGCTGCAAATGCCTCTCAGTGGAGTGGCCGGCACTACCCTTGCCAGCCCTGGCGTCCCGGGCAGGGGGCAGGCGGGAAGAGCCAGTGGGCAGACTGGGTCCAGGACCTCATTTCCCCTGAATCACGGGACCAGAAATGGCCGTGGGAACATGCCAGGAATCCTTGGGGAGGCGGGGGCGGGCCTGCGACGCCCTGTTTGTCCTGTTCCTCGCTGACCACTCCTGGTGCGTCACAGTCTGTGGTCACCTCCAACCACCGGGCTGGGAATCCCTGGAGAGGGGCACTGTCCAGCGCCAGGCCGTGGCGGGGCCAGCAGGTGCTTGCAGAGCGAAGGGATGAGCGGGCGCGCCTCGGAGGCTGAGCCCAGGAGGCTGAGGGCGTCACGGGCTGCAGGGTGACTGCAGCTTCCAGAGACGGGAGTGGGGAGGGGCCCCATCCCTGATCTCAGAGCCCCCACTACTACGGGACGTGCAGCAGAGGCTCCTCCAGAGCTGGACGTCCAGCCACCACCTGTGGGCACCGCTCTGGGCAAAGTGAGCCCTGGGAGAGGCCACTGTCCCCAGAGGTGGACACTCAGCTGGAGCTGAAGGTGGCCATAGGAGGACAGATGCCACAGTCACCGGGAGAGCTCCTCACACCGTGCCCAGGCCAGCCTGGCCCACGTGTGGGCAGCAGACTGGCCAGGACCCTGCGTCCCGAGAGCCCCCAGGTCTGTGGCTGAGGGTCGAGGGTGAGCCCACTCCTGGCCTCTCTGGGGTGGAGCCAGCCCATTAGAGGGCGCACAGGCTGGGGCCGGGGAGGGTCAGAGCCCCTTCTGGCATGGGTCCTGGCAGGCAGCCCCCCAGATCCGCTGAGGCCAGGCCGCAGAGTGCACGGTCTGGGCCGCTGGCCCCGGGGCTGCTCGGGTGCCGTCTCCAGGGCGCCCAGGTGTTCCTGGGGCTCCCGGGCCCGTCCTGCCAGGCTCCGAGCACAGGTGCAGTGTCCACACAGAAGTCATGTCCCCAACCAGGCCTCAAGTCTGCTGCCTGCCTCGCCTACCTCTGGGGCCACGTGGCAGATGGAAGAAGCCACCCAGTGGCCAGAGGATGCCGAGTCCCAGGCTGACTGACCCTGGTCACTGTCCCGTCTGGGCTGGGAGGCCCAGGAGCTGAGCACGTGGGAGGTGGCACAGCAGGGGAAGGTTCCCCTGGTACGTGAGCAGGCACGGAGCTCCGTCCTGACCTCGTGCCCTGGACACCAGCTGGCGAGACTGCATCCCTGCGGCGTGGCCTCCCTGCTCTTAGGTGCAGAGTGAGCAGTGCTGAGATTCCTGGGCCGAGACACACAACAGCCCAAATAGTAAAAAAAAAAAAAAAGGCCCAAATTAAGACCGAGATAAAATATCATTACCATATCTACTAAAACAGCTAAAATGAAAGATAGCGACAAACACCAAATGCTGGGGAAGATGCAAAGAAACTGGGTCTCCCAATACGTCACTCCTGGGAATCTAAAATGGTGCAGACTCTCCGGAAAAGAGTTGGGCAGGTTCTCATAAACTGTGGGTGCAGTTAGCATATGGCCCAGCCTCTGCATCTATCCCAGAGAAATGGGAACTTAGGTTCACACAAACACGTGCATGAATGTTTATAGCAGCTCCATCCCCTTAGAGCAAAAACTAGAAACAACCCAAATGCCTTCACTTCTAACAGTTAAGCAAACAGCACATTTACTTGCTAGAATGCCCACGAAGGGCTGGATGGACCTCAAGGGCGTCGTGCTGAGTGGAGGAGCCAACATCAATGAGATCACGCCCTGTGGTATCGTTTATACAACATCCTCAAAGGACAGAACACCTGAGATGGAGAACAGGCCCACTGGAGCCTTGGGGCAAAGCCAGGTTCTGTGCCTCGGTTGTGACAGTGACACAAATCTATACATGGGATAACATTTCACAGAGCCCCTCCCACACACTGACACACAGAGACAGACACACACACACACACACACACACACACACACAAATGCCTGTTGAAGTGGTGGAAACAGAACCGGGTCCACAGCCCGGACTGCAGCACCAACCTGGGCTCCTGGTTTGCCGCTATCTGGGGCAACTCCCCAGCGGAGTGTGTGCTGTGTAGGACGCGCTGCACTGCCTTTGCTATTTCTGCAACTTCCTGTGAATCTATAATTAATTCACCATAAAATTTTTTTTAAAGCTCATCTTTGATTAGATTGGGAGGTGGTGATTCCCCTCCTTTGTGTTTGATTTTTTTCCTTTTTTCAAATATATACACATGCTTGTTCCAGTTTTTTTTTTTTTTTTTAAAGCACTAACTAATGACCAGGGAATAAATTCAAATCAAGCAGCGTTGGAAATACGAGCTTTCTTCTAGAAGGATGTTGGCAGCCACCCAAACAACAAGAATAAAAGCTTCTGGGAATATTTCATCTGTGCAGTGTCACATTTTTCACCTGGTGCTGCATCTGCTCCTGTGAGAAATGTTCAACGGTGAGTGCCGTTCCGTGTACCAAAGCCGCTACAATAACTTTCTGAATTATGTCCCAGCGACAAAACAAATCACAGCATCAATTAGCTCCTATAACAGAAGTGGCATTCCGTAATATATCCAAGCATGAAAGAACTGCGTAACCCTAAAAACTATAAGGAGAAGAAAGATCGCTTGGAATTTATTGGTAATAATAGGAGACAGAATGTAATTTGAATGGTGGACAGCCCTTCAGCCCTTTGAGAAAGGACGACCAGATCTGCAAGTTCTAAACGTTCCAGAAAGGACGCAGGTGGATGACGGGGCGCCCTGGCACGGGGCACGGGGGGCCGGGGGCCCCGGGAGATCCCGCCACTGCCCTCGCCCAGCCTCCGACTTCCCCATCGGCAGTCGGCTCTGGTCCAAGCTGAGCTCCAGAATCCGGATGGGCTCCACGGCCTTGAGCTGGTCGCCCAGGAGCCCCAGCCCCTCCCCCGGAAAGTGCAGCACCCAGGGCGGGCCGGATGGGGAGGAGCGGGGCCCAGCATCGTCCTCGCAGCCGCTCTGCCTGCGTCCAGGCCCCGCCCCCGCCCCCCCCACCGGGTCCCCGGCGGCAGCGTCGGTCCCTCACCCGCGGCAGCCGGCGAATCGGACCGGTCGGTTCCTGCTCGTCAGTCACCTGCTTAAAAGTTCAGTTTGTTTTCCGAATTTATGTCTTGGAAATAGTGATTTTCATATTTTTAAAATATGGAGTTTCTTTTCACAATATGTTATATTGTAGGAAATTGGGGGGAGATTAAAGGGAGAAAAGCCCTCAGAGCCACACAAAGGCAGAAGCCCATGTTCTGATGGTTTCTGGATTTTTCTCTGTTTTGCGCAGTGAGCTCCTGGGTGGTTTCACACAACATGGTAAAGGACTTCCCATTTCAAGATATTAATCAGAAACCTCGTTCAAAGCATTCCTACCCTCACACAGGCTGCTTGCAAACACGACAGATCTGATGCACAGGGACAAGGGTCCTTCGGGCTTGGAGGGGAAGCGGGGGGACCGGAGGGTGAGTGGGGGCATTAGCAGACTGGGCTGGGGGCCCGGGGACGGTGGGCTCTGGAGCTGGGCCAGCCGGGCTGTGGGGGGCTCATGCTTGTAGGACCTGCCTCGTGGGTGGTCCCAGCTCCCGGCCGGGTCTGCACCTCCATCCTCATCGAATCCCGAGGAACAGCATCACCAAGCACAGACCAAGGTCCACCTTCCATGACGTGGCCACCGCTTTCGCCGCGTGGGAGACCCTGGCCTTGGTATGCCATGGCCCCAGGCTCACACCTCCAGGCACGGGCTCTCTGAGCTCCTGGACCGCCCCCCCCCACCCCGGGATTCCCATCTGAGGGCACGGCTGCCCCTCACCACGCTTCCCAGGAGCCTGTGCTTCCTGTGGTTCCGGCCAGCTCCCCCATCCACCTGGGGCCTGGGGAGCCCGGGCCCACCCTCCTCTGCCAGCGGTTAATTCACAATCACAGCTAAAGCAGCCCTTCCAGGTTGATCTGGATTAAGAAATTGGCAGGTTAATAAAGCTAAAATGTTCATAGGCGCTTGTATATAAATTTCTATTAAGTTCCCTCATCCAACGCTGGTCTCTAATAGTTTAATTTCTATATTAAATAATTAAAACTCTATTTTCAATTACTGTGAACAATTGTTTTCCTTAATGATCGTCCTGGAGGAGCCAGTAATTTTATATCTTGTAAAAATGATTAACTGGCATCATTATCCCATATCTCTGAAATATAACCCAGCCGCTTCAAGAAAGGCCATCTGTATTCAATTAATGTTCCCTTGCATTAAGACATACAGTATTACTTCATGCCGTGCACAGCCCACTGTCCTCTCATTTTATTATGACGATGATGGAGATAGAAACAACCAGTTTAATTATCCCGTTTCCAGCAGAGAAATCAATTTTCAATACGTCTCCACCCTTAAAAAGAAGGCGGCGGCGTGGTTCCTGGGAAGTGACGCCTGCAAGCTCCCTCCCAGCTCGGGTCTGACTGCAGACCCCGGGGCTTCTCCACGGGCCAGCCCTTCTGTGTAGAGCGCTTCCGTGGGGCAGACTCTGGGAGGGGCCTGTGACCCCCGCCTCCAGGGGTCTGTCCTGTGCGGGTGCTGCCTGCCCCTCCCCTCCCCCCAGCATCACTCTGGTCCCCAAGGCCCCCACGCCCAGCAGCAGGTGTCCCTGGGGACAGCCCTGCTCACTGCACCAACGCTGACCTCAGATGGACCGGGTGCCCACGCAGACTCGGAGGGGGTCCCGGGGGATGTACTGCAGCGTGCAGCCCGCCCCTTGGTCAGGGTGATTCAAGGGATGCGCCCTGCCTTGCCAATCAATCACACGGCTCTCTCGGCCAATATAATCTAATTGTTTGACATTTTTATCACAATTCATTGAGACCAAAGGGAGATGAGGAGATTAATACCCCCGTGCGGTTGGCTAATGGCCGGGAAGGAGCTGATGGGAGCTCTTAAATTTTCTTATTATAGATTTTAATTCTTTGTGACACGAGGTGAGAGATGGCAACGGGATAATGAGGTAGAGGCCCCCTCTGCCCCGGTGCCCCGAGATCAGGGGTCTGCTGGGCCTGTGCAGGCCCTCCCCAAGGGGGAGACTCTGGCCTCTGCAGGAGGGGCAGCTGTGCCTGGACGGGCCCAGGCTCTGAGGAGAGGCTGCGGGGGGAGGCTGGGAATACTGGATACGGGGGCTGGGACAGTGAGGACAGGGCCCCAGGCAGGCGGGGAGATGCGGCGCGGAGGTAGGGAAAGCCGAGCGAGAAGGACAGTGTTTGGCCTCTGCCACTGCCTCTGGGGACCGTGTCATGACACTGTCTGCGTGGACGTCACTGACACGGACAGCCTCCTCTGGTTGTGATGTAACCCGTCACACCTGACCCCTGAGGAACGACAGGGCAGTGACAGGTGATGGGGACAGGTTTCAAGAGCCAGGACAAGTGTGGACAGAGAGCCAGTTGTGGCCACAGGTGCAGCCATCCGCTGAGGAGCCGGAATCCTGGCCCAGGCCGCCGTCCACAAGGCTCTCACCCCGGGCTGCCTGTTGCCCCCCGAGCCCTTTCCTCCGATCCACTGCTCACAAGAGATGATTTTGGATTTCCCTGAAAACTGAGCAGAGACATCACCCTTAGAGCCTAAATCTTAGCATTTGAGTAGAAAGTGGAAAGAAGATTTACCTGCAGCCTCTGCTGTCCTGGGGCCAACGTCCAAGCATCAGAGCTCTCACGGCCCCAAGCATCCACGCATCCTGACCACCCAGGCATCCTGGCTGATTCCATCTGCCCAGCTGCAGCGCCAGTATTACAAAGCTACAGAATCAGCACCTGATCTGCTGGCTCTGGAACCGGTTTGATGAGAAATTAAGACAAAAACAAACGATTTTGCCCAGACGCAGAGCTCAGATCAGTCGGAGGAGAGCCGCCTGGTCCTGATGGGAGCTTGTTCCAGGCAGGGCCGGGAGGGCTCGCATCCTGACGGGGGCCGTCCGCCTCCTGTGTGGCCCCTGCCCTGCCCTCCAGCCCCCCTCCACCCCCGCGCAGTCCTCCTGCCCTCGCTGACCACCACTGCGTGTCCGTCGCCCCACCGGGCTCCGCCTGCAGCCGGCCCCTCTAGCAGTCCGGGGTGAGGCAGCTCGCAGGCACGCGCACATCGGTGCACTCCCGGCAAGGAGGTCGGCCGCTGGCTGGTGGGGTCCTCGCGGGCACAGGCCTCTCCCAGTGCAGGGCGGCCCCGAGGAGGCCGCGCTGCTGCTGGGACCAGCCCCAAAGTCCTCGCACTCACGACAGCTCCCACGCAGGCACAGGGATGGCCTCGCGGTGAAGGTCCCGCGGGGTGCAGTCCGCGGTGGAGGCTCGTGAAAGCCAGGGCCACGAGCGGGCGAGGTCGGCTCGCGGATAAGCCCGAGGCTGCGGCCCAGCAAGCTCGTGGTGCACTTAGGAACCAGTCAGGGGGGACGTGCTCAGGGGACGGGGGCGTCACGGCCACCCCGTGGCCAGGACCACCTCGCCCCATGGCCTGCTTCGGGCAGTGCCTGACCGGCCACAACCCTCGGCCCGTTGACCCCGCTGCCGCCCGGCCCCGCGGGCTCGGCCGTCCTCCTGCTGCGTTGCTGGTTTTGCCGACAGACCCACAACCAACAGGGCAGGCTGTTCCGAACTCACTTCGGCCGGAGAAAATGGTCCTCGAGCTCAAACAAACGCAGGTCTTCCCGGACCCCAGCCCGGCCTCATCAGTCATGACCAACGCCACTCAGTTCCCAGGAATGTGGGCCTTTGTTGTTCTTATTAATAAAAGTAATCCCTGGGCTTCCCTGGTGGCGCAGTGGTTGGGGGTCCGCCTGCCGATGCAGGGGACACGGGTTCGTGCCCCGGTCCGGGAAGATCCCACATGCCGCGGAGCGGCTGGCCCGTGAGCCAAGGCCGCTGGGCCTGCGTGTCCGGAGCCTGTGCTCCGCAACGGGAGAGGCCGCAAAAGTGAGAGGCCCGCGTACCGCAAAAAAATAAAAAAAAATAAAAGTAATCCCTGCTCATAGAAAAAACCGAAGAGCTTAGCAGAGGCTATAGGAAGGAAGGCAAGATCTGCCCGCCCCTTCCACTCCAAGCCCCGCCCCTCCTCCCCAGGCTCCTCCCCAGGGCAGGGTTTAGTGCCACGGGTACTTCCAGGACTTTTCTTTGGGTAAGTGTCCATATATTTAATGATGAAATGACACGCAGATTTTCCCAAAGTGTTAGTATATTAGAAGTGCTGTCATAGCGGGGTCCCCCCACTTTGCATGTCTTCGTGGGCGTCTCGCACTTCATACACGGCCGCACCCCGGGTTACTGTGCTCCCAGGACACAAGCAGTCTGTTTATTTTGGTGAAACTATTGATATCTTCTTTGTGAAAAATGTATGGTCAACTCACGTAACTCTGTCATGCCTCCGCGTTCAGGACGGAGAGCTGGACACATTTATTAGACCCCAGCATTCATCGTTTATCCTTCCCGTCCCGCAGCTGACTTGGGCCTTCATGGATGGGGAAGGTGAGTTAAAGTTCATGACCACAACTGCGTCTCTTTTTGCTTCTTTGTGCATTTCTGTCATTTTTAAGGATTTTGGTGCCAGGTTTGTCTTCAGAACAGCTTGTAGCTTCCACTGTTGTCAACTGTAGCTTTGTCTCGAGATGACAGAGGTTTTACTGTCTGGCCCACGGTTTCTGCTCACAGGTGTCTGTACATCAGCCACAAACTGTGTTTGTCCGGCAGGGACAGCCCTACCTTCCTCGCCTGGACGGCCCAGGACTCCCGGGGGAGCTCCTGGGTCCCCACGTTGTGCCCCAGCCAAAGGAGACTAAAAAGCAGACCGGGTGACAAAGGATGAGAAACGGGGGAGCCGCAGGCGAGAAGGAAAGCAAGACAAAGTGAGATCACGAAGGCCGAAGACACCTGCCGCAGCGCCACACACCAGCAGGATTAACACAGAAACCTTCAGGTCCGGTCTGCCTGCAGCAATTTGTCCTAACAAGGATATCAGAGGTTTTGCATGTGTACCCCGTGGTCTTCCCAGTATAACTGCTAAAGATGACACCCGTTACGGGACACCCACAAACCTGGTCTGCAGGACTGAGCAATTCCGGGCCCTGAACAGCGGTTCTATGAAGATGCCGTGACACAGGCCCCGTGGGAAAAGGCACACAGACAGGAGTGTGTGTGTGTGAGCGTGTGTGTTAGTTCTGTGGGGGGCGGATCTTATAGAGAGTGAGACCTCCCACATGCGGGGTCTTTTGTGTGTTCTGTCCTTGGGGGTCGCTGTCCCCGGGGCCTGGGGCAGTGTCATCCCCCCGGCAGGTGCTCACTCAGCAGTCGTATGAACGAGTGAAGGAGGGTGAGTGGACAGAGGTGGAAAGGACGCTGGCCACACCGCCACCTGGGGCTGAGGGCTGAGACGCGGCAGACAGTTACTTTCTTCATTGTGTTCGATGTTTCACACCTGGTGTCT